GTAGGTCATCATCCTCATCTAGATTATCCCGTCCAGCCCCTGCCAAGGAGGGCCTGGGGGGAGGGGAGGGGAGGGGGGGAACCGAACTCCCCAGACCTTTCATATAAACCTATATGAATATTTTGTGTGTGTACAGATGGGGAAATGAGAAGGTAATCTTACCTGTGAGCATATAGGGTCATACATACAGTAGTTTCTATGGACGGAAAAGAGCAGATACGGATCAAATGGTTTTCAATGCATTCCTATGGGAAATGCAGATTTGACCTGAGAACATTTTGACTTGAGAACCACCTTCCAATACGGATTAAGTTCTTAAGTAGAGACCCCACTGTATATGTATGTATGTGTTTGTAAACGTGTGTGTGTGTGTGTGTACTATACCTATAAAACCTATCCAAATGTCTAGATACGTGCACACAGACACCAAATGCATGTGTGTGTGTGTGTGTGTGTGTGGACTATACCTATAAAACCTATCCACAGATATGCGCACACAGACACCAAATGCCTACATTTACAGACCGGGGTGCAAAGAGGGGTCTTGACCGTCCGTTGGGCAGGTGGGGAGCCTCCTGGGGCTCTTCTTCCTGACGACCCTGCAGGCTTTTTGTCGCCGACTCTGAATGAAAGCAGCAGCGGATGCTAAATATTCATTGAATTCATTTTAACCCAAGTCGTGCCTGCAACCCTTTTTGTTAGAATCATTTACACGGCCGACCGTCTTTCTGTAGACTATGTCTAGATGGGCGGCATATAAATGCAATAAATAAATATGTAGAAGGCAGCTCTCGCCAGGGCATCTCACGTGAGAATTCCCTGCCTTTCGGTTCATCGCCTAGATTTGAGAGGCGACACTTCGGCGGAGAATCCTGAGGTCGGGGAAGCAGGAGTCCTTTACTGACACGGGGGAAAACTGTATTGTGTTGCAGTATTTTGTGAAGCCTTCTTCTGTCATCGGTGATCTGACGTGCCGCCACCATGTCGGGAACAGCCATCATCCTTCAGCAGTTTGCCACCGGCCTCAAAAGCCGTAATGAAGAAACTAGGGCGAAAGCGGCTAGAGACTTACAGCATTATGTCACGATGGAGCTCCGCGAGGTGGGTTGGGAGCTGGGAATGCATAGCTGTGAATTTCTGCCACCTCCTGAAAAAGAGGCTGGGGATTGAACCTAGACCTTTTCTGATTAGAAATGCTCCGTGTATCTTTTAATTCCTCCCCGGCTTTTTTTTTGGGGGGGGGAAGGGCTTCAACTCTTTCCCAGCACCTTGTCACCTCCAACAAAGAGGTGAGAAAGAAAAATAAGGCCTGCTGGGTTTGCCTTCTTTTATTGATTTTTGGGGCAAAGTCCCTAAGGGTCTGGAAGCAGCAGAAAGGAAATGTTAGCCCTCCAGGTACCTTGTGCAGCCGCTGGCCACGATCCGAGCTGGCAGTAATTCCTAGGAACTGAAGGTCAAAACATTTGTGGAGGGGCAAAGTTTCCCTGCGTTTACTGTCAAGGACCCAGACTTTTGAACATCCAGGAGCAGTTTTTAATGTCTGATGGATCACTTTTCTCCCATTTCTTTCATCCAGATGAGCCAGGAGGAGTCCACCCGTTTTTACGATCAGCTGAATCATCACATCTTTGAGCTGGTTTCTAGTTCGGATGCAAACGAGAGGAAAGGAGGCATTTTAGCCATAGGTGAGCAGGTGGATGTTGACATTGATGCTGCTTTTTTCTTTTAAGTTAATGCTGTGGCTTTCTTATGAAGATGATCCTTTTAATTCTTGAAAGCTGCCTTGGGTTCTTTTTCAGGACAAAGGCATGTTAAAAACATTTAATATAAATCAGTATACATAAAACTATTTACAGTCTCCTTAGAAATCTTCATAAATTTTTTTTCTCTTGAAGTTGGGAGTTGCGCAGGAGCCTGATAGCATCTGGAAAGTTCTAGGTCGTTTGTTTGTACGATGCAGTATTACTGAAGTGTGTCTTCCCTTTCTGTTTATGACACCTGGAGACAAAATTCTAAGTGATATGAAATTCTCTGGCTAGGATTTCTCCATTTCCTTTTATTGGTGGGGGTGTAACTGGGCTCCGGCTCTCTTGTGTCTGTAGCAGTGATGGGGAATATAGCCCTCCTGATATCATAGTACAATATTTCCCATCTGCCTAGTCCACATAATGGATATGAGTGAGGGTGACAGTTCTGGAAGTTGCAGTGTGAACGAACATGGAGAATTAGCTTCTCGCCCATGCAGTAGAAGGCTGCTATATTGAAGGAGCAGGAAGTGTTTGTTCTGGAGCACTGTTTCCCAATGTTGGATCCCCAATATTCTTGGACTACAACTCCCAGAAATCCTGGCCGGGTTGGGAACCACTGGTCTAGATGTTTTTGGATTTCAGTTGCCGTTAACTGTTTCTGTCCTGGTCAGGATTGAAGAATTGTCAGAATGGATACTGAGATCATATCTCTGTTATGGAAGGCAGTACTTTTCTATTTATCTAAACAATGTATGCTTTTTAAAGAAGGCAGTTGCCTATTTTTGTGTGTACAGTATCAGAAACGGTATTAGAAGTTCACGTGAAAGGACAGATGGCTAGAATCCTGATTGTCCTCTGATAGAGAACATCTCTGGGGCCTTTTCTTTTCCAGCAAGCCTCATTGGCGTCGAGGGGGGCAACGCCACCCGCATCGGCCGCTTCGCCAACTACTTGAGGAATCTCCTTCCCTCCAATGACCCAGTTGTCATGGAGATGGCTTCCAAAGCCATCGGGCGTCTTGCCATGGCTGGGGACACTTTCACGGCTGAATATGTGGAATTTGAAGTCAAGCGGGCTCTGGAGTGGCTTGGAGCTGACAGGAATGAAGGCCGGAGGCATGCAGCGGTAAGAGCTCACCCTTTTGAGCAGCTGTTGTGTGAGCTGAGGACAGGAGCTGTGAGAAGTTTTGTGATGGGAATTGAAGGATGGGTCAATTTTTTCCCTTCTCAAGCACATTATAGAAAAATAATAATCTTAGAACGGCAGAACTGGAAGGGACCCTATGGATCTTTGAGTCCAGGCCCTGTTAGGGGGGCCCAGTGGAAGAATCGAGTTCTCAGCCTCCGGCACCGTAGTTTGAGCAGCTGTTGTGTGCGCTGAGGACAGGAGCTGTGAGAAGTTTTGTGATGGGAATTGAAGGATGGGTCAATTTTTTCCCTTCTCAAGCACATTATAGAAAAATAATAATCTTAGAACGGCAGAACTGGAAGGGACCCTATGGATCTTTGAGTCCAGGCCCTGTTAGGGGGGCCCAGTGGAAGAATCGAGTTCTCAGCCTCCGGCACCGTAGCTGGGTGCCTAAACCACTGAGTTATCCAGTAGTTCATCCTGTAGTGCCTCTAAACAATGCAGTTTTAATGTCATTTGTACCAGTGCCTGTTCCTGAACCACAACTGTGGACCAGTGACTTTAAGTGGGTCAATATTTGGGAAATCCAGCTTTTAAGTACCAGGCGAGCTGTGAAAACTGACCGGATGACCTTTCTGTGAGGCCAGCCTGCTGCACCGGGTGGTTGGGTCAAATGGGAAGGAAGAAGAAAAGTGAGACAGGAAAAGAAGAAATAAAGCACAGATTGATTTAACCTGTTAAGAGCTCTTAGTGGCATCTAGGCGTCAAGAAGCAGGTTGTGGAATGTGAAGCCTTGTTGGATTGAGCAGCAGCGACCGAATTCTCATTCTCTCTTCTCAGTCTCCTCAGCGTCACTCTTTTCTCTCCCTTCCAGGTCCTGGTCCTGAGAGAGCTGGCAATCAGCGTCCCCACCTTCTTTTTCCAGCAAGTCCAGCCGTTTTTTGACAGCATCTTCGTGGCCGTGTGGGATCCCAAGCAGGCCATCCGCGAGGGAGCGGTCTCCGCCCTGCGCGCCTGCCTGGTCCTCACCACCCAGCGGGAGTCCAAAGAGATGCAGAAGCCACAGTGGTACCGAGTAAGGAGAGGCGGGCTTTGGTTCTGTTTCAGAAGTGGCACGTCCCTTCTGTGTCGTGGCATTCTTAACTCCCCCTAGAAATGTGAGGTGGAGCCATTTAGGACCTGAAAGTGTTGCCCACTAGAGCACGTGGCTTTCAGGGATTATGTCCCTTTGAAAGCATATGCCCTTCTGTTTTAGTGGCTGAGTCCTGTGTATATTTATTTCCTCCCAGGGCCATTTAGGACCTGAAAGTGTTGCCCACTGACTAGAGCACGTGGCTTTCAGGGATTACGTCCCTTTGAAAGCATATGCCCTTCTATTTTAGTGGCTGAGTCCTGTGTATATTTATTTCCTCCCAGGTAAGTAAAGTAATTGAGTGCTGCTCTAGTATTCACATGAATCTTTTTTTCCGAGGTGTTCAGTGTTTTAGTTGGCTTTTGTTGAAAGTGGCAGAGTAAGAGGTCTGAGAGGTGGCCGGGTGGAGGTGGGAATTCTGGATTTGTTTGTTTTGAATTGTCGAAGGTACCTTCAGAAGCATGCCCAGTGGCAAAAAAGGGGAGTTTTTTGCCCATAGTATCTGGAGGGCCAGATGTTGCCCAGCTGTGTTCTAGAGCTTTAAGTATTCCTGCTTTAGCTACCTAGGTGTGGCAAAGCTTGCTTGGATTTCCATCCTTACGTCATTGACCTTGAAATGTGCGCTCCATCCAAACATTAGATCAAGCAGTTTAAGGCTGTTTAATGATGTTTTGGTACCAGGGTTGGTTTTCTTGAAACTACTGTTTCATCAAAATGTTATGCTGCTGGCTTAAAAGCTGCAGAGACAGGAAGTTTGTTTATTTATGTTTACTCAAGCTAGAGAAGCCCATCCTGTTAATTTCATGTGGTGTATATTTGTGTGCAGTAAATGAAGTTGTCGTGGCAAGAATAAGGTAGGCGGGTTTTGAGCACGGAGGTGGCTCTGCAGCTGGTTTCCTAAGAAGAAGTCATGTCCTTTCAGCAAACCTACGAGGAAGCTGAGAAGGGTTTTGATGAGACCTTGGCCAAGGAAAAGGGGATGAACCGTGACGACCGGATCCATGGCGCCTTGCTGATCCTTAATGAGCTGGTGCGCATCAGTAGCATGGAGGGAGAGGTGAGTTGTCAAGGCCGGTGGAAGCAAAGCTCCAGCACAAACTTGGCCCCAGAAGCCCTTTTCTCCCCAAAGGTGACAGTGTGACATATTGAGAATAAATATATTCGGGTTGATGGGGAACTTTGGCCCTCTTTAGCATTCTGGGTAACAGCTCCTGTGATTCTTTAACACTGGATAGAGTTTGCAGAAATAGACTCGGAAGCTTTTGGAGGGCAAAAAACAGCCAACCTTTAACTAAATGGTGCTCTTGACGCACAAATTGCAGGAAGTATTCTGAGTCTTGTGAGTTCAGAAAATGAAGACTATGGCATTTGGGAGAATCGGAGCATTGCTGGTTTCTTACAGGCCACGTGGAACATTTTTGTCAGCCCTTGTTAGCATTCGATCTCGAGGGGGTCAGCTGACTGTTAAACAACTATTTTCAAATTAGTTAAAATAGGAGATAGAAGAACTCCCCCCACAGTGTTCCGAGGAGGGAAGAGGTATTTCCCCCCCCATGCTGAAAAGATGTGTTACCCAACAAATACTCCATAATTTTTTATGCTTGGTGGACGCAGAGGCATTGAAGGTTGGTTACGGGAGGTAGGAGCTCTGGCATCTCCTTGCTCAGTCTTGAGGGCTGTGGAGCTAGATGGTGAACTCTCGGGGTGTCCAGCAAGGGGTGTCCCTCTTGTCCTAAGAAAGTCTTTTCCTGGTGCCAATGACCCCTTGCTCTCCCTCCAGCGCCTTCGGGAAGAAATGGAGGAGATCACCCAGCAACAGATGGTGCATGACAAATACTGCAAAGATCTGCTGGGCTTTGGGACCAAACCTCGCCACATCACCCCCTTTTCCAGCTTCCAGTCCATCCAGCCCCAGCAGTCGAATGCCCTGGCTGGGCTGCTAGGGTTTAGCCCTCTCTCGGGGATCATGGGTTTCGGTGCATCGCCCATCCCGGCCAAGTCCACCTTGGTAGAGAGCCGGTGCTGCAGGGAGCTGATGGAAGAGAAATTTGATCAGGTGAGCCCAAGCCCCTCCCATCTCTGTTTATTTTCCCCCCAAACAACAACAAACATGCACACCTAGAAAGACATAAGAGGTAGTAACAGAATGCTGCATTTCATCATGTTAGACCATTATGTGAGCTTGAGTATATACATATGGCAATTGAACTTAGGATACAGCTGCTTGTCTATGTTTGTTTCCATTTTATTTAATGGTCAGCTATGTAAGCTTAATCAGTAACTTCTGGAACATGCTGTGATTAGTCACGGTGTAGGTAGATAAATTTTGGCTTGTTCTGATGTGCAGACTTGCACCTGTTAACAATCCATGATTTGTTCAGGGGTTTGAGCCTCTGTTGGCTTATGAATTCTGACTTAAACCAGGGCTTGTTGTGACGTCTGAGTCTCTAATCATGGCCTGATCCTGGCTTGTTCCCCGGTCCCCTCTAAGCTAAGAGGGGAGGGGAAGGAACAAACCAAAAATGGGGGGAAAAAGTGCCACCGGGTGGGGTGGGGGTAGCCTGAAAGCTTTATCTTGCAAAGAAACCACATTTTTCCTTCCAGGACTTCATCTCTGCCCTGAGCCCTCTTTCCTGCTTGGACAGCTCCTATGAACAATTCTATATTTAATGTGCTAAGTCCTAACCCTTCAAAAATGGGTTACAAGATGGCTCTTGTTTGAGGCACATGTTCAATATAGTTGATTCTGGCTCCCCCCCCCCCCGGCGTTCGTCTGCCACCTCATGTGCCATTTATCAGACCTGGCTGGGCTGTGTTAGTTGTTGTGACCCTTTTCTTAATTTTTAGGTGTGCTATTGGGTTCTGAAATGCCGAAGCAGCAAGAACTCGCTGATCCAAATGACGGTTCTCAGCTTACTGCCACGGCTGGCTGCCTTCCGCCCTTCGGCCTTCACAGGTAAAAGGTTCTTAAAGAAGATGTTACTGAGCCTGAATTAGGGTGGCAAGGTTACAGGGCTAAAGAGCAGAAGCAAATCCATCAGTTAACCCTAGAGGACTCATAGAATAGAGTACACTTGTTTTGAAAACGTGTGTTCGCTAGGAATAGCCGACTTTCGGCCCTCTGAACGTAGTTGCATTCCCTCCCTTTCATCCTTCGTGCTAGCCGGGGCTGATGGGGGTGGTAGTCATCAGGAGGGCCTCAGCTTGCCTCCTCCTCCTTCTGCCCCAAGCCTCTTATTATATAGACAGGTGTCTATACGATGCTAATTATGTCATTTTTGCAGCCCAAAGAATCAGCAGGTTGAGATTCTGTACCAGCTTTCATCTGCTTGATGATAACTGCTGGAATTAGAGTTGTATCTTTGTTGGGGCGCTTCCTCCTTTTATGTCTACCGACTGGTTGTCAAAGAGTACATCTAGGCATATGCAAAGTTCCTTCCCTTTTGTCATGGAGTAACGGGGTGGGTCTCCTTCCACTTGCATTTAGAAACGGGTCTGGAGGCAGATATCCAGTTTTTGAGCTGGTTTCGCCTGTTATCTCTGTCTTTCTGAACGAAGCGAAGCTGGAAAAAAATTGCTTTACCGGTGCTTTTTCCTCCTCCTTGTCTGAACCAGCTGATGGATACCTTCCGGACACAATGAACCATGTCTTGAGCTGTGTCAAAAAGGAAAAGGAGCGGACGGCTGCCTTCCAGGCCCTGGGCTTGCTCTCGGTGGCCGTGCGGACCGAATTCCAGGTTTACTTGCCCAAGGTCCTAGAGATCATCAAGGCCGCCCTTCCACAGAAGGACTTCACCCACAAGTGAGTGAGTCCCGGTAGAGCTGGGGACCAGCAGTGACATGCTGGAAATGGCCTCAGTTTCTCCTTTAGATGTATGTGTTCCTTTAATTGCAAAGGAAGGGTGCTCTTTTCAGGGTGTGGGAGACCCTGTGAAAACTCCGAATAAAATCCTTAAAGCAAGGTACCCCAACTGGAAGGGGCAGTGGGGGGGGGAACCTGCCACGGTCTCCCACAATTTCCCCTTCTGTTTTCAGCTGGGGGTGGGAATCCTCCTTCATCTGAAATGAAGGCAATCATAAATGCTTACGTAATGACTATAAGTAATAAAGGAACCCTCCTGCCTCTTTCCTGGTGGAGGGGAAGACCTTTTTTTTGGGCCTGAAAGTGGAAAAACGAAAGACCGCGAGTCCCTCCTGTTGGCTGAACTGTTGTTCTGCTCCCACTCCAGCAGGAGGCAGAAGTCCATGCAGGTGGATGCCACCGTCTTCACTTGCATCAGCATGTTGGCCCGAGCCATGGGGCCTTCCATCCAGCAAGACATCAAGGAGCTTCTGGAGCCCATGCTGGCCGTGGGGCTGAGGTAAGACCTGCAGCTCCTCCTGCCGGCCATGCGGTGGCGCTTTGGGTTTTTGCATTTCTCCTTTAACAACTCACCCGCCGCCTCTTCCCAGCAGCGAGGAGACCCGGTGCTCGTAGAGGGCTTTTCTGCCCCCCCCCCGAGGTGCCCTCCTTATTCCCAGAATGGCTCACTTTGTGCCCAGTGGGGATGGAAGCCTCCTGACCTCTACAGGGACCTGTTTATGGTTTGCTTTGAGCGGTGCACCAAAGGGTGGCTCAGGAGGGCAGATCTTGTTGGCGGGCCTTCTAGTGTGTACAGCGTGGGGCAGGAGGACAGGCTGGAGGAGGCCCTATCGTTGCCAGTTCATGAGAGGGGGTCTTCTCGCTGTCATGGCCTCTTCATCAGTATCACTGGCATTTTGTGCCTTAGGGGGTCTTCTCGCTGTCATGGCCTCTTCTCCGTCAGTATCACTGGCATTTTGTGCCTTCTGCTGGTGTGTTTCTGCCCCCCTCCAGTCCTGATCAGACTGGTTACAGCAGCCATGTTGATGGCATATTTCTCAGCCGGCCTTTTATGAACTGAGGACTTCCGCTCTGTTATTTACAATCTGCATGTGTCAGAGTTGCAGTAGAGGTTCCCTGTGAGTGAGCTGAAACTCTGGGGTGGGTTTAGTTGTGTCAGTCTGTCGCACCCGAACTAACAAGGCCTGGGCACATCCTAAGAGTTTAATTTGGCATAGGTTTTTGTCGTCTGTTGGAAACGCCACTGAGGGAGTGGGCTTGCAGCCCCACAAAAGTTTAAGCCAAATAAAGCTTGTCCGTGTCATCAAGGTACCGTAAGGCTCTGTTTTTGCCTCGGAAGGCACGTTTGCTTTTTGCTAAGGTATCAAATTCCTCTGCGGTATTTGAAGAATTTATAAAATTCCATAATTTTCCAAGAAGATCTTTTTGTCTTTTTGTGGCATCTGAAATATTTCCTGTGAGGTGAATGCCCAAGCGAACAAGCAAATAATTTTTATTGCTCTGCCAGAGCTAGCTTGATCATTGAGGGTTCCCCTCTCCCCCATGTCCTCTCCTGGCCTCCTTTATAGGGTTCTAGTCATTAGTAAGGTAACACCCAGGGAAGAGGTTTGAGGCTGAGATGATTTTCTGTCCTTGATCAGTTTAGGCCAGCTGTTCGTAAAGGTTTCATTCAACATTTCATTCTGTTTCCATATGTCTGACGGAGCAGACGTGCCCAGGAAAGCTCACGTTAAAATAGAATAGATAGTCTTTAAGGCGCCATCTGTTTTTGTCTGTTTTGTTTTGTTTCATTCTGTTTCTTTGGATTTTGCCTGATATGCCTGCAACAAGCTAACATGGCTGCCCCTGAATTAATGGTTCTGTGTCTCTGTGAGGAGCGGGAAAACATTTCCCAATTCAGCTCCAAGGTGAAGGGTGTTTGAAGGGTTTGGAAGTGACTGATGCTTTGCGGAATAAAACCTCTGATAAAAAGGAAAGCTGCTTTCCTGCTCTGCTTCTGCCTCCGTAAAGCCATACGGGGACCTGACAGCCCATGAAAGGATTTGTAAAACCAAACCAAACTCAGGGGGGGGCCTCTCTGTCTTGTTCTCAGCCCTGCTCTGACGGCGGTACTCTACGACTTGAGTCGCCAGATCCCCCAGCTGAAGAAGGAGATCCAGGACGGGCTCCTGAAGATGCTATCCATGGTCCTCATGCACCGGCCTTTGCGCCACCCGGGGATGCCCAAAGGCTTGGCCCACCAGCTGTCGTCCCCCAGCCTCACCAACATCCCCGAGGCCAACGACGTGGGGAGCATCACCTTGGCTCTCCGGACGCTGGGCAGCTTCGAGTTTGAAGGTGCGCCGTTGGGGGAGAGGAGGCGAGCTAGGATCTTAGGACTGAAAGAGGCAAGGGGGGCTGCCAAACATTAGGATGAATCCTCCTTATTTGGGGCCTCTGATGGGCCAGATTCCCTTTCTCAAGCCCTTTTAACATCAGGAGGACATCAGGTATCCCATCCCTACCCCCTTCCCCTCGTTGGGGCTCTGGCCGTTTCAGTCTTGGCCCTTTGGGCCAAGAACAAGACTCCCCCTGCTCCCGAGGAACTGGGGGAGGCCAAAGCGGAGCCACCCCCCAAGGAGGAGGACGCACGCTGTCTGTGGCGCACCCCTACCACAACCCGTAGCCGACTGCGCTCTCGAGCAGCTCTGCGTGTCTGTGGGTGTCTCTCTCCAAGGGAGCAGAATGTCCTCTTCACCGCCTGTTCTCTCCTGTCCCTCACTCCCCCGTTTAGGCCACTCGCTGACTCAGTTTGTCCGGCACTGCGCGGACCACTTCCTCAACAGCGAGCACAAGGAGGTCCGGATGGAGGCGGCGCGGACGTGCTCCCGGCTGCTCACCCCCTCCATCCACCTGATCAGCGGTCACGCCCACGTGGTCAGCCAGACGGCCGTGCAGGTGGTGGCGGACGTCCTCGGCAAACTCCTGGTGGTTGGCATCACAGATCCAGGTGAGTTCAGAGACCGAGAAGATGAAGGGAAGCTTTCCCCAGCCTCCCCGTTTCCTCCCCACCCACCCCTTTAAGGTTAGAATGCCATCTCGTGGGTTCTGATTTTAACTGACGGAGTCATCAAGCTATGGGGAATGCGGGGTTCTCCAAGATGGGGTTGGAAGGCAGCTCTCGTCAATCCTTGATGATGTAGTCGGTGGAAAAGGATGATTGGAGGTGCAGTCTAACAGCTGCGGAGGGGGGGGTCTACATGTTCTACACCCCTCTTCTGATCGTTGGGTAAGCCAACCTTTGGGGTTCCACTATGTTGTGGTTCATTGGAGGAAAGGTATGGGAAAGATATAAATGCAGCCCCAGAGAGCTGTTAGGATTTAAACGTGGTGGATTTTTATAAACTCCCGTCAGCTGCATTGGATTACATCTCCCAGAGTTTTTTTTGGGGGGGGGTTTGGCTGTCCTGGCTGGGTTTTATGCAGCCCCTAACTGGATAGCTCAGTGGTCCAGGTCTCTGGCTATAGAGCAGGAGGTTGGGGGTTCGATTCCCCATGGGGCCTCCTGGGAGAAGAGCCTGGGTAGCCTTGGGCAAGCTGCACCATCCCAGGGTTCCCTCCCCCTGACCCACAGAAGAAGGAAGAACCCCTTCTGAGTCCCTTTTAGTGAGGGTTGCCCTAAGTCAGAACTGCATTGATGGCAAACAACTGAACAGCTAGTGGACACCCGATTGCTTACTCTAACGAGGCAGATCATTCGCGAACAAGGTGGTTGCTCCGTATAGTCTCTGGGACTCGGGCCTCTCCCGCTGTGTTGCTGCCCTATCCAATGGGACGCCCGCCTTCCTTTCAGACCCTGACATCCGCTACTGCGTGCTGGCTTCCTTGGACGAGCGGTTCGATGCCCACCTGGCCCAGGCGGAGAACCTGCAGGCCCTTTTTGTCGCTCTGAACGACCAGGTGTTTGAGATCCGGGAGCTGGCCATCTGCACGGTGGGCCGGCTGAGCAGCATGAACCCCGCCTTCGTCATGCCCTTCCTGCGCAAGATGCTCATCCAGGTAACGGAGCCGGAGAAGGCGGCTGACGTGGTCGAACGAATAGCCCCCTAAGACCTCTTAGGAAGTCACAGCCTCCCCTCACATCCTTCTGCCTTTTCCTGAGACAGATAAGCCCTGCCATCTTCACTATGTGCTGAGGTTGACCTAGCTTTGGCTCGGGGAGATGGAACCGGTGGCTCACTAGATGTTGTGTGACAGCAGTTCCCATCAAAGTTGGGGGGGATGCATAGCAAAGAATGAGGAATCATGAGAACAGTGGTCCCGAAAAGTCCCAGTCTAAGCCAAACAGCTGCGACAATTGGTATTTAGAGATTGGAGCACACCAGGGACGGGATGGCTGGAGTGAGAGGATCCTTTGAGGACAGATGAGGGTCAATTGATTTGGGTACCTCCTTAGTTTTTGTTCTCCATTTTCCCTCTGTACGTATGTGTCTGTTTACAAAAACGTATAGATGATGATTTCGGGAGATTGCAAAATGGAGTACAAAACATATTGTCCTGAAAATACAGATAAACAGAAAGCAGTTGTTCCATCACGCATGAAAGAGGTGGTGGATTGGACTTGTTCTGCAGCGATCCCAGCGGTGGAGGCCGATTGCGGAAGGGAAGGGGTTACGAATTGGACAGAGAGGGCGGGGAAAGTAGATCCCATACAGAAGGGATGAGGCTTTGCAGTAGGCTCCTCCAGTGCCCTTCGGATCCACCCTTTGCCGCCTTAAGGTTTGGAGAGGGGCTTTTCCCTGCCCACTCTGCTTGCTTCTGCCTCCCACAAGGCCAAAGTTCAGCGCAGCAAAGACACCTCTGAGGAGGAGATGGGGGAAGACGGGTCGCTCTGCATGCCATTCTGCAGAGATAAGGAAGGGGCGGGGGAAAATAAGCGAAGAAGATCTTTTTGCTCCTGGAGAGAAAGGGGTGGCCGGTGAGGGTGGTCCCTGGTCAGCTTTGTTGCCGTTTTCCTTGGGGGGGGGGTAAAAGCCTCACGAGCCTTTTGCATTTTGCACCCTGTCCCCGTAAATGGTGTTTGCTTTGGGTTTTCAGATCTTGACCGAGCTGGAGCACAGTGGGGTGGGCAGGATCAAAGAGCAGAGTGCCAGGATGCTGGGCCACTTGGTCTCCAACGCCCCGCGGCTGATTCGGCCCTACATGGAGCCCATCCTGAAGGTAAGCGCCTGAAGTTAATTCAGGAAAAGAAGGAAAGAAAAATCCTTTCAAAATCTACAGGAAGGACAATCTTTGCAGGATGGCCTACACAAGGCTTCCACATCGTGGGAGGAGTGGAAAAGTTTGCCTATTTTGTGATTTTATAACTGGTCTTCGTAAAGGCTTCACCCATTTGGAGACCTTCTGTTTCACTTAATTTTATTATTTAGCCAGTGCCTCTTGAGGGTGGGGGGAACAGTGATTATGCAGGTACCGTCAAATATAAGATGCAAATGGATGGATAGGAAAGTATCTCTTCAGCCAGCTATTTAAAAACAACACCTCCTCTTATTTTGTATATCATTTTGCAGGCATTGATTGTGAAACTTAAAGACCCAGACCCTGATCCTAATCCAGGGGTCATCAATAATGTCCTGGCTACTATAGGCGAGCTGGCCCAGGTGAGCCTGCATCGATTTATATATACAGTATATATATTTGGAAACAAGGTCAATAATGTTTGCCTGATGGGTGTCACTGTTGGTGTGGTCGTATCCACCGTTAATCTTTTCTGCTTCTCTTACTTTCTCCTCCCCACTTTGACAGGTGAGCGGGCTTGAGATGAGGAAGTGGGTGGATGAGCTTTTCATCATCATCATGGACATGCTCCAGGACTCTTCCTTGCTGGCTAAGCGGCAGGTGAGTGTGGCCGGCTGACCTGTGGACCAGTTTTTATTTTGGGAGAGCTGGCCACGAGTGGGCTGTCCCAACCCCCCCAATGTGAAAACTACCACTCCTGAAGGCTTCCTGAAGTAGAAATATTCCCTTTTTTGTGCTAGAAAAAAAGACAAACAAAACCCTGGCAGCCGATGGGGTTTTGGAGGCCACAGAAATAAATACCTGTGGCGCTCAGAGTTTTCCCATCTCTAATCTATGCAAAGAAGGGTATTTTATCTTCCCTGTTACTGAATCCTTTAAACTGGAGTGGCTGAATGTTTTCTGTGCAATGAGGGCACTTTGTGCTGAGCTTCTCCTTGCTTGTCTTTCTTGTCCGTCTCCTTTTGAAGGCAGGCAAAAAAGAAGCATTTTTATCCTGCTGTGTTTTTGAGACCCAGGGCTCTGAAATGGATGCTGTTGCTTTACTTCTTTCTGGCTTTTGAAGTTTATGAAGTTTCGTGTTCACCTTTTGGGGGGGAGGAGTCACCCATTTTGGTGGAAGTCTGTGTTTAATGATACGGTAACACACATGCTTCCTCTCTGTGAAAACCGTGTTAGCCAAGCAGATGTTTGCGGTGGCTGACAGTGAAGAACAATGTGATTTGCAGCCCAGCAGCATTCGGAGAAGGCCAGAGTTTTGCCTTTCCTGATCTAGGAGAAGAGCTGCCTGGGGCCACTGATGACTAATTTTAAATTGCCGAATTAAGAAACTTAGGAAGTTGTGCGGTTGCTGTGAGACCGGTTCTTGCTCCATCTGCCTCAGTATTTATGATTTTAACTGGTTTCCCCAAGGTTTCCAGGATTCCTTCTTAGCCATGCTGGAAATCTGCAGTGTTTGCTTCATGTCTTTCACCCAAGGGCGAACCAGGCCCCCACCATCCTTTAGCTTCTGTGATCAGATAGAATTGTGTGTGTGTGTGTTGAGCATGGTGTGGTGAAACCCTAGAGAATAATCCTTGTTTTTTTTTCCTTATATGATGAATCCATTTCAGGTGGCGCTCTGGACGCTGGGTCAGCTGGTGGCCAGCACTGGCTACGTAGTTGAGCCTTATCGGAAATACCCGACTCTCCTGGAGGTCTTGCTGAATTTTCTGAAGACAGAGCAGAACCAGGGCACCCGAAGAGAGGTATGGAGTGGAATTGTTTTCCTCCTGTACTGTGTACTGGAGACGTGTACATGGAGGATAAGGGAAAATGACCCACGAGGAGATGTGCTTAGAGCAGGCCAAATAAATAAATAGAAATGTGAAGGGCGTGCAGTTGACACAGTAGCTGGCGTTGGGTGTGCAAGATCACAGGGCTTTTCCTGCCTGATGCCCAGGAACTTCTCTCCTGCCAATAAATTCTTGACTTTGATCAGCCAGTGTTTGACAGATTCCTAGAAAGGTCCTCTCACCATAAAGAGCTTTAAGGTCTGGAAATCTTGAGACTGTGGACCTTGATGCCGAACGCTAGAATTCTGCTCTTGAAATTCATGCTTTCCAGGCGGGTTTTACAATGTGGCAGGACACCCTTGCCCCTCCCGTTAGAGGTGCCTTCTTTGAAACGTGGTGCCTCCTTTAGCTCACGTGCGTCCTAATGTGTTCCTGCCAGGCTATTCGTGTTCTTGGGCTTCTGGGCGCTCTGGATCCGTACAAGCATAAAGTGAACATTGGCATGATCGACCAGTCCCGGGATGCTTCGGCCGTCAGCCTGTCGGAGTCTAAATCAAGCCAAGATTCTTGTAAGTCTACCGAGGAGGGTGTGATCTCTGCTGTTGGGACGTTTCCACACAGTTAGGGGCAAAATGAAGGGAAAATCTGGAGAAGGAGGTGTTGAGTTCCAGAATTGTAAACTCATTTTAAGATGCCCCCCCTTTTTTGGTGCACCCTGTAAGCTCTGATCTCTTTTTGTTGTTGTTGTTGACGACTACCTCTGTCGGGAGGTTTTAGGGAATATGGAATCGATGCTCGGTGTTTCCCCTTAAAAGATTTCTTTTTCAGTTTACTAGCTCAGGAAGGATTAATCACACTCTTTGGATGGGCTGAAGCAGGTGGGTGGGATTCAGGAGTACCATCCTTTCACACAAATCTGGTGGGTAGCTCTCGCTTCATCAATCCATGCATGTGAATCAAAGGCCTTGGGAAAGGCCAACTCTAGCCTTTCTCTTCGGTTCGATTCCACCTGGAATTACGAATCAATGAGTATCGGTGAAAAACATCAAGGAAGCCCTCATTGATTGGAGAACTTCTTCCTAAAATACAGTATGAAGTGCTCGGCTTATTTATTTAAATCCTTTTCTCTTTCGTTCTCTTCTTTGAGAGAAAAGTGGGCAGGTGGTTGTCTGGGACAGACATTAAGATTCTGAGAACTGCCCTGTTTTAAACAATGGATTGTATTCATCTGGGAAAGGGGCGGCTCCCCTTTTCATGGAGAAGGTGCCTGTGAAAAGATTTTTTGTGCACTGTGATGGCTCAGTTTTCCTCATTTCCTGTCTCTCCTTTGGGTCTTGCGTGCCGGTTCCTGAACAAGGGCTTTTAAAAAAGGTGTCTAAACTACTCGATGTGGCCCACAGCTGCCTGCTCGCACCCCATGTTTGTTTCAGACTGCTCTTTGACTTCCTTCCGCGTCAGGTCCCCTCCCTTCCCCGAGAGCCCACGCTGAGCCAGCCGATGAATTCCCGAACTCCTACCAGTCAGCTTTAGAAATGCTATAACGAAGTTACTTCGGATTAGATTCTGGATGTTGAGCTCTTCCAAGGTTGGAAAAGAAGCGCAGGATTACAGTGCAGGCCCGAAGGAGAGGAAGGCCAGCCAAGCTCGAACCAGAGGAGATTAGAAACTTTTCTCTCCAGATGTGGCTTCATCACTGATGATCTTCTAAGCTTTCTCTCCTGTGGGCGCAAAACAGCCACCTAATAGCGGTGGCTTTGGATCAACATTTGTTGAGCAAACGATTAGAAAGAGATCCCGGGATCAGCTTTTGGTGGGGATTTTAAAGTTTAACCAACGAGGATAATGTTTTGTGCTGTGTTGTTCTCCCCCCCCCCCGAATATCCGAAATTTTGCCGCCTCAGAAAGATTGAGTTAAGGCTCAAACCCTTAAGTTTGGAGGCTAAAGTCATCTTAGCGGTGACCATTTTTGGAAACAAAAGACTCCCAACTGCCCCGTCTCGTGGCCTCTGATGGCTTCCTGGAGATAAGAGGAGTTCTGTGGGAACCTCATGAACTTGGGTGGCTGGGTGGCTGGCTGGCTCAGAAAGGTTTTATTTTTTTTAAAAAACTGCTGTGGCTGATAATGTCACCCTGCGATGCAACATATGGAACAGAGTTTCAGCCACTCTCTGTGTGTGTCTCCGTGTGTGTCCTCTCTTAGTGGCACCTGGCTTTGTAAGTCTTGGTGGGTCCCTTATTGGTTGAAAGGCAGGGCAGGGAGGTAGACAGACAGGTAAATAACACACTCAGCCCTGAGGTCTGCTTTTTATGGGGTTAAAAGCGCATGGATAATGCCGATATTCTCTCTTTCTCCCCCTCTGCTTTCCAGCTGATTACAGCACCAGCGAGATGCTGGTGAACATGGGGAACCTCCCTCTGGACGAGTTCTACCCTGCCGTCTCTATGGTGGCTCTCATGAGGATCTTCCGGGATCAGTCCCTGTCCCACCATCATACCATGGTGGTCCAGGCCATCACGTTTATTTTCAAGTCTCTTGGGCTCAAGTGCGTGCAGTTCCTGCCTCAGGTCATGCCCACCTTCCTCAACGTGATTCGGGTTTGCGACGGCGCCATCCGCGAGGTGAGCTGGCCCTCAAGAGGGCTTCGTTTTTCCACCCCCCCCACCCCCCCGGTTGCTGCCCTGATGCCCAAATCGGCCTCAGAGCAGCAAAACCCAGAAGGAGATTCTGTGGTTTGTGGTGCTGCCAAGTTGCAGGCAAGCGGAAAAAGCGAGGTGTTGGCTCCGTTCTCGGCTTCCAGTTGGAGCGGATTGCCAGATCTTCTTTTGCTGCTTCTCTGGAAAGACTACTGTCTCGTGGCTGTCTTTTTTTGAACAGCAAGGGGAACCCACCCTCCTTGCTCAAGTGATGCAGCTGCTGTCATTTTCATTTGGCTTTTGCTGATGCATGTGAGGTCTGCCTGTTGTCATCCTGACATCCCTACAACAGGTGTGTGCTGCTTCTCCCCCCCCCCTTTTCCGGAAGGGGAAAGCATGCAGTACCACAACCAGCCCAATTCCTGGCTCCATGCTGTGTTATTATAATCCTACCATGGCTCTTCTAGCTGTCCTCCTGGTCAGCAAGTATGTTTCTGTGAAAATGAACAGCCCTTGAAAAGTCGCTTTTGAAAAACCTAATGGAATAGTAATCAGTGATCATTCCAAGCACACACACCCCTTCCTAGGTGGCTAGGGAGCATTACAATTGCATTTATTTTTCTGAAAATGACACTTTCTGAAGTAGCTAAAATAATATAATGCAGTTACTTTGCAAAAATCAGAATGCTATCAGCTCTTGGACTGCGGTGCAGACTGTATCTAAGTAGAGAGGCCACCCTCTTAAAACCAGAGAAGTAAGGAAAAATTACACAGTGAAAGGGGTAAAATTATCCCTTGCTGCTTTGCAGTCATGATGAACTTAGATCTTGGTTGTTGCAAAAATTGAGTTAATTACATGTGTGTGTGTGTATAAGAGGCTAAACATGGCTGATTTTGGACTTGTTATCACATGCTTCCCTTGACCATAAGCAAACTCCACAAGTATCTGCCCTTATTAATGCAGCACTCAAAAAACTAGAGAATATTACAAGGCCCTTCATGGTCTTTTCTTTCTATTTCCTTAGAGGAGAGGGCTCTGAGGGCAGAAAGGTGTGTTTGGACTGCCCATTAGGTTTAGAAGAGGCCTGGGTTTCTTCATGTTGTTCTCCAGGCTAAAACTTGTTGCTTAAAAAAAGGGAGAAAGATCCCTACACCGATCTATGAGTAGAATCAAAATCCACAGATGGGCAGAACCTTTGTTAATGAAACTGTGCAAGCTTTTGAGTTCTCCAGGACTCTTCATTGATGATGGGGGAAGGAAAAGTCCAAAGCCCTAAGGAACAATAGGAAGATGATGGCACACATAACGGTCTCTGGATTGTGCCCTGTTTGTACAGAATGGGGAAAAAAACGTAGAACACAAGTGTCAGCGGCTGGTGCTAATTCTGGGCAGGCCCCTCATGCTGCTGTGAAGCTGCCCTTCAGTCGCATTGCCGGAACTGCCGTTCCTCACTGGTCGGTCTCTCCCAGAACAAACCCCCTTGTTGGATTCAGGGGAGGCCCGAGGTCCGGCGCTCCAGGTAGCTGGCCCTGATGTGAGCTGACTTCCTTGAAAGATGTGGACTCCTTGCCTACTCTGTTTACAAATTTTCAGGTCAAAGAAGATGGTGACAGTGTGCTGGGGAGAAGAGCCGAGGTGGGTATGCGTGGCACTTCACACGCCCCCCCCCAAGCACGACACTTTTGGGTGGACCTCTTCCTAGACCAAGGGGCACTGTTCTTAATGGCTACAAAACATGCCAGGGGCTTGGAAGCCCAAATGTGGATCCTTCTTTTCTTCATGAAAGTGGTCTCTCCAGCAATGGAAGTACAATCATAACAGATTAAATAACTAACTTTTTAGTTCCTGGTCAGGACACCCAAACTCTCCTGCCTGAGGTGGCCACTTCCCTTTTGCTCACAGTCGGGCCGGCTCTGCCTAAGCGCCTTCTGTCCTGTTCACGGAGCTGCTTTCTCTCTCTCTCTCTTTGGTTCTTGCACGGTTGGGGTTGACTAACAAGCCACCCTTCTGTTCCTAAAGATGCCTGGGTCCCCAGGTGTCCGGCTTTGTCACTAACCTCCCAACACGCCTGAGCGCAGGGAGAAGGGGACATGGTTGTGGATTTTAGAGAAGCCTCTGTGTTCATTTGGCTGGTGGAAAAAACGTAGCTGCCCTAGGTGAGTTTCCAGAGTTCTGCGCCTCTCAGTTTCTGGTCTCACTGCTTGCATGATTGGATGCTGTGGCCCTCATTGGCGGTGCCCAAACACTTGTGTGTGTGTGTGTGTGTGTATCTCGCGCCTCCGAGGTCTGAATCGTCGTGCCCAAGAGGGCCCTCCAGTTGGAACACTGGCAATGTAATGCCACAGGGAGACTCGGCCCTTGGTGGACAGCAGGGGTGAGACCACCTGTTCCAGTACCAAGGGCCAAATCAGGTTTCAGAAAAAGGCCTTCCGGTAGTGGGTGGAACCCAAAATGCCAGCATCTTTGAGTGTCAACGTCTGTCAATAAGTAAGCATTGGGAATTGCAGTCTTTGGGAAACAGGGAGGTGAGGGATATCAAAGTTGGAAATTCACCAGACAATCTTCTTAAGCAAAAAAAGGGCCTCGAAATGGCCAGATTCAGACCCCAGAGCCTGAGATCTCCACCTACGGCTTATAGCATGGGAGGATAGTTCAGGGTTGCTCTTTGTGTCTTGTATAACTCGCTCCCTCCTGTCTCTTCTTGCAGTTCCTGTTCCAGCAGCTGGGAATGTTGGTGTCTTTTGTGAGAAGTCATATTCGACCCTACATGGATGAAATTGTCACCCTCATGAGGGTAAGGGCTGTAAAACCTTTGGCATGGAAAGGTGAGCCTTGCATCTAAGGGGGCTATGAGGCTAACGTGGCGACAGGAAGAGCCTGGGTCTCATTAAGGGATAAAACATTTAGGTTAGCAGCAAACCAGTACTTTTCACATGAGTTTGCTCAGCTTTCTCTCTCCTTTTTTTTTCTCATGCCAGGATTTCTGGGTGGTCAACAGTCCCATTCAGAGCACAATCATCCTCCTCATTGAACAAATCGTGGTGGCCTTAGGTGGGGAGTTCAAACTCTACCTCCCGCAGCTCATCCCTCACATGCTGAGGGTTTTCATGCATGACAGCAGCAGCACCCGCACCGTCTCCACCAAGGTGAGCAAGACCGCCACCGAGAGGCCCGAGGGGAGCCTTTGGGTGTGAGTTTTTAATGTTCTCACCTAGCCGCGCTGAAACACAGAAATGCCCAAGCCTGGCTGAAGGCGACTTGATTGCAAAACTCGTGTGGGCCCCTGCATGCAGATGACGTTCCTGCGGCAGGCCGAGGGGGTATTCTACCCGCCACAGAAAGCGGAACGTGGTCCCATTGAATGCCAAGGTTTCTGTATCCCACGTATAATCTGGGATGCTTGTTGAAGAATACATTCCCCTTAAAGGGTGTTACATGTGGAAGGGCTAAAGTGACCCCACTCTTTCCCAGGCAGCCTGAGAAGTGGGGTCTGGGCCCTACTCTTTCACATTTCCATGAACAAATAAATCAGGAGCCCAAAATATGTTGTTTCTTTACCTCGGAATATCATCTCACAGGTAAAAAGCAAAGAAGGTTTTTGAACACGGGTTCATGTTGCTATTGCGCTCTCTTCCCGTTGCAGCTCTTGAATGCCATCCAGCTGTTTGGCGCCAACCTGGACGACTACCTGCATCTGTTACTGCCCCCAATGGTCAAGCTCTTTGATGCTCCAGACGCCCCACTTTTGGTCCGCAAGTACGTAAAGCGGTGGCCTTTTCTGTGTATTCCTCTGATCTGTTGGGAGCGGGTGTCTCTAGTTGTTCCGCGGAGACCCAAAAGACTTCTGGAGGGCCTTTGCGCTGAATGAATCTGGCAGCGTTCGTGTTTTCCAAAATGGTTTTGGAAGTGGCTTGCTAACAGTGGTTTGCCATTGCAAACTCTCACGGTACATGGGCCGTATACATCTTTTACTTTTATGTTTGTAGTCACAATGCTTTCTACTCCCCACTCCCATTCAGAGCTGCCTTAGAAACTGTGGATCGCTTGACAGAGTCTCTGGATTTTACTGATTACGCTTCTCGGATCATTCACCCCATCGTGCGAACTCTGGATCAAAGCCCGGAGCTCCGGACCACTGCCATGGACACGCTCTCGTCCCTGGTCTTCCAGCTAGGAAAGAAGGTAAAACAAATCTGCAAATATTCTCCAGAGTGGGAAGGCCATGTGAGGCTGGTGGGTCGGGTGGTTGAGCTCTCAGTGGAACGTTCGATGGCTTTGCTTGAGCCGTAACCGGGGTCATTGTCTTCTTTCTCTCGGCAGTATCAGATTTTCATCCCAATGGTGAACAAGGTCTTGGTACGCCACAGGATCAACCACCAGCGCTACGATGTCCTCATATGTCGGATTGTGAAGGTCAGCCGACTCAAAATACAAAAGGGTTGGGAGAAGCCAAGACTCTGGTCTCAGACATGGGTGGAAAAGCTCCAGCGGTCCATTTCATACACATTACCCTCCGTGGGGGGCTGCATTGACCTCCTGTGAAGTTTTTTTTTAAAAAAAAGGCAGAGCCAGGAATAGCTGGAGTCGGCTTCCAGTTCTGTAAAAATGCTATTTTTACCTGCTAAGAGATATATCTTATTTAAAAGGAAGGCTTCCAGGTGGGCAATTTGCCTCTTTTCTTTTGAGAGAAGGGCCTTGGCATCTGCAGGATGGGCCTCATTCCCAGTTGGTGGCAGCGGGGAGGCAGAGCCTCTCTTAACTCTAGGTTTCAGTTCGTCTGTGAGCCAAATTCCAATTTATCCTGTAAGTGTTCCTTTGCGGTCATTTGTGTGCTGATCAGCAGAAATCCCTTCCCTTCCTTGCCTGGCAGCAGGTATGAAGGCACCTAGCTGGGTTTGGAAGGTTGATAAATGGGAAGGAGAAGGAGGTTCAGGCAAGAGACGGCGGTGCCAGAGAGTGAGTTGGAGAAGCGCCTCCCGAGAGGCTTGACATGGCCAACATCCCTGGATGGGCCTTGATCATCCAGCCAAACCCTCCTCCTCCTCCTCCTTCTGTGCCCCTAGGGCTACACGCTTGCCGAAGAGGAGGAGGATCCCCTGATATACCAGCACCGCCTCCAGAGGAGCAGCCAAGGAGAGGCCCTCGCCCGCGGCCCAGTGGAAACGGGCCCCATGAAGAAGCTACACGTCAGTACCATCAACTTGCAGAAGGTAGGTGGCGTGCCGGGTTCCTTGTGAGGCGTCTGCACGAGACGAAGGCGCTGCCGGGGGGGAGGGGGTTCAGAAAGGAGACGAGCCCGTGTGGCCTCTGAACGGCTTCTCTGCACGCCAGAGTCCCCGTCTTAACCATCTAACCGATGTGCCCACGCTGGCTCTAACCACTGAGCCTTTCCTCTTTCTGCATGGCAAGGTCGTTGTGGAACATCGCATGCCAGGGCCCTCAGCCAGGACAAAAAAATCTAGCTTTGCAGGAGTTTTCTGCAGTGCGTAACATTTTCCTTTCTGCCTGTGGTGCGCGCTTGGGCATTAATGCAATTATATCCAGCGGCTGTGATCAAAGGCCATCCTTGGGCTAGATCCAAACGAAGGGCCTCCATTTGTGCTTCCACTTTCCTACAGAACTGTTAAAGATGTAGGAAGCTCAGACTTCGCTAAATCTGTTTGTATATGTGTCACATGCGATTACAGGGCATAGTTGCACTCCAAGTTTATATTTGTCTTCGAAGAGGAACACAGCGCACTGGTTATTTTGAGTCAGTGCATTGGTCCTTCTAATCTCATCTTTTCAAATTTGACTCTCCTTTATTTTAAAAACACTGACTTTTAAGATGTAAGACAAAAGTTCTCAATTTTATTCCATTAAATCCCACCAGTCCTTCTATCAAAGACCAGAAATCTCATCATGGAAGCTGTATGCTTACATGCATTCTGTTATTACATTTATGCAAGATATTAAGGGTGTAAAAATACTACTCAAGTGTACAGCAAGGTTGAAGGATATAAAAAAATGAATTAGTATTTTGGGAAGGGAACACAAAGACCGGCGGGGTTGACATGCCCGTCTGTATTAAGTTGTAGCCCAAACAACGGCTCTCGGGAGACCTTAGAGATGCACATGTTTTGTACGGCACCCACTTTTATGAACTGGAGTCTATTTCTTCCGATGGACACTTCCGCATGAAAAGCATCGTCCATGAAACTGTATGCTGGACAAAATGCGTTCAGTTTCACCATGCCGCGGGACCCTCCGTTTCTGCCGCTATGAGGAGAACGAAGCAAAGGGGGGGCTGAAACCCCTGCTTGTTTTTTGCGAGACAATTCCTGCATCCCCGTCACAAACGGAGGCCAGTGTGCCACCGCTATGAGGAGAACGAAGCAAAGGGGGGTGAAACTGCTGCTTGTTTTTTGTGAGACAGTTCCTGCATCCCCATCAGAAACGGAGACCAGTCTGCCGTGGCTTGCGTTTTCCTTGAGCTAGACCATTTCACAGGGTTTGGGAAGGAGAGCCGTGGAAGGTGGTGGTGGTGGGGAAAGGCCAAGGTGTCGTCTGTCATGGCACTTTCGCCCGGGGTTAAGCCTGTCCTTTTCGCCGCAGGCCTGGGGAGCCGCCCGGAGAGTCTCCAAAGACGACTGGCTGGAGTGGCTGAGACGCCTGAGCCTGGAGCTGCTGAAAGATTCGTCCTCCCCGTCCCTGCGCTCGTGCTGGGCCCTGGCCCAAGCCTACAACCCTATGGCCAGGTAATGGCATTTCCTGCCTCTCCCGACTCTGCCTGATGCCTCGCCCAGTGGGCCAGAAAAGGAGGAGGGGACCACGCAGGCACCCTTGTGGATGGAATTCAGCCACCAGTTAGGGGCAAACAAAAACCTTTTAGAATCTAGTTTCACAGCTAGCTTCCTTCCTTCCTTCCTTCTCTCTCTCTCTTTCTCTCTCCCCCCCCTTCCCCCGGCTCCAGGCAGCTGCTCAAGGTGTGTTTCTTAGCACTGAGACAGGAAAAGTTAAAAAAATAATAAGTCTACAGTGCCTCGTGCTCTTTCCAGAATGTAGCAGCAGATTGGAAAACAGGGCTAGGCAGCCGTCATCCTGTTCCTCCAAGTATTCTAGATCGGGAGTGGGTCGAAGGTAGACTGAGGTCCCCCCTGCCAGGTTGCTGGTTGATTTGCAGGAGGCTGTCAGCACCCTGGTGACTTTCTGCGGCTTGAGAAAAGTCACTTCAGGTTTCAGTGAGATGCTCTGGGGTCTGTAGAAGGTTCGGGTGTCAAGTTGATTTTGGGCACGTCGGTCCTTCTGCTGTATGCCCTTGCTGAGCCACTGGTTTGTGGCCGGCTGCAGGTTGTGCCCCTGACTCCTTCCGTCATCTAGTCCGCCCTGCCTGGTCCGCACTGCCTTGTCAGCTTCTCTCTTTTTTTCAGAGCTGGTTCCCTCTTCCTTTCTGACTCCATTTCTCTGACACAATAATGTCTAAGAAGGTTGGATTTTTTTTTTTTAAAAAAAGAGAAACTAAATTCCCTATTTTGTACAGAAGGAACATGAGAACTGTTATATAATTAAGGCCGCAACAGTTACGCAATTAAAGCCCCAACTGTTATACAATTAAGGCTGCAACGGCATTTGCGTGGCGGGCAGAGTTGGAGCCGAAGCGACTTTCCAAAGTCTCTCTCACTTCTAAGCCAACATTCCTTAGAATGAGGCTTCAAATCCAGATAAAGCTGATCTTAAGGCAAGCGAGGAGCCTGCCTGGGTTTTAACGGAAAGGCTTCTGTGTTCAGATTTCTGGTGAGACTAGCAGAGTTATTTCTTCTCCTGTTTCACCCCATGATTTATCGGAAATGCCAGGGGTGGGGGGAAAAAACCCTCGGAATTGCTATGCTGGTTCTCTTTGGGCAGACCTCAGATACCGCTTCTACCTGGGGCGGTAGTCGCGAGAGCTTTTCTCCCCCCGCATATTTGATGTGTGGCCGGTTGCACACGTGTCTCTCTATCCATGTGATCTGTCCAGCAGAGTATCGTATTCCTAAGTGGATCCCCAGATAACCTTCGAGCATGTTCCACCTTCTTTTATTGGCAGCTGGTTTTGCATCTGCTATGGCTGTCATCCAGTGGTTTCTCTCTGGTGGGTTAGGGTCCCAGATGCTGCTCACTAAGCGAAGGTCCTCCTGAGCCCTTCAGAACTCATCAGGTCCAAGAAAGATGCCCGTCTTCTGCTTGGCTGTCTGAGGCAAAGGCTGATGGCAGCCGGGCTCATGGAGCAGGAAGCGCCGTGCCTCCATGTAAACATCTTGCTTTACCTTAGAACGATGCAATCAATGCAATCATCCCAACTGGCAGCTGATGGTCTTGTTGTCCCTTTTCGGTGAACGGGGCCACATGCCTCTCTTGAAACGGACGGCTTCTGCTGTTTTGGAAAGAGAGACCTTATTGTCAAGTCTGTTACTTGTCCGGTTTAACTAGTGGTTCTGTGTTGGGCTTCTTGGCAGGAGGAACCACTTCAGGTGGCATGGCAAACACCGTTCTCGATGGATTTTTTTAAAAAAATTAATCCCTTCTGCCAGGGGTCGGCAACCTGGTGCCCTCCAGATGCTTTGGATCGGAACTCCGAGGGCTACACCTAGAGGCTTCTTTCATACATTCATAGTCAGTCACATAATAACTGAGTTGGAAGGCCCTGGAGTCCAACTCCCTGATCAAGCAAAACAGAGGGTGGTCCTGAGTCCAACTCCCTGATCAAGCAAAACAGAAGGTGGTCCTGTTTTCTCTTGCATGCCTCCCGCGTTTGAGCGCTCACCACCGCCCAAGGTCATTGGTCCCCCATGCCTCCAGTGTTGGAGCGCTCACCACCGCCCAAGGTCATTGGACCCCTTGTCGTACTGCTCTAACAGTTAAGAAGTTTTTCCTGATATTAATTGGCTGCAGATCTTCTGGGTCTTTCTCCATCCCTCCAGAGGCGTGGGAGATGGTGCCAAAACCAGCTAGCTTTATCAATATATCAGAAGCAAACACTTAATTTTTTTCATCACTAAGTTGTTGTTCTTTCCTTTCCTTCCCTCTAGCATCTTCCACTACCACAAACACTCTCCCCCTCCCCCCAACACACCTCCGGCAGAGATCTGTTCAACGCCGCCTTCGTCTCCTGCTGGTCTGAACTCAACGAAGACCAGCAAGATGAACTGATCCGCAGTATTGAGTTGGCGCTGACCTCCCAAGATATTGCAGAGGTCACCCAGACTTTGCTGAACCTGGCGGAGTTCATGGAGCACAGCGACAAGGTAAAAAGCGAGGGGAGGCAGTAAACTGGGCTCTCTTCGCCCTGGGCTTGGTCTAATTTGATCCCAGATCATGTCTCTCTGTTTAGCTGCATGTCCTAAATAATGGGCCGTGTCATCCCCGACTCCTTCATAATCACAAAGCCGTCTGCTGTCCGTGGGAAATATTGTTTGTTCGCTTGACTTTTTGCTGATCGATTCAGGGTGTGGGTTTCATTGCCTCCGTGCCCTTCCCTTTCCTCGGGTGAGCTCAGCGTGGCCTAGGTGGCCGTTCTGCCCTCACCGCTGCTTCGTCCTCACAGAAATTCTGCGAGGGAGATGACGGAGGAAAGGAGGGAGGGGGATCAGGACTGCTCTGTGAGTGTCCTTTACTCCTCCAGGAACTGCTGCTTAAGTCTGCCCAGGGTGCCCCTGTACACAACCTGGCCTTGCCCTTTCGTCTGTCTCACCCCGCTGACCATCAGCCGAACCCCTGTCCTCCTTCCTCTGCTGCAGGGGCCGCTGCCGCTGGGGGATGATAATGGTGTCGTCTTGCTGGGCGAGCGAGCGGCGAAGTGCCGTGCGTATGCCAAGGCGCTGCACTACAAGGAGCTGGAGTTCCAGAAGGGCCCCACGCCGGCGATCCTGGAGTCTCTCATCAGGTAGGGCCCGGGGCTCTGAGTTTAACACCATGCGGCCATGGCAAGGGGGGCGGGGAGCCTTTGAGCGAGTCGCATGCGTCGTTTGTTGTGGTCCTTCTTTTTGTGCAGGCCAAGGCTTTGTCTTGAGAGATCAGGCCTGAGGGAGGCAGGTTTCCTTCTACTCTTAAGACTGGCAGCAAAGGCTCGCTGGGTTCATTTCCACCAGATTCTGCTAAATAGGCCTTCAGTGGGCACAGATCACGTTCCGAGGCAAGAGGCCTGGATCCTTTGATTTCTTCCGGCACAGGCAGGAACCTTGGGCTACAGTTCCCCCAAACCCTGAACAGCATGGCTAGTAAGGTAGGATCATGGGATTTGTAGTCTTAAAAAAAAGTCAGGAGTGGACCAGATTGCTTTCCCCTCCTTTAAGGTTTAAAATGAGAGTGGAGCGTCCCTTTTTAGGTTGTTGCCTAAGATGAACCTTTTCCCACTAAGGCAATGCACATAATGCATATCTTTAGGGTGTCCTCCTTAGCCAGTAGACTTAAGTCACTTTCAAGCGCCTTTTCTGTAAGTGAGGTGTGAAGACATTGGCTAGCGCCCGTTTAGAACACCAAGACGTGGCGTAAACAGGGATGCTGCTTATGAAATGCTTGGATCCTTTGTCCTATCATTTGGGGGCTTAGTGTATAGTTTTGGCAGTAGCAGCGGCAGGTTTTGAGCTCATTGTAAGCCCACAGAAGCTCTGGGAGCGGACTCTCCCTGTGTCTTAAAATACCACCATCTGGTATTCAGAGGCCGCTGTAAGAAACGGCCGCGCTCTCTGCCAGGAATTCTGCCGGCTTCTCCTCTTTCTTTTGCTACCAGCCCAGGCTTCCCTCCTGCTGTTGATCTGAATAAATCATCAGCCAGAGCTCAGAAGAGTCCTGGCGCAGGGGTAAAGAATGGCGACTATGGTTCTGTTAGCCAAGGGATTCTGGGGGGATTCAAGTCCAGAATAAGCAACGTTTCCAAGTTCTGGCTCCGATTGCCTGTTTGTGCCATTTGATCAGCCTGAAAATGGCCTTTCGGCGCTCTGTATGAAATGTAAATGCAGTTTTCTTAGAAAAGGTGGGCTTTGGGATGGTGCTGGAGTTCCGGTTCTTGATAGTGTCGGTGAGACATGAGGCATAAAGAAATGAAAACCCATTGTGCCGTGTGCTGACTCAATATGGGAAAGAGACCTTTAATCTGTGGCCTCTTTATGCAGTTGGTTCTGGGAGGATCGAAAAGATAAAGGCAGCTCATGGCTCTCCTCCGTGATAAGTTGATCATAAACATTCCTAGTCTCTACCATTTCTAAGGGATTCGCCTAGCCAAATCTCTGGCAGGGTGGGTGTCTTTGGCCTGTCCGTTGGTTTGTGGGGATGTGTTGTTCCTGAACGCTGTATCCTTCTCTCTCTCTCTCTCTCTCGCCCTTCCTGTTTTTTCTTTTGAGGCTTGGAAAAACAAGCCACACTTTTTCAAAAAATAAAACTAGTGTCCCTTTTGGTTTAAGTCTCTGTGGTCACTGGATTAAGACTTCATAGCTGCTCTCTCCAGTCACAAGGCAAATCGCTTTTTAAACTCTCATGCCAGTGTCGGAATGAGATAGGGAAACCCTCTTTCTCAGTTGGCATTTCCAGAATTTGGACTATGTAGGTGGCTCCATACTGATTCCCAGCCGATGACAAATTGTTGCAGTTGGCATTTCCAGAATTTGGACTATGTGCCATACTGATTCCCAGCCAATGACAAATTGTCACTAGGAGAACAGGCAGAACAGAAGTCTTTGAAGCCAGTGAAGGGACAAGAGCAGGTGCTGTTAAATAGCAGTATTAATAATGAACCTCATTATTCTAACCAGATGATTTGCTCTGAAAGGGTAATGAAGGATGCTAAGAGTCTAGTGGTGAATGTTGAAGTTCAGATCCTCATCAAGACAGCCCCTGTGGTCACAGGAAAGATCCGTAACAGAGATCAGTGTATTGATCCATACAGCTAGGTGGAAGGAGCAGGTCTTTGGTAAGGCTAATGGCTCTTGATTGCTGATTTGGGATCAAAAATCCTGTGCTTGTAGAGCCCAGATTGAAACCCTGTGCCTAGGATTGTAGTCTTAATTACAAGTGAGTCTTCGAAAGAGCCTTTGCATCTCACTCCCTAGTTAATGAACATATGATTTCACCCTGCTGTTTACTCTGTGACTCAAGTCTGTGTGTACTGCCCAGATGTCTTTTTTAAATTCTGCCTTGTATTTTATTCAGTGCTCTTGTACATGTGGGACTATTTGTGGCTGTATGCTATCACATGATACACCTGCAGCTGTCCTTTCCTGAGAGTCTCTTCTGTGGTTGAATTTTACTCTTTCCGTTTTTGTGGAATTCTGAATTTTAGTAAGGCCATTCACGGGAAATTTTGACGTGAAATTGAAACTCACTTTTAAAAACAAGAAAGTTTATTGTAGTATCTGGGAAAAAATGCATTAGAAAAAGGCAAATTTTGTACAGAGCCCTCTTTTGATTTACAGCAAGTCCACCTGGAACATCTTCCACTCAGTATTTCCTAGAAACAGGACACTTTGGGTGGAACGCTCTACAATTTGGCTAGCCGGCGTATACAAGGCACTTCTGAGAAAACGGCCGTCTCCCAGTGGCAAGACAGCAACTTTAAATTAAGCTAAATCCCTCTTGTAATAATAATAGTAAAAAAAAAGAATAAAAATAGATATATTAACTATGACTCCACTCTGGCAACCCAGTTAAGCAGGAAATGAAGCTGTGAGAGGAGTCTTCCATGGCTTTTTAAGAGGCAGTGTGCTGGGCATTTCTTCTGCTCTTCCCTGATGTCTCTTATCAAACGCTGGCTGTGTTGTCTGTCATATTTTTTTGCTGGCAGTTGCCTTTCCCCCCACCCCACCCCCAAAACAAACAAAACAGAAACCCCTCCAGGCATAAATATTAGCCTTCCAGAGCTGGGAGACTCTTATTATTATTATTATTATTATTTATTGGACTTATATACCGCCCCATAGCGCTACAAGCACTCTCCGGGCGGTTTACAATTTTAATTATACAGGCTACACATTGCCCCCCCAGCAAGCTGGGTACTCATTTTACCGACCTCGGAAGGATGGAAGGCTGAGTCAACCTTGAGCCGGCTACCTGGGATTTGAACCCCAGGTCGTGAGCACAGTTTTAGCTGCAGTACAGCGTTTTAACCACTGCGCCACGAGGCTCTTGTCAGCCCCTTTTGTGTTGATTATAAAGAGGACCATCTGTCGTCAGTTTCATAGACTGGTCAACCCTATCTGACTTTTTGGGGTGGCAAGGGGGCTGCCTTTGAAGACCGAGACTCACACTTGTTGTTCTCCTTGTCGCTCCCACACTGCCCGCCACCCCACCCCTCCTGTGCCGGTCCCCTTCACCTCTGTTTCAGCGATACCCTCCCCTCTGCATTTGCGCTAACCTAGAACGGGGCAGAGGCCGCGGAAGGAGGGGGTCATTAAAAGACGTTGGGGGAAACCAGTGCACCACATTCCTTTCTTACGAGGAGACTGTTGCAAGGGGGTGGGATTTGGCCGTGGAGCCAGAGGTTGCGAATTCGATTCCCCTCTGTGCCTCTTTGATCGGGGCTGGACTGGATGATCCCTTGGGGTCCCTTCCAGCCCTGTAGTTCTAAGATTTTGAGAATCCCTTTGGAAGAAGACCTTGAGACAAGAAGGGAACAAACGTTTTAACATGTGGTTCAAAGGCTGGTAGGGGTCTTTCATAATCACGTGCAAGGCGGGACCCCCTTCGTTCAGGCCTTGCCTTTCACGTCGCGGGTTGGCATTTGCCGTAAGCAGTGTGTGTGTGTGTCCGTGTGTGTCTGTCTCTCTCTGTCTCTCTCTGCTTCCCCTCCCTCCGGTCGGTCGTCCCCACCCCTGTGAAGAAGAAGAAGCCTCGGTGGTGCCTCCTTACTCGACTTGGTTGGTGTCCGCCTGGGCTTTGAAGTCGGAGGGCCGGATCTTCATCTCCACCCTCTTCAGGGAGTACGTTTTCCCGTGCCATCCGTACCAGGTGATGCCGTCCGTGCTCTTGTTGTGCTCGCCGTTCCGGTAGTAAACCCCGTTGAGGTTGGAGTCTGTGCAGCAGTTGTACCAGTAGCCACCTTTTCAAGGAACAAAAGGGGTGGGGAAAAAAGTCAACTGGGACTTGACTCTGGTTTGTCTGTTTTCTTCTCTCCCAATGACTCAGATTCAACGCATGGCTCAGAATAATTTTTTCTGAGGAGGGGGGAAAGCTTCTTTTTAATAGGGACTTGGGGTTTTGGACTTGGTACCAAAGACTAACCGACACGGTTCCTAACCGTTTTGAGGGCGGACGGATGGGTCAACGTGGAGCCCTGTCTGTTGGCTAGGGTGGGACCCAGAGTGTTAAAACATCAATCATTTCAACAGACCAAGGAATTTGTACACGGATATACATTGCTCTCCCTGTTGGTGGGTGCTGCCAGATAGTGTAGGACTGTAACCCATCATCCCTCCGTTTTGGCCATCGGTGTTGGTTAAGGAAATGGGGAAAGGACTATTTTAAAGAGCAGAACCCGCTGTTTGGCTAGACCATAGTAGTGGACCTCTGGTGGGAAGGATGGGTGGGGAAATGGTTTTTTTCTAGTGCAGAATCCGAAAAAAAGAAAAGGAAGCTTTATGTGTGTCCCCCCCCCCCAAAGCTGAGCTCTGCTGAAGTGTGGCCGAGGAGGTGGAGGCGGGCCCTTCCTCACCCTTACCTTTGCGCAAGAGCGCACAGTGATCCACACACTTGTCGTTGTCCTTGTCCTTAGTGCTGAAGGCGGTGTTGTTGTGGTACCGCAGGGAGTTGTGGGGGACGTTGCCGCTGTAATTGGACAGGAAGAGGCGGTAGCTGTTGAGCTCGTTGGCCAGCATGAAGTGGTTGTATTGGGCGTAACGGATGTTGCCGTTCCAGTCCTTTAGGTGGGCGGCAGGAAAGAAGGAGAAAGGGCCTCTTGTTAACAACGGATTTAGGAAAATGTTTTCTACCAATTTTAAGCCGACGGGGTCGATCTAACTCATGTGGTTTTAATTTGCTTTGGATTCACTTCTTTAGTATTATAACTTGTAGAACCATGTTTTATATGATTTACTCTGATTTATTGGAGCCTGTCTTTTGCGGGCTTGTAGAGAGCTGTCTTTCCTCCCTGTTGTGGTAGGAGAGTGGGAATGCAAACCCAATCATTAAATTCCTGGCGTTCCCTTGTGACCAGGAGGCAGGAGGGTGCTGAGAACCAATCACTTACTTCCAGCTCCACGCGCAAGGTTGTCGGGCGCATCGTGAGTCGGTGGATGTGCTCGTTTCCGAGCCAGAAATCGCCCTGGATGCTGCCAAAGCCTTGCTTATACTGTTTCCAGTCCCGGCTGAAGGAAATCAGGCCGACTTTACGCCTCTGGATGACCGTCCAGCCTCCTCTGTCGGTCTCCATGTCACAGTAGACCTGGAGTGGCAGGAGGAAGGAGCCGCCGTCAGACGACGAGGTTAGGAAACTAATTCAGACTCTTGTCTGGGGGAGGCAGGTCCTTCTTGCCTTTCTCCATGTCAGTGGTCAAAGTGATTGGAATGACTTAAGAGGCCAGACACAGAGACTGGCAAAACGTCAGGAAGACCAACCTTCAGAACATGGCCAAAGAGCCCAAAAAACCCACAACAATGAGTGAGAAAAGTAAAGTGAAAAATTATTTCTTGCCCACAGTGTCTCATTGTGGACCATGGACTTTTAGGCCCATGGGGCTGGCTGGCCAGCAATTTTTTAAAGTTGAGAGAGAGAGAGATGCATTCTTCCTTACCTGTAGTTCTGGTGTCCCAAGAAATTCATCAGGGAGGAGCCTGTAGACGCCGGAAGTCCGGTAATTCCGCTGGTAAAGGGATGAGCAGTCATACACCGCATCTGTACGGGCAGGAAAATGGGTGATAATCAGATATTTGAAGAGGGACATTGATATTTTTGACAATGTCTGTGTGCCCCCTCTGATCACAACTGTCTCTCTATACCTCACCACTTTCTGTCTCATGCACATGCCAGTCCAAGGAGTTGTCACTGTAGGCACTGGTGGCTGGACTGATTGGCAGGCCAGCCACATCTGGAGAGCTGTCGGTGACCCCTTCTTGCGCTCATGAACATGCCTCTCTTGACATGCTCCGTGAGGCCTCCTTCAGCTAGGCCTCCCTGTATCCCTTGGATAGACTGGGGCACAGGAGATCTCAGCGTTGGGCAAGGCCAGCCTTGGCATGCTTGGCATGGGAGAAACCTGGGCCCAGGTTGGTCAGAACCCATCGGTCCAGGAAAGCTTCTGGTAGCTTTGGCCTCAAGGGGTGGAAAAGCCTTATAAAGGGGAGGCAAAGATGAGCCTGCCCTAGCGAGTGGAGTAGAAAATAGCTATACAGTAGTTCTGCAAGCAGAGTTAAAGCTGTGTCCGTTAGCCCTGCTCTGGGAAGAGCTCTTGCGACAAGGCCGGGTATGGCCTTGTATCTCTTTGAGCTACATGTCCTTCTACCTGCAAGGGGCTTTATCATCATCTTCCTAATCTTAGAACGGCAGAGCTGGATGGGAACCCACGGATCATCCAGTCCAGCCTCTGTTCAGGAGGCCCCGTGGGGGAATCGAACTCCCAACCTCTGGTTCCAGCAGCTCAAGGTCCGCTTCGTGGTCTACTGTCTGCTTAGTGCTTAGAAAAGTTCCTTTGGTGAGCTGCAGCTCTCTGAAGCGCCCGACCAGCATGGCCAGTTGGGGAGAAGATTTAAGTCCATTCCCCATTAACATTTGCATGCCTTGGGTCTAATAATGATGATCCCGAGCTGTCTTACGGAACAGTGGTTCTCTCTCTTGGGCGCCCAGATGTTCTTGGACTAGAACTCCCCAAAAGTCTTTGCTGCCAGCTGTGCTGGCCGGGATTTCTGAGAGGAGTTGTCCAAGAACCTCTGGGTGACCCAGAGTTGGGAACCACTCTCACGGAGCTTAATGTAACAGGGTTCTGCAAAGTGCACTGCACAAAATATTCAACAAGAATCCTACAGTTTCCTGATCAGGAGAGGACCGGATTCCTCTCACTCTCTTTAAAGACCTCCTAGTCTTTTCTTGTTTTAAACCTCCCCACGGAGCAAGACAGAGGAAGGTGAGACTCTGCCCCCGGCTTCCTGAATCCTCTCTAGCCAGTCCTGGATGGTGCGTCCAACCTTCGTAATCGGTAGACGAGGAAGATGGGAAGGGTTAGGCCACCCATCTGGAGAGAATGCTGTTCTGTCCCATTTGCCTCTGTTCCTCGGACTTGAACATCTTTGAGAGACGGACGGTGGGGCCCAGAGCCCGCTTGCGTGTTTCCAATGGCGCCGTCGAGTGGAGGAGCTGGATCGAGAGAATCCACGTGTTTGGGCTGCATGCGTTGTTGTCGCCTCCCCCCCTCTCTCACCTCTTGCATCCGGGGCCTTTCCCTTTTGTGAGCTGAACTTTCCCAGTTTGGGACAAGCGGGTGAGTCTTCTTTCCCGAAGGTATTTGCTTCTTTTTCCATGCTTAGAGCTCAACATTCAGCTGCTTCGAGGGGAGGGGGAAAGGGTGTCCCTGAGGTGGATTTTTATCCATCCTGACAGCTTGAGCAGAGTGCGAGGTGAATGATTTCCACCTGGCGGGAAGGATTAGGCACCAACTGGGGCTTTTGTGTATCCGGTGGTTCAAGCCCCTACATGACTGACTGCCTTCTGTGCGTGTGCTGTGGTTTTGTTCTGGAATTTGGCCTAATGGTGACTCTAATGAAATGTGCCATCATATAATTGCTTTTTGAAAAACAACACCACATAACTGTGTTGATACTGGACTTGTTTTGGCGACAAGCTTTTGGTTGCTTATGAGGATGCCAAAAAAACTTCAGAAATTGTAGACCTTGCTCTGAAAACTTCATCCCCCTTGTGTCAAACATTTTTTCTAGTGTGACTGTACCTGGTGAAGAAAAGGAGCTTCTTTCAGGGGCCCAGGGAGCAAAGCGAACTACCCAGGTGTAAAGCAAGTCAGAGCACTTCAGGGAGACAAGAGAAGTATAAAATATGCACACACCATTAGCATTTCTTCTCCCACTAGATAGCCATCAGTTTCTAAAAACCCGTTCAAATAAAAGCTCTTTGCCTGCCAGTGGGAGAACAACAGGGAAAGGGCTTCTCAAGCCTGCCTTGGACAAGAATTTACAGTATAAGCGAAACCTCTGATGTACCGGGGGCAGGGTTTGCATCGTCCAAAAATGTAGCTGGATTTCGGCTTCTGGTTTTTAGGTTTTGGGATGCCGCTGGGAGAATGGAGCCCGCGGGCTGAAAGGGTCATTTAGATTTGCAAACGGAATTTCGAAAGGAAATGCTGAGTGACCCCCTTGGACTGGGTTTGAGGCTGCAGCTTGAAAACCCCGTCTGTCTCCTTACCTGCGGACGTTTGGGTGACGGTTTGGGCCGCCTGGAGCTGGACGATGCCCAGCTGGTTGTTCATCTCGGAGTATTTCCCTTCCACGTCGTTCAGGCGGAGCTCCATCCGCTTGACGCTCCCTTCCAGCTCGATCACCTGCATGAGGGTGCCGCCCAGCTCGCTCTCCTGCTTGCGGCTGAGCTCCTCGATCCGGGCGGACAGGTTGGCCACCTGCACCCTCAGCTCCTCGCAGCAGGCGGGCATCTTCCCCCCGTTGGCCGGCTTCCTTTTGGGAGGTTTCTGGAGCCACGCCGGGCAGATGGCCAAAGAGAGGGTGAGCGTGCATAACCAAGCCAGTTGGGCACTGACCCCTGGCTGCATGTTTACTTCTTGTGGCTTTCTCTCTCTCTCTCTCTCTCTCTCTCTCTCACACACACACACACACACACACCAGTGGTGGTTGTTTCAGAAAGGATCCGTTCTTCTCCCCTCACAGCTGGAGAAAAAAATATATACTTTTCGGCAATGGAGGAGCCTGCAAAGCTGGACTAGTAATGAAATTTTCTGTGAGGGCAAAGCAAAACCCAGCTGGGATTCACGCCCGTCTTTTTCTTAATGCTTTGATGCTCTCCAAAGTAGACCGCTCTTGTGAGCATCGGTGTCCTTGCTAGAAAAATGTGGGTCTCTGCTTTTCTCTCACCCGTCCTCAGCATCTTAAATATCCATGCCCCCCCTCCAGGTCCCTCCACACACACACACACCCTTGCAGCCTGCTAAGCCACTCCCAACTCATCTGTTTGAGTCAGGTGAAACCTAAGAAGCTTGAGAGTTGTGTATGTGTGTGTCTTGAGGAAGTGGGTGGGTAGGAGGATTTCCTCTTCAGCCCGTCATTCAACTCAGATGGGACAGAAGGATGGGAAGACCCGGAGTTGACATTACAGTAAATGATGATTTAATACTCTGGAATGTTAGGGAACAGACTATTTGGTAAATAGATGGTTTTGGTCTCACCCTTATGTAACAGATTGAATTCCATTTCTAAGATTCCTTATTTAAGATCACCTTTGTGAGTTACATTTTTGATGTTTTTTTCTCCCCCCTGACTTTATTGCAGCAGAAAGACCACCTTTTTCTAAAGCAAAGACTTCCACGGCTTTTTGTGACCGTGGTGTCAGGAAACTTTGCCCCCAAAGTAAAGGAATATTAAGGGAAGGATGGGAATTATAGTTCCCCTGTCAGTGCTTCTTGACCTTGGGTCACCCAGGGGTTCTAGGACTAGAACGCCCAAAAATCCTGTCCAACACAGTTCGTGGTGAGGGCTTCTGGGAGATGCAGTCCAAGAACACCCGGGTGACCCCATTGCTAAGGGATTGGGGGAATTGTAATCCAAAACCATCCAGAAAAAGGCAAGAAGTCCCCACCGCAGAATTGGGGTCAGAGCTAGACAGGATGATGATACCTTTTGCTTGAAGCCAAAGAGGTTTGGGTTTGATCATGGATTCACCAGAGAGATCACGTGGGAATCTTATATATGCTAGTTTGAATTGCTCAGGAGAAGGAGGGCAGAATATAAATGTGCTAAACAGACAATATTTGTTTGTTTGTTTCAATTGTTTATATGCTGCTTTTCTCCCCACAAGGGACCCCGAATCTTTCCATGTAAATGCTGGACTTCCCAAGGCCAAGCCAATTGGCACTGCTTCCTCCCGCCCCATCACCCGGCTCCGGTAATCAAATGGTGCCTCACATCCTATGCCTTGAGGCTGCCAGACCCCCTACACTTGCTCGTAATTTCCCAGGACGATCCCAGTGATAGAACTGGACGGAAGAGCAAATAATTTAGGAGTATCACCGGAAATCAAACATCATGTCAAAAATGTCTTTGCTTTAAAGAGAGAGAAGGGAGGAGTAAGGATGATGCCTTAAGCCCTCTGGCAATATTCAGCCTCCTTGGCTTCCCGGCTGGGGGCTCCCACGCTTTCCCAACACTCAGGATGCCACCAGACCCCCGCACTTCGAAAAAAGAGTGGGCCACAAGCGCCAAAAACATCGGAATAAAAAGGGTGCCTGATGCAGGAGGCACTCGGTGGCTCGCTACTCATGTTGGGGCCGATTATTTTGCACGAAACGTTTAATTGGACCGAATTAAAGCAGGGCATGGGGCGTCTCCCTCTTCCCTACGCCTCCCCCAACCCTTGACCCTCCTTTTTCATTCTTTCCCTAATCCAGTCTCTGCGCCTCCTCCCGGCCCTAGTTTCTCTCCCTTTCTTTCCCAGGGGCAAATTCTTCCTTGGGCCTCTTTTGATGAGAAACATGTTTGTCAAATGGAAGGCCAAGGCGGGAGGGGGGGGAGGATGTCCCTTCTCTCCTTCAGCTCTCCCTGTTCCCCTGATCTCTGTTTTCTCTTACGCCCGCTCTCATCCCTGTTCAGAAGACTGAGCTGCTGGGATTTTGACCCTTTTTGCCTTTACTCGTGGTTTGCAGATCCGTCTGGCCATTACGTGCTTTAGGATACAGATAAAGTGCTGCTTCAGTCATTTTCCCTTGTACATTTGATCATTCCTCCCTCATGTGGGTGCCCTCCAAATATTGCAAAAGCAAAGTGTGCCGCTTACCTGCCGGCCCAGAGGGCTTAAAGCGCTCTCTGGATGTTTTTGCAACCTAATGGCACAGGTTACACATTTGATCTGTGTAGTTAAGTGACTGGCCTCTGTAGGACGAAAGGTTGAGTCCACCTTGAGCGGGCTACCTGAGCCCAGGATCCAACTCATCTTAGAACTAATGAGCAGAGTTTTCACTGCAGTAGTGCAGTTTAATCCGTTGCACCATGACGCTACAGGTCCCCTCATTTTTTTTTTTTTTTGCCAGGAGTGACCCACATAACCTGGGAGCTGCAGCTGAAAAGCACAAATCCGGGCCCCTTTAATGCAAAGCATGTGCTCTGCCCCCCCCCCCCCAGTTACAAGTTATAACCTTAAGCTCTTGTTCTTTGCCCCCATGTGACCATCCCATTTCTCCTCCTTTAACTTCTTAAGGCCACCTGTAGATCTTGGCCTCCTCTAAACCTCCCTACCCATGCGTGGTTTCTCAAACAGAGAGATGGCTGGAATTCTGCGAAATCCCCACCACCACCACCATGTGAGGGTCTGAATCCCATGGGTCCTAAAAGCTTCCTTCCTCTTCGAGAGAGAGAGCTCTTTTGAGAAGCTGACTTCTCCCGGCAGGATCCAGGCAGGGCCTGGTGGGGAAAGAACTCTGAGACGAAGCCTTCGCCTTATCGGCGAGTCCAGAATCTGAGCTGCCCTTTTTCCTGGGGTGCCGTCCTTCACCTCCTTGTATTCTGCCTCACAGCCTGCAGCCTCAGCTGCTGTTCCTGTAGAGTTGAAGATGTTACGTAAAAAAAAAAGAAATAATCTGGAGAATTGTTTTGTTTTTCCCTTTGGATCAGACTTACCGGCAGCGGCTCTTTTTATAAAACACCGTGAGGCCCTTGGGAAAAAAATAGCAGCAATAACCCCCCCTCCCCAAAAAAATCTGTTCTATGAATTTATGGGAGATCTCGGAGTCTATGAAAACCCAAAATAAAGTTTGCGTTGATGATGGGGAAATTATGAAATCCGCAGGCAGCTAACCTTTTCTCTACTCAGCATGGCTGAAAATGTGCTTCTTTAAGAAAACAAAGCAGTTTCTGTATGTCTGAGGGGAAAAAACTGAGAATTGGGACAGAATCGTAATTGGGGTTTAAGATGACCTCTCAGCCGTTTGCCATGGGCTCCTTTTCTTTGTAGGGACGTGGTGGCGCTGTGGGCTAAACCGCAGAAGCCTGTGCTGCAGGGTCAGAAGATCCAGCAGTCGTAAGATCGAATCCACGCAACGGAATGAGCACCCGTTGCTTGTCCCAGCTCCCGCCAACCTAGCGGTTCGAAAGCATGCAAATGCAAGTAGATAAATAGGGACCACCTCGGTGGGAAGGTAAAAAGAGTTCCGTGTCTAAATCACACTGGACATGTGACAACGAAAAGATGTCTGAGGGGAAAAAACTGAGAATTGGGACAGAATCGTAATTGGGGTTTAAGATGACCTCTCAGCTGTTTGCCATGGGCTGCTTTTCTTTCTTAGCTGGACTATCTGCTGGGAGACTCAGGGTGTAAACGCAGGTAAAAAAAGCAGGTTAGCAAGCTGAATTTGCCATTCAGTGCCTTTATAGAAAAGCCTGAGAAAAGCTCTTTTTTTGGAAATCCAAGACCTCGGGTGGGGTGGGGGAATCTCTGCATGGCAGCAGAGGAAAAGCTACTTCTCATAACTTTGGTCGGCTTGTAGTTAACACTTCACACAGTTGCCAAGTGATAGAAGTCAAGGGCGTGTAGCTCAAAGGAGTGTGTCCCTCGTTGAGTGTATCTGACATCTTCCTTTACGACGACAGCTTTCTCGAGATGTGTTCGGCTCGGGGGCCACCATATAAAAGGCCCTACCTCACAGCCTGGCCTTCCCAGGAGAGCACCGTGAACATACAGCACCATATAGGAAGTGTTGCTCTATCAGACACCCGGATCCTATGCCGTTTAGAGCGTAATGAATGAGACCCATTTTAAATGGAAGATGAAGCACAATTGGGTCTAGAAGGTAGTGAAGGAAGGGACCCCAGGGATCAATTCAGCTGCCCCTTTTTTGCACCACTGGAGGTTTCTGCGTGATTGCTGTAAAGGTCCAGAAATGTTGAAAACAGAGTCTCATTGCTTTGTGGCGTAGAGAGTTTCTTCCACCTTCACCTTTAGGAGGCCCAATGCAGATCACTGTCCCAGCACTGCTAACAACAGCCCCCCCCCAGCTGCTATTTTGCCATGGAGGATAAGTTGTGCCAGGAGGGGTGTGTCACGATGCATTCCTCTAGAACTGGCCAACTTAGTGGAGAAAAACACCCACCTGTTTTTGTTACTAGCAAACCTGTGAATACCAGTAACAGCACTTGGAGTTTCAGCTCCTGACCGTTTTGTCTGGGAGGATTATAGGCCCCTTGGGGCTGATGTGCAGAATTCTGAATATTTTCCCTCCCCTCCCATGTGTCCCTTGCGTCGAGCCAGGGTAGCCGGGAAAACGGTCTTGTAATTCCTGAAGAATGTTAAAAGAGTTTCAAAATCTCAGGCCTAAAAAAAAAGATGAAAAAGGAGTAGATGCCTGAAAACATGCCTTCCTGTTTTTCTCTCAAGGTGAGACCTGGATCTTTTCAGAAGGAAGACCGGGAGGGGGGGGGCAAGAGAAAGAGAGAGAGAAAGAGACCCTGGTGCCATTTAATAGGCATGTTTTGAAGGTGCTGTCAGAGCTTGGCTTGGAAGTGTTCAAAAGTCAACACTTAGTCACTGGCTTCTAGGAAAAGACACATTCCCCCCCCCCCACATTCTACCTGCCTCCGGGCCATTCCAGCCTCAGAATTCATCTGTTTTGACTCTTTTGCCTTTTGAAAACACACCTTCCAGCTAAGATGGCAAAACTGGCCTCATAAGCTGTCAATAAGTCACTTGCAGGGTTTGGCCATCCCTAAAATACAAATTTCAATCCTGAAGCTGAGGCTCCAATACTTTGGCCATTTCATGAGAAGAGAAAACTCCCTGGAAAAGACCCTGATGTTGGGAAAGTGTGAAGGGAAGAGGAGAAGGGAACGACCGAGGATGAGATGGTTGGACAGTGTCATCAAAGCGACCAACATGAATTTGACCCAACTCCGGGAGGCAGTGGAAGACAGGAGGGCCTGGTGTGCTCTGGTCCATGGGGTCACGACAACAAAATACAAATTGAAAACCATGCAATGGGCCTTGAGTACATTGAACCGGTTAGAGCGGAGGAGGGAATGTGTCATTTCTGATTAACAAGAGGCTTTACAGCTTCTTTCTGTATTTGTCTTGTGGATGACGAGATGATAGATTCGGCTGAAAAACTGACATTCAAGTTTGAAACTGGGTTCATGTCCATCCGTTCTTCCATTGGCATACACGGAGCTGTCCGGGGTGGGGCAAAGAGAAGGGGCAAGTGAGCGTCTCTCTGATCAGAGTGCCGGAGGTGGGGAACCTCGGGCTCTGGAGCTGAATATGCCTCTGGCCGACCCAAAAGGCCCAGCAATCTGTGTGAGCCCTCGAGATCTTTTCCTCATTAGGACCTCTGCCTCTTTTGGTCCTCCTTCCTCATGTCAAGATGTTATGGAGATCCATCTTGGGAAGATTTTTTTAAAAGCCACTTCCAGCTCACACAGAGACAAAGCCCATTGGAGAGGATGCTATCCCCCCCCTTTTCCAAGGTTTTCAAAATACATTCGAGCATGTTCAGTCTTGTTTTGAAGCACACACTTTTCATCTCGTTTTTCTCTCAAAAAGACAGGAGCGAAGGAGCCATCAAATCCTTACTGGAAGGGAGCCGAGAGATAAATGTCCAATTAGTCCTGAGGTGTTGACAAAAGCGATAAAGCCAAGGCGTAATTAAGTGTCTGACATGCCGTGGCCGAGAGGCTTCAGCCTGCCAAGGGGAATGTGATGGCCGTTTATCTTTTTCACGATACTGTCATGACTAGCGGTTGCTGGAGGGAGAGCTATGTTGTTATTCTCTGCCTCCAACAGTGGAGGTTTATCTCCCAAGTCCACCTTGTCTTTCAAGGCGAGAGAGTCGGGGTCTTGCCGTTCTGTCAATTAAGTAATCTGAAGGCAGAGCAGAGGCTGAAAATAAATGGCCTTTCCCCAACAGGAGTGGAGAGCCCTGTTTTATTCAGTTGACAGCCTCCTTCTCTGATTGCTTTGTGGAAGATTATGTGGTAGCAAGAGAGCAGCACCTTTGGGTACAGATTGAAAATCTCTGGGTCCCCTTCTGTTTGGGAAGTGGGGGACATACCCATCAATACGAATGAACAGTATCTGTGTAGCCTTTCCGCCCCCAGCGTTTACATCATTTTTGAAAGGAGTGGGACCTTGAATTAAGCCAAAGGTCTGTCTTGCTTTTTATGGCCTAAACCCAATTCTAATATGATGATTATAGAACTGCTGGGTGGCTCATTAGTTGAAGGCTACAGAGCCAAAGGTTTGGAGTTCAGTTCCTCAATGTGCTTCCTTCACAGGGGCCGGACTCCGTGATCCACACAGGGTTAGGGTCCCGTACCGCTCTGCGTTTCTGAGATGATGACGACGAGGACGATCATGATTAATCTCAGAGACAGGAGATTGATTGTATCAGTAGGGATTTGATAAGTCAGCATGGATTCAGTGGTTCAGTTCTAGATGGGAATCAGAATTGAGTGTTGACCCATATCAAAGATAGGAGGTAATAGGGAGATCTTAACTCCCTCTGCCTCAGATGCATGCATGCACAGACGCGCACACACACCAGTTGTGAGTTGACCGGGGAGAAGGGTTGGCTAAGCAGAATCCTTTCGAAACCAAAAAACAAAACCATTAGTGTTAAGCCTCAGCTTGGAAGCCAAGGGAGATCAACGTTGCCTTTGGCGCTTTCAGCATGAATGATGATGGAAGGATGAAGTGTCGTTGCCCACCTTGAGCACCGTTCTCTAAGGACTCGCCAAAGAGAAGCGTTTTGGCAGATCGGGTGCAGTTGTTGTTCAGGTCTGGAGAGGAACTGGGTCCTGGCTCTCCCGCGCAGGACAGAAAACTTGCTTTTTTTCCTCCTCCACAAAGTAGGATCTGGAGGACCCGTGGATTCAGATTACAAGAACGGAGGTTTCCAACGACGCTGTAGGAAGAATTTCTCTGTTCCTGCCTGCCTCATCCCACTTTTGCTTCCAAAACCGATGCCTGTCTTAATTCTGATTTCCTTCGAGGTTCACAATCTAGCAGCAGAAAAAGAGGCGTAAGGGCCGGTTGTCCTTCTCTCAGTGAATTCCTCAGGAGAGCAACCAGCGGTGTGGCTGAAGTGAGAAGAGCCTCTGATGGATATAAAATGCTCATCCCTTCGCCTTCTGCTCTAAGTCCCTCAGAGCCTCTGATGGATATAAAATGCTCATCGCCTTCTGCTCTAAGTCCCTTCAAGGGATTGCTCACCTTTCTCTAAAAAATACAAGGCAGGGGAGGGAAGGGTTCCCACCCAGTAAGAGAGACACAAAAATGTTTGTGGCTGGCATTTCGGAGGCCGGGAAGCCGCCTGCATATGTGGACGTTGCAGGAGGAGGCCGAGGGCAGGAAGTCCGGGCTTAAGAGAATGCAGCCTGGAGGAAATGAAAATAAAGGCATGAAGCAGACATGTGAGCTCGGTTGACGTTCTCTGCCGATCGATCGCTCCTCTGTTAAATCTCGCTCAAAGCCGGGGATCACGTGGCGCTGGCAGAAGATGAACTGGTTGGGGGAATCGAAGGGTTTGGTGGCGAGGGAAAGGGTCCAGGGCAAAAGTCTGGAAGAATATCATGTGGAAAATGGGTAGCGGTCTTCTCTTTTTTTTTTTAGACAGCAGCGGCTTCCTGTCTCCTTTTCTTACTGGGGCCACTTCAATGAATGAATGGGTCTAAGCAGAACGATCGCAGAAGGTTGCCACTGTTTTTGCAAGTGGTTTGTTTTAATCTGCATTTTGGTCTCCTTGCCGGAGTCATAACAGAACTAACAGAAACAAGCCAACCGATGCAAATAAATACAGAGAAATGTTACAGGATGGAAACAGTTACCCAAGTTTAGGATATCAATACACAGTTTACTTAAAAGCAATAAAAACAAAATCCGTAAGAATGGCATACAAAATGCTGTTTTTTCAGCAACCAGCCAGTGGTTTATACTTTTTGTTGGTGGCCAAGAGAATGGGCTTCTCCCACAGCCACGTCCACCTAGGGAATAATCTCTGCCCTGCGTCGTCTCGGGCCTTTACTACTTGCAGAGACTAGACCTTTGTTGAAATCTTTCTGTTTTGGTTCTCCAGCAGCTTTGAACTTTCTCAGTATGACATTATTCTATTCCAGCTGATACCGTGGTTGTAAACTGCTTTGTGATTTTTGCGAACGAAAAGGGATGTAGAAATATTTCTGTTGCTAACAGGTGCTGAACTTTATCAGACGTCTGTCTTTTTGCTGCACTTCACAAAAGGGTGCTTCTGATCCTTTTAAAAAAATGTTTTGCCTGGAATGTGACAGAGGAAGGAAGGAGTGTGGGAAAGGTGTGTTGGGGGTGGTTGTTGTTTTAAATAAAAAGTTCCAGAATCCCCCAGCTGGTGTGGTTGTTGGTGTGGGATTCTTAAAGCTTCTTTAAAATCTATATTTTTTTCCAAGCTGTTTCTTTTCAAGCTTTTCAGTTATGATACCCTAGCAATGGCAGATCCTCTCTGGCAAAAGTCAGAGTGAAATGTCTTTTGACTTTGCTTGTGCAGAGGTTTTCATGTGCTAGTTTTGAATTTTTGTATTCTTCCCCCCCCCCATGTGCTGATATATAAGCCACACCAAAATGAGGTCTCCCGAAGAAGAACAGGCAGATCCATGAATAATATACATGCTTAATAACAAATAAACAGCTTAATCTCCTCGTATTTAGAAGCCACATTTATCCTAACCATTTAACAATATCTGTCCCTGAATCCCCCCTTTTTTCTCCCTGTTTGTCTCCTCCCAGTATTAACAATAAACTGCAGCAGCCTGAGGCGGCTTCGGGGGTGCTGGAATATGCCATGAAACACTTCGGGGAGCTGGTGAGTCAAGTCTCCTTTTTCTGTGTGCTTCTGAAAGACGGCTCTGAGAAGTCCTTTTTGGTCGGTTCTGCAGCCAGTGCTAGCTTTGAAACATCCTGCCTGTGGATCCCTGAAGGGGAGAGAGAGAGAGAGAGACTGTTTCCAGTCCGGAGCCGTACGGTCTCACGTGGAAGGGCACCGAGTGGTGGTGTGCATCGCTTGATCCTGCCTGCAGGCCATGAAAGAATCCGGCGCTTGGCATTCAACGTGGCCAAGACTGCCAACGGCTGAGCAGAAAAGAACATCGGCCCAGAGCCCGCGTCGGGGCAGGGTGGAGCGGAGAAGCTGGAGAGATTCCAAGGGGCAGCTTGTTCTTTTCTTTTAAAAATAAAAAAAATTAAAACCCCTGAAAATTAAAATCCTTCAGGAGGCAAGTGGTTAGGGAAAGATTTGGGGGATTTTCGGAATGCCCATGTCGTCCACTGGTGCTCTTTTTTCCATTTTGACATGGCTTCTGAAAACGAGGTGGTTTAAGGCTTGGTGAAAGTTTACGATCTCTTCCCCTTTTGCGGAGAATCAACAACCACACTAGACCTTTGCAGGCTGGCCCCCTTCATCCTGCCACCCGCCGGCTGTATTCCTGTCTTACTTTCAGTGTATGTGGATGGGTCTCGGGCTTGGAGGGCCCCGCCTCTGTTCTTGGCCCCTCGGGGTCCCCCTGTTCCCCCAAAAAGCCATCTGGTTGGTATCCAAGGCTATAATACCTTTAAGCAGACTTGTCTTTAAATTGAGAGCGAGAGAGAGAAGCCAGCTATTTGTCTGTTTGGTCTGACATCATCCACCCTAGATGGGGACCGACTCCTGCGATCTCAAAGCGTGGCTTCTCATGATGAACTGCAGCCTGCCTCTGAAGGGAAGCCCTGGTCATCAAGCATCCCCTCTTGAGTGTGCGGTTGCTCTTGGACGTGGTCGCTCGTGTCCTGTGGCGGCTGGCCGAGAGTTGGATTCCCGTTTAAGTTTCTGATCCATTTTTCAAAAGGGGGTGTGTGGAGGCTTTGTGGGCCTGACCTGTCCCTGCTGGAGAGCTGTCATGCTCCACTTGTGCTCCTCCCGTTGCTGGGTCAGAGACGATGTTGACCGGAAGGAGGTGAGACTCCGAAGTGGAGCCCTCTGCTTTCCGTGCAGGTTTGGTTGCCCTGTGGTCTGTGTCTCCAGGTGGTTTCTCCCACTGAAAACTCTGCTTTCCTCTGCTCTCTCCTCCTCCTCCTCGATCATCATCATCATCATTTTCTTCCCTCCAGGAAATCCAGGCCACCTGGTATGAGAAGCTTCACGAGTGGGAAGATGCTCTCGTGGCCTATGAGAAGAAGATGGACACTAACAAGGACGATCCGGAACTGATGCTGGGGCGGATGCGCTGCCTGGAAGCCCTGGGGGAGTGGTAAGAGAAGGCCTCTCTCCGCCCATCAGCACGTGGGGAACTGCCTGGACTTGGACCCGAAGATCCAGAGGTCCCGGCCGGATCGGTTCTTCTACTGCCTGGCGAGCTCTGACTGAAAAGAGAGGCAGCCCAGAAACAGGCTGTAAAAAAGACCTTTCAAAAGTTGTGCAAGGGGGATGGTGGAGGAGGGACAAACGATCGCTGCTTTCCTGGTATAGCAGCAACATCTGATCCGCAGGTGGAATGTATGGGGAGGGTGGGGGTGGCTGGGCTCTCCGGAGCCTAATTGTGGAAGACGGGGTCTGCGCGATGGAGCGTGCCCCACTCAACGTGAAGGGTTTGGCAAATCTGTTCACGCCCTGCCTGGGTGGCTGAGCGCCTTGCATGCCACGCCGAGCTTCTGTTTTGATGGGCGGTAACACAAACGCAAACTGATGGCATGTGAGCTGTGGGGTGGGGGGTAAAGGGAAGGGGCCTCCCCGTTGAATTTGGAAGACAAGCCAAGAAGGCCTGGGGACCCCACCACCGGCCTAACCGCCCTGACAAGGTTCATGGAGGGTGTTCGTAGGATGATGGGCCCTGAATCGCTTGAGTTGGTTGGAGAGAGCAGGGTGGCTTTTGGGGACAGAAGGCAGGGTGGGTCAAGACGGGCAACATGAAACCCTCTTTTTAAGCAGCCTTGAAGGTGACCCCATTCATCTGTCCGAAGGTCCCACAAAGCAACAAACATCAGATTTAAAGGAACCATCAACTTGGGTATAAAATGGTGACTGAAGTATATTTTTTAAAAAAATCAAAGAGGAGGAGATTCATGACCGCTGAAGAACAGCAGCTAGCTAGGGAGCTGATCCTACTCTTTCCTATCTATTCTCACCAGCAGAGTCATAGAATCGACGGATGGCTGAGTTGGAGGGGGCCTCTTAAGGCCATCGGGCCCGACCCCTTGCTCAAGGGGCCGCGTCCTTTCCCCTGAAGGCTCCTCCTCCAGTCCAACTTCAGAGCCGTGGGCCCTTGTTTCCCCACCCACCCCCCAAGTGGGGCTGTGAAAGCCCTTCTCTTGAGCATTTTGCTCTTAAGTCCCGCTGCTCCTCACGCCAGGGCAGAGGCCAAAACACAGGGAAACACGACGGATCTGGGACCTTTTTGGAGGGGGTTGCTTCCTCCACCGATTTGCCCTTCTCCCCATTGCTGTCGTTTCCAGGGGGCAACTACACCAGCAATGCTGTGAGAAATGGACCTTGGTGAATGACGAAACGCAGGCGAAAATGGCCAGGATGGCAGCAGCAGCCGCTTGGGGCTTAGGTGAGTCGTCCCCTTTTGGAAGAACCTTTTGGAAGAAGGAGAGAGAGAGAGGTTCCCGATGGCTGGGCTGGGGGGAGGGGGATTTCAAGGATTCAGCCAGGCCGGGGGAAAAGCCGAAGGCAGCGGGGAGAGAAAAATGGAAGAGGAGATGCGAGATGGATTGGCTCCCTAAAGGAGGCTCCCGGCTTGAGTTTCCAATAACTGAGCCGAATGGTTCAGGACTGGACCTTCTGGAGGTTGCTCATTTGTGGGGTCGCCCTAAATGGGAAGCAGCCAGATGGCCCATCACAACGTCCACCCCAGAAGAGAAGGTGTGTTTTTGGGGATGCTCCAAGAGAAGCCTCAGGTGAGGCAGTCCACCTTACAAACTGCAGGACAGGGTATCCTAAGACAGGTTCAGGGAGGACGCAATGGGGGGGGGGGGGGGGGAGAAGAGAAGGATAAAGGCTTGGCTTGAGCTTGATTGCAATGTGGGGATGCAGGAGCCCCCAAAGCCCTTCTGAGTCTCTGCATTTCAAGCAGGCACAGCATCAGAAACATTCCCATGGGCGAGAACACCCTCCCCTTCTTCAGTCCGATTAGACGGGCTAGAGGTTTCATTCACCAATTTCATTCGTGCCACACACTGCTACGAATCAAGAAAGAATACTTACTCTCCTGGTTGTCTTGGTCGTGTGTGTGTGTCTTGGTTTGGTGGGCTTCTCCGGTCGGGTCCCTTCCAGCTCTGAGGACTCACCCAGCCCGCCTCTCTCTCCCCCCCCCCCCCCGCAGGCCAGTGGGACAGCATGGAGGAGTACACGTGCATGATCCCGAGGGACACCCACGACGGTGCCTTCTATCGGGCCGTCCTGGCGCTGCATCAGGACCTTTTCTCGTTGGCCCAACAGGTACGTTGTGAAGGAGGCCCCATTTCGGGTCTCGTCGCCGTTTTGATCCGCGAGGACCAGGGTTGGATGTGGCATTTCAGAAAGAACCCCCAGGGGGAGACCGTTCTCCATTTCGCTCCTCTTCCAGGCTCCTCGGTGGAACCTCCTTTTTTCCTCTCTTGCAGGTTCTGGCCAGCGTCACACCTTTCCGTGGCCTCTGAATCTTTCCCTCTTATTTAGGCAGTCAGATGCCCCATTGTAAGCCACCTTGGGTGTCTTTGGGGAGAAAAGACATGGTCTAGAGGGGCAGGGTAAAAATCCAATAAATAAATAAAAATAAATAAATAAAAGGGGGATAGAAATATTTTAAATAAATAAATAAGGCACATCGGTTCACTCTGGCTTTTCCTGTTCAGTCATCTCCCTTTCCCTCTTTTACGCCTCTGTGTTTTAAATGACAAACCCTGGCGGGGCAGAACTTGTTTAATTTTTGGGACGGCACTTACCAGTTCCTGCCATTTTCATCAGTGTAAGTCCTCAAATCGGGTTACGACCCAAGAACAACAAGACAAAGACAAAAACCCCTATTAATATAACACGGCAATATTAAATGCCTCATTCTAATAAGATAACCATTTAATTTGTGCTACACTTTATAGACACAGTAGGTCAATATCAATCACTACGAAGTTCATGGCCAGAATCCTGTTGATTCTTTGTGTTGCAAGTGGTGTTTATTGCAGGGATGAATGGACTGCTGTTTTATGTTCCTTGTCATGTGCCTGTCATGTGATCTGAGGAATGCAAGAAGGAATACAAGCAGAGGATCGTTAGCTGCTGGGTGCCTGTTCTGTGATTTCATAGACTCCTAGAATCACAGAGTTGGAAGGGGCCCCTGAGGCCATGGAGTCTAACCCCCTTCTCAAGGCAGGAACCCAAGTCAAAGCAGATCGGACAGAGGGTGGTCCTGTTTTCTCTTGAAGGACTCCATAGTTGGAGTGCTCACCAGCTCCCGAGGTCATGGGTTCCGTTGTCGTACTGCTCTTACAGCTCAGAAGTTTTTCCTGATGTTCAGCCTAAATCTGGTTTCCTGTAAATGTGAGCCCATTTTTGCGTGTCCTGCACTCTGTGATGATCAAGAACAGATCCTGCCCCTCCTCTTTCAAGTATTTTAAAAGTGCTCTCCTCTTTCTCTCCTCAGTCTTCTTTTCACAAGGCGTTAACCATTCTCATTTACACCATCGCACTTAGGCTGGCCCAAGTAACCCACTGTATTCTGGCCAATGTATTTTTAAAAAATAAGTAACAAATAATGCTCTCTGCCAAACAATTCAAGTGGATCCGGGGGACTCTTAAGCCATTGATCATGGAGCCTTTCCCAGGAAGGAATCTATCTCAGCCGCCTCTTCCTTTCTCTATCTCTTTTCTCCTTCAGTGCATCGATAAAGCTCGAGATCTCTTAGACGCTGAGCTGACGGCCATGGCGGGAGAGAGCTACAGCCGTGCCTATGGGGTGAGTGCGTCAGTGCCCGGGGCGTCGGGCGCCCGTCCTCTCCACTCAGGAGCCACTCTGGCGTGCCGGTGATAGGGATGGAATGTGACTGGGCTCTTTCTGTCTTCCCTCCAGGCCATGGTCTCCTGCCAGATGCTGTCGGAGCTGGAAGAAGTCATCCAGTACAAACTCGTCCCCGAGCGACGCGAGATCATCCGCCAGATCTGGTGGGAGAGGCTGCAGGTAACAGGGCACTGCCCACGGGGCCTGCTCGGTATGCCCAGGAAGCAGCCGTTGTACCAGTTAGGCGCCCTTTCAGAAGTGCCAGACTCTCACACCTACCGTTCCGTTCTGTTTTCGTTTCCACCGTTTTAAAGCTGCGTGTCGGGAAAGCGCAAGGCGGGCAAAGCGTGGATGCTTCTGGGTTTGTTAGGCTGCCTTTCCCAGCGGTGCTGATCCAGCGTAGAACATGGCGGAAGGGTCAGGACAGACAAAAGTTCCTCTTCATGCCCAGGCGAACTGGTTTTTTGATTCCCTCCTTCCAGTTGCAGTGATGGCCACTAGCTTTGAGGGAGGGCTGGCCTGCATCTGCACCTGGCAGGATGGGGCCCCCCCACTGTTCCTCCTATAACCCCCCTTCCCCCCCCCCCAGCACCTTAAAAATGCTTTGGAGGAACCCTCTGGAGCAGGTTTCTGGTTCCACAGCAGGATTGCGGCAGAAGGGAAGGGAAAGAACCCTGCAATTCCTCTAGAGGCGGGTCCTGAAGCGCACACCCTTGCATGGATTGGGGCCATATCCCTTACAGGGTGGAGTTTCTCCTGACACAGGAGGCCTTCGTTTTCGTGGTGTTCGTTCCTAAGGGGCGGTGTTCTAAGCCTGAATCTTAACCCTTAAATTTCATTCAGAACACTTGCGCGAGCCAAAGAAATGGCACGACGTTTGCTAAGTGGCGTACCTTACTTTGTGAGTTCCCCAGTTTTTCCTCCAGCTTTCATAATTCTGGGGAGATTGTACGAGATTCTGTCAGCACCTGTGCCTGTGATCATGTCGGCAGAGAGTTGAAGAGTGACCTCATAGGGAGTGTGTGGTTTCAGGTGTATCAAGACGGGAGGGTTTCACGGGCCCTTCCTCCTGAACCTTTAACCATCAGAGGAAACTGATGCGGATGGCCTGGGTGGGAAGGGACAGAGATTACACCGCCTTTTGCTTCAGAGGGAGAATGGGCGATGGTTGATGCCATTTGACTACAGTTCCCATCAGCCTTCACTCTCCTAGTCAGTCCTTAGGAGTCACAGTAGTGGCAGCTGGAGGGCCACATCTTCCCCTTCCTGTGTCTTCGTTTCCACCCTTCCATCTGTTTTTGGTGAGGCCGAGGTGGGTTCCTTAACCCAGTGGCTGCCTCCCCTTCACTCCATCGTCCACCTGGAGAGGTCGTTCTCCCGCCCTCGCCAGCGTCTTCCTGTTTGGCCGGCCCGCGCTTCCAAGCTGCCCGAGAAGCGGCTCTCTGCCAGCGCCTTGCTTGCTTTCTCCCTGTGCCAGTCGGGAAAGCTGTGACAAAGCTTTCTGCCTCCAGAACTGCATTCCTGTCTGAAAGGGCCGAGGAAAACATTCCGCCAGAGAGGGAGAAAAGCCGAGAGAGCGACAGGGTGGGTAAAGGAGTCTGCCGGCGCGTCTGTTTATAGTCCTGAAAAACAGGAGGGAGGCCGAAGCAGGACATGGAGTTCTCATACATTTTACTACGTCTTGATAATAATTATAAAAGGCCTGCTGGACCGTGCGGTGGAATGTTTTATTTGCAAGCTAGGAAGCAGCAGAGTTCGTCCTCCTGGAGTGGGAAAGAGAGAAGCAGCCAGGAGGGAAGCATCACCCGCCTTGCGCCCCGTCTTCCATCTGGATAGAAAGCTCTCATCCATCTGTCTAACCAGTGCCTGAAAATGGGGGTATTTCTGCTTGCCAGCCAGCTGGTTCGCCTCCCTGCGGCAGGGTCTCAGCCCTTTTTAGAAGGCAGGACCCCTTTGTCTTCAGTAGGTTCAAACCATGGTTTGACACCCAAGCAGAGGAGAGGAGAGGGGAACTCTGTCACAAAAAGGACATCTGCCGGTTTCAGAAGCCATGGTTGATGTCCTGGTGGGAGCAAACATCACGGTTCCTCCATGAGAGATTCACAGAATCAGAGGATCCTGGGAGTTGGAAGGGGGCCTAGAAGGCCATCAAGTCCAGCCTCCTGCTCAAGGCAGGAATACGAATCAAGACAGATCTGACAGAGGGTGGCCCTGTGTTCTCTTGAAGGCCTCCAGCCTTGGAGCCCTCACCACCTCCTGAGGTTACTGGTTCCGTCGTCATACTGCTCTAACAATTGAGAGGTTTTTCCTGATATTCAGCTGAAATCTGGCTTCCTGTAACTTGAGCCCATTATTACGTATTCTGCCCTCTGGAATGATTGAGAACAGATCCTGCCCCTCCTCCAGATGACTGCCTTTCAAGTATTCCTTTCCTGCTTCTGATGTTAAAAAGCAATCATCCTCTGCCTTTGTATCTCACTATATTCCAATAGCTCCAGGCAGCTTGGCACCTACATATATATGGAAGTAGATTCCACAGTGGGTGCCTTTTGAAAAGAAAGTGTGTGTGGGGCGGAAATGCAAGGAGGGAGATGACAGCTTAGCCGTTGAGTCCTTGCTGTACAAGCAGAAGGGCCCAGGTTCGATCCCTGGCATGGGAACGAATGAAAAGGACCAGGTAGCTGTCTGATTCCATCCCCAGGGAACTGCTTCCCATCACAAAGGAAACTGTTCAGGTTTGATCCAGGAGAGTGAGCCTCTGGCCATCGAGACCGAGGCGTCGAGCTGTCGTGGCAGGTAGACCGGAGCAGGACAGGTCTGTCGGCGCAGCTTGCCTGCCATCAGCCTGAGCCAGGTTTGCGGGGCGGCCAGATTGAGTGGTCGAGAACAGAAATCAAGAGGCGCTATAAGAGAAAGGTCTCTGCATAGGAATATGCGCACCCCCCTATCCTGCCCCCTTCCAAAGCCCCCTTTCCCAGCTTGTTTTGCTCCTGGAACAAATCAGACTCAGAAGGCAGCGTGGCCCTCTCTTTGTTTGGGAACAGAGTCAGCTCCTCCCCATCTTTTAGGCTTTCAAGAGCGGACCAAAGCGGTGGCCTCATAGTTTGGGCCCGTTCCCGTTCCAGGAGGCTGATTGTTCTTCCTCTCTTCCACCGTTCTTTTTCCATTCACCTAACCTTGTTAGGATTGGAGAACTGAGCTGGTTTCCAGTCCTGGCGACGACGCACAATCCCCAAGGACTAAATTAAGCCTGTCGTTAGCCGCATGTTTGGAATGGCACGATGCGCAGATGGAGAAAATGACGGATCCGTTGTGTGCTTGAAGAAACCCGTGCATTGTTCCTTTTGAGCGACCGGAAGCTTTGCTCGTCATTTTGCAGAGGCGGCCGTACCTCCTCCTGCTCCTTACTTAGTTGTTCTGTTTTGATGGCAGTACGGAACAACCCCCTCCCTATCTCTAGGTGGCTGGGAGGGTTTCGTTATATAAAAACAGTAGCTGACATGCTATTAAATAGACCTCCATAGATTTAATCTGTGCAGTTTAGACTGGCACAGGCCTAAAAATGGTGTTTCTGAAGCAACAGGCATTATCCTTTTGGACGATGCATGTGCGTTTGCGCCATTGTGTTAGGAGAAGCATTACTCCCAGGTGAGAGACAGGAGAAAGTAGTTTTTCTTTTCAAATAGTATTTGACTAAACCAGTGCAGGTGTAATAAAAAAAACCCAGACGCAATGAGGGTGTAATAGGGCTATAACAATGCAGCATCTCTAGATGGTGGGCTAATAATTTGAAAGGCTCTTATGTAAGTCCCTGTTTCAACTCATTCTGGTCGCAGATTCCATCGACTGGCCATGTGTTTTATGCAGCTGTTTCTTGTTTGATCTTTACCTTGCTCTGTGTTTTAATTCCTGTTAGACAAGAACAGCTATGAGTACTGGAAGAATGTGAACAGCTAAGAGGTCTCTCTCTCCTTCTCTCTTTTGCTGCTTCCCTCTTTTCCAGGGCTGCCAGAGGATTGTCGAGGACTGGCAGCGAATCCTTATGGTCCGGTCCCTGGTCATGAACGCCCACGAGGACATGAGAACGTGGCTCAAGTATGCCAGCCTCTGTGGCAAGAGTGGGCGGCTAGTAAGTGTCTCCGCTCTCCCCCACCTCAGCCCCTCAATGCAGTGTCGTGAATCTTGAAGGAGTAAATGAGATTCCTGTCTCATGAAGATCCCCCATTGTCAAAAGGTGCTGGAACTAGCTCTCTTAGATCCAGAAATCAAACAAGAAAGCTCTACGTGGAAAAGAAGGTTTTTTTTAAAAAAAAAATCACATTTCAGTGATGCCTGATTAAGGCCAGTCAGAATGCCACGGAAGGGAGCAAGCTTTCAGGGTTTCCAGTTGCCTGAAAAAATGGACCCAACCCAGCAACTGAAATTAGACAGTTGCAACGCCTAGCACAGGGATAGAAGTATACCAGAGACAAATAGGTATGCAGCATGGGGCTCTCCGCAGAGTAATCTGCAAGCGTTTGGCTACTAGCTACATGGCTCACTGGTGGTCTCTGTCCAGCTGGGTCTCCTCTCTCCGTCCCTTCCCGTTGACCTCCGTTTTTGCTCTCTGGGTGGTCTCTGTCCAGCTGGGTCTCCTCTCCTCATCCCTTCCCCGCTGCTCACTCTTCAGGACGGCCAGTCTTGATTCAAATCCCCAATTCACCCACAAATCACGGCGCTAAAATCCATTTGTCCTTCGGCACACCGGCGGCCCGGTTCTGTCGCTCCAAATCCTCGCCACTTCTCCTGGCTCTGAGAGTCTTCCGTAGACCCTGAAAGCTCACTCCGCCTGTCTCTTCCTCCTAACTTTTATCTCACGGAGTGATGAGGATAAAATGAAGGAGAGCCATGAGCTCATGGTTGGGAAGCTGAGAATGTCAGTGTACCTCTTGAAACCTAGGTTGTAGCTTAAAGCACGATTGAGTTCTTTGATGGACTGACAGCCCCAGGTGAGGCGAATCTCCGGTGGCCTCTTGGCCAACAGCTCCGTTGTCTTTGCCAACTCCCGTTGACCTCCGTTTTTGCTCTCTAACAGCAAAGTCACGTTTAAGATGGCTGGTCCTTTTCAGTTTAAGTTGATCTTAAGTGAACAGAGTTTTGCCTAACTGTAGCCCCGTGTTTTGTTTACTCCAAGGCTTTGGCCCACAAGACCCTCGTGCTGCTCCTGGGGGTTGACCCGTCCCGGCAGCTGGACCACCCTTTGCCGACGGTGCATCCTCAGGTGACCTACGCGTACATGAAGTACATGTGGAAGAGCGCCCGCAAGGTAAACGGTGCAAGGAATTTTGGAAATGCACCTTTTTTTGGCTTGGGCTGATCGCTGCACGTTTTAACTGTTTTTTTGTTTGTTTGTTTTCGGTTCTGAGTGTCAGTCACGAAGTTCTCACTCCCTTGTCCCAGCTCCTCTCTGCTCCGTTGTTGAGGTGGATGCGTTTCCTTTCATCTCCCGACATTTTCTAGATTCCTCTGTGTGTGTGTGTGTTTCTGTTCCCGATGTGTGGATGGTCGGTGAAAAAACACAAGCAACACATGGGGAAACCGGATTCTCGCAGACAAAACATCTTTCAGGAGACTTAGATCAGCCAGCCAGCAAACAGCTGGAGAGTACACGAGGCTGAGCGGAGGCCAAACGGTTTGCCTCCATGTGGCCCGGGCTCCCGTCTCCTGGCGCTGCTTTGCAAGGGGATTTACATAATCAAAATCCCAGACTGGGTCCCTTCTTTGTCCCCTCTGAGACGTTTGAAGTTTTCCTTTGCTCTCCAAGTTGCTGCCACATCATCCTCCTTCTTCGTTGATTCCCTTCCCATTCTGGTTTCTACCAGCTGCGGAGGCTGAAGCCCTGATAACGCCTGTGCCCGGCGGTATGTCCTCTAAAAAAGCAGAAGGAGCCCCCTCGGAGGTCTGATCTTCTGGGCTGTTCTTGAATTCAAGAGATTTAGACGGCTGCCTCTTTGGGAGAAAACGCAGCCAGCTCAGCTTTAACAGAAACCAGAGCGGGGAGGCCGAATTAAACAGGCTCTCGGCTTTGTGTGCGTTAAAATCAATTCTTGGGTTTTTGGTGGCTTTTTCTTTGGGAGAGTTGTCAAATAAGGCAGACTTAAATTAACCCCTTTTAAAGGAATGGGGGGAAGAGGGTTGAAGCAGAGAACGTGCCTTAACCAAACTCTGGGGAACTTAACGGCCTCGAGCAGGGCTGGCCCTACCGTCATTCAGAGTGAGACGGACACCGTAAGCAGCCTATCGTACGATCCTTTAAAACGAATTAAGGAAGCATGGATCGAGGCGAAACAAATTACTAGACCAATAGGTCAGTTTGACTTACAAGGAGCGTTTTTATGTTTTTGTGGTTAGGGTGTCCCTTCAGGGCAGCAGCCCGCAAACTAACAAGGGGTGGATCAATAATTTTAACAAGTAATGCATAAAATCAGTATGACTCTGAAAAGCATCCTGCACCTGGTCAAACACCATTAAACTCATCCCTGTACAAACACAACTTGTGAAGGTATGTATCCATTTTGCCAGAGGTTGAGAAAGTTGTTATTTTTTTTCAACCCAGTATCTGCCGGATGGTGTGGCTACCCTTTGTGTTAGTCTTGGGGGATGCTAGGCTTTGTTGCTGAAAATAAAAAAAACAAACAAAAAAAATTCCTGATGGGTGGTCTTTACCCGTCCAAGGTCTGTTTTGGCTGTTGCTCAAGAAAAAAGGGACCACGCATGCTTTGAAAAGCATGGGCGGTTCACGTTGCTTCTTGCAGATCGATGCCTTCCAGCACATGCAGCTCTTTGTCCAGACGATGCAGCAGCAGGCGCAGCACGCCATCGCCACCGAGGACCAGCAGCACCGGCAGGAACTCCACAAGCTCATGGCACGGTCAGTACCTGTGGGCGGGCATTTGAGGGCTCGATACGGCAGCGCCCTGCCAGCTGCCACGTGGTCTGTGATGCCGCCGGGGTGGCTCCGCACCTCCTTCCTTTCATGCCAAGGTGACCCAACACGCCGGAGACCCAGGCGGTGAGCTTAGGAGCACCTTGTGACCTCCCGCAGACCCGAGGCTTCTCCCGCATGGCGAGTGAATCAGTCGTTTCTGTTCTGTTCCCCAGGTGTTTCCTAAAACTGGGCGAGTGGCAGCTGAACCTGCAGGGCATCAACGAGAGCACCATCCCCAAAGTCCTCCAGTATTACAGTGCCTCCACGGAGCACGACCGCAACTGGTACAAGGCAAGCGAAGGGGGCGAGGCGAGGGGCTCCGTTGGGTTGAGCGGCCCAGCCCGGGCACCTCCCGCTGGTCTGAGAAAGGGTTCCGTGGCCTAACCCCCGCCGGTTTGATCCTTAGCCACTTTAGCGTCTCCAGCCCTTGTTTTGAGCCACAGATCCAGTCTGGTTTGAAATCGAACCCCCTCCTGTGCTTTGGGACTGGAGTTGAGTGCGAGAAAGGAGAGGGGTGGCATTCATTGCTCAGCCCCCTCTGTGTCCCTTCTTGCAGGCTTGGCACGCATGGGCGGTGATGAACTTCGAGGCGGTTCTGCACTACAAGCACCAGAACCAGGCCCGGGACGAGAAGAAGAAGCTGCGCCACGCCAGCGGGGCCAGCGTCACCAGCGCCCACACGGAAGGCAGCAACAGCGAGAGCGAGGCCGAGAGCACAGAGAACAGCCCGGTCCCGTCTCCTGCCCAAAAGAAAGTGGCAGAGGTTAGGGTTCCTGGTTCTCTCCAAGCTGGAACAACCCACCCCCGCCCCCGCATATATCCAGAGGGTGTCGGGCCCAAGAAAGGTGGGACATGCTTCCCCTGATCGGCCCAACGTTTGTTTCTTTGGCAGGACTTGTCCAAAACGCTCCTGATGTACACCGTGCCGGCCGTCCAGGGCTTCTTCCGCTCCATCTCCTTGTCCCGAGGAAACAACCTGCAAGACACTCTCAGGTACCGCCCGCGGGAAGGTTCCGTCTTTTCGGAAGGACGGAAGCCCAGCGTCGGTCTGGACTGTTTATGTGCAGAACAGGAGTTTCCGCGTCCCTGAGACCGCTTGGCTGGGCCGATTATTCTGCGGCTCCCGTTCTGCGCACAGAAGGTCCAGGGGTGATAATGGGCCATCCTGGCTTAGAAGCTTTTAAAAAGCTGTGTTGGCTTATCCCGGAGGCCAAGGCCAGTGGGGTTCATGGGCCACGTGCATGTTGGAAATGTCTGTGCAGGAGCCACAGAAAAACAAGCCTGGTATGATTTCCTTTCTCCAGAGTCCTGACTTTATGGTTCGATTACGGCCACTGGCCAGAAGTCAACGAGGCCTTGGTGGAAGGGGTCAAGGCCATCCAGATAGATACTTGGTTACAGGTAAGGGTCTGAGTTTCTGCCCTTAATTCTTTTTCTTCTGCAAGCCAAAGCACATGGCCAGGGTCTCCGTCATATAAACGGAATTTGCTCCTGCGCTTCCATTCTGGGACATTTGGCATCCTGGTATTTTCCTACCGCTAATCCTGGCTTCACCGGCAGTTGTTCCTGATCGTAGAGAGCAGGATTCTGGGCTCGGGAGACCTTGGGGTCTGAGTCCAGCCAAGGCATCCCTTAGGATATAGTAGCATTCTTTGAATGACATCTGGGCTCTGCATGTTGGTGTGTGTGTTTTTTCTCTTCTCTTCCCATCAGGTCATCCCTCAGCTCATTGCTAGGATTGATACGCCTCGGCCTTTGGTCGGCCGACTGATCTACCAGCTTCTGACAGACATCGGCCGGTACCATCCGCAGGTGAGCCCCCTTCCCTGCAGCCCAAAGAAATCCGCCTTCAGCCTGCAGACTCCTGACCCTCTCCGTCGATACTCTCTGGTCCCTGCAGCCCAAAGAAATCCGCCTTCAGCCTACAGATTCCTGACCCTCTCCGTGGTCTTTGCTCTAGGCTTTGATCTATCCTTTGACGGTGGCTTCCAAGTCGACCACAACGGCACGACACAACGCGGCCAACAAGATTTTGAAGAACATGTGCGAGCACAGCAACACCCTGGTCCAGCAAGCCATGATGGTCAGTTGTTCCATTCAGGCCTTCCCTCCCTCCCTCCCTCCCTCCTGCTTGACAGCCTGTCTATGCCATTGTTTGGAAGAAGGGGAGAGGGGGAAGTATTCAGGAAATTAAACTGCCCCCTCTGCTTTGGTGGTGCTGTTTTAATTAAAAACAGGTCTCCTCCATTCGCACTTGAGTGATTCAGGTAATGATCACAAGCTTTGAGCCGTTCCTTTCTGACTGTAAAAAAGAATTCAAATTATGATTTTCCAAGACTGATCAGGGTTGGGGCGAGGGGCATTATTTATTTAAAGCATTTTTAGCTGGCCTTTCTCCCTAAAAGGGACCCCAGACGGCTTGCATCCTTAAAAGACAATATTGAAGCTCACAACAGTGAGTCTACAAATACTAAAAAAAAGATCAAACAAATACCATGAAAAACCAGCCAACCCATAAGCAGCGCCAAAAGACATTCAGAGCAGTAAAGGTACAACCGTCCACTTAAAAACCCCACTCAGGCAGCCAGTCATTGAGGGACAGCTTACTTGAAGAGAGAGGTCTTGGCCTGCTTGTGGAAGGACAGCCAAGAGGGGGCCAGGGTGGCCTCCAGTGGGAGGGAGTTCCGAAGTCTGGGAGCAGCGACAGAGAAGGCCCTCCTCTGCTGGGTCCCCCACCCAAGTGTACTTGTGAAGGTGGCAGGACTGAGAGGAAGGCCTTTCCTGATGATCTTGGCCTTCAAGCAGGCGCATAAAGGGAGATGCAGCTCCTTGAGCTAGCTCGGGCCTGAGCCATTTAGGTTTTATGAGCCTGTGCATGTCTATATTTTTACATAACACCAGTGTGTGGAACTTGAAAGATGGGGCTGGAATCGGACGGTAAGTCAATTGTATTTCTGTTGACTTATTTATTTTGCATTATGAAACCAGTTCATGGAGGCTTGACGGTCTGTGCCGGTCAGGACGGACGGACCTCACCTCCAGCGTCAAAGGCAATGGTGCCTCCGAATGCCAGCTGTCGAGGGTCGGCCGTGGGAGAGCGCTGTCGAACTCCCGTCCTGCGTGCAGGCTTCCCGGAAACCTCTGATCTGGCACATGTGAAGCACAGTCTTGGACTTAAAAATGCCTTCAGTGTCGGGCCTTTGGTCTGCAAATCACGACGTTTCAAAACTTGAATAGATTTGAAAGAAGGTTTTACATTAATTGCGCACCAAAGGAGACCATGCTTGGAGGGGGAAGCGTTTTAGCGCTCTGCGGGAACACCGCTCTAAAGTGCTGCTGTGGCTCCTTCTGGTGGTCAGTCCGGAGCACAGTTCGTCTCCAGTAATACAATAGGTTTAGACTGTTCCTCTCCCCACCGTTACAAGTTGGTCTCAGGAATTTATTCCTCCTGGGGGAACGTGTCAAGATCGTTTCTCCAAAACTGAAAATCCCAAGCCACCAGGGCGTGCCCGTGGAGGGTGGGAAAGGTTCTTTCCATTAAATGCCACAGGCAGGATTGCAATGGATGGGTCGTTCCTGAAACGTCAGGCTAAATTTGCAGCAGCCATGAAGTTTGTTTCCACACGTGTTCCTCTGGAGTCCTTGTTCACGGAAACGAGTTAAACGTTAAGAGGAACAGATCTTTCTTTCTTGAAATTTCTCTGGTTGTGTAAGACTGTCAAATCTACTCCTCAGCACCAGGTGAAATTAAAGTTATACTCTTTGAATTTTCTTTTTTTAAAACTGTGGCCTGTTGATTTTGTGCTTTTCTTTCCTGGGACATAACGCCAGAATGGCTGCTTTTGGACATTTCTGGAACCTGAACAGGGGTTGCCCCCAAATTTTCAGCACAGAGGATGTTGGGAATTTGGGGGGAAGGGAGGAGGCTTCAAAAAAAGGTCAATTGGAGGTGTGTGTGATCTCTTTTTGAAGGGGCGCCCTCTGTACCTCCTCTGCTTTCTAGGTGAGCGAAGAACTGATCCGCGTGGCCATCCTCTGGCACGAGATGTGGCACGAGGGGCTGGAGGAGGCCTCCCGCCTGTATTTCGGGGAGAGGAATGTGAAGGGGATGTTTGAAGTGCTGGAGCCGCTCCACGCCATGATGGAGCGGGGGCCTCAGACCCTCAAAGAAACCTCCTTCAACCAGGTATGAAGAGAGTGGGGGCATGACACTTCATCCCAGAGACAAGTGGGGGGGGGCAGTCCAGCTGCCAGGTTGCTGTCGAAAACCCATCTCTCGGTGGTGCTAGAGGATGCCAGAGAGTCCCCTGCACCATAGAGCTTTGACCCACCACGGAGCAGAGTGTCGCTTGGATGCTTGGAAATTCATAATAGAGAGCCATGGTTCCCAGGGTCTTCGGTTTTCCCAGATGTTCTTGGACTGCCATTCCCAGAAGCCTTCACTGCCTGTTGTGCCAGCCAGGGTTTCTGGGAGATGCAGTCGAAGATCCACCCGGGTGGCCCAAGGCTGGGGAACCACTGAGAGAGAGTGTGAAACAGGCTTGCGATTTGGGTAACTAATCCAGAGGCAGACCCATGGGGGGGTAGCAAGGCTGCTTTGAGGCCCACGGGCCAGAGGTTACATCTGCAAGGACAACTCGGGGAGAAAGGAAAACCCGCCAGGGGCGTTGTTGTGCCAGAAATCATTCCTGTTCCTAACTCAAAAAGTTTGCCCTGAAATAAATAACAGCTTCCCGCTATGCAGCCACCGTGAAAGACAAGATGTCCCACAGACCAGTTCTCCTTTTGCTTCCCGTCTCTCCAGGTTTCCCTTTAGCCTGTGTATCAGAGGCATTGCAATAATAAGCGGCTGGTCCCGACTAAGGGCTGGAACAGGAAAGGCAAAATGTAGGCAGGTTAAGACAGCCTGCTGATTCTTCCTTGGAGTGAAAAAAGAAAAGCTGGTTATGCCCTGTTATTAACAGGAGGCAACAGAACCCTTCAGCCTCACCTTTGCCTTCATTCCCAGAGAGCCAAGTGCACTTTTATTTTATTTTTCTGTTTTGCAGGCTTATGGCCGAGATCTGATGGAAGCCCAGGAATGGTGTAGGAAGTACATGAAATCAGGAAACGTCAAAGACCTCACCCAGGCCTGGGACCTCTATTACCACGTGTTCCGGCGCATCTCCAAGCAGCTGCCCCAGGTGGGGTGGGGGTGGTGGCCTTGTTCTTTGTTTCCTTCTGGGGGGGATCCTCTTTTGCCAAAGCATTGAGCGGAGACTTCCAAACCCGGGTATTAACAGTCCTCATCTCCATTTGCTTCCTTGCTGCCAGCTGACCTCTCTGGAACTCCAATATGTTTCGCCCAAGCTCTTGATGTGCCGTGATTTGGAGCTGGCGGTCCCAGGGACGTACGACCCGAACCAGCCGATCATCCGCATCCAGTCCATCGCTCCGTCACTGCAAGTGATCACATCGAAACAAAGACCGAGGAAACTGACTTTAATGGGTGAGAAACCGAGTTTACAGTATGATTACACACTCCCCTACATGCGCATTCTCTTTACTGATCTCGTTCTCTCCCTCCCTCCCTCCTTTTGGCTATTCTCGCTAGTACAATGGGTGAGAAAGAAGCCACAGTTCTGAGCTGAAGTGTAACAATAAGCCATGGTTGATAAACAAGGGGCAAACCATGGTTTATTTTCTCCAGGGATGGTATCCAACAAAAGGTCACCGATCAGCAAATCACAATGCAGCTTGGCTCTCTTGTCCTTTGGTTTATGGAGCGAATGCTTCGCGGATGACCCCTCTGAAGGTAGACATCTTACGAGACCTTCTCTTTCTATTGCAGGAAGCAACGGCCATGAGTTTGTCTTCCTCCTAAAGGGCCACGAGGATCTGCGTCAGGATGAACGAGTGATGCAGCTTTTCGGCCTGGTGAACACGCTGCTCGCCAACGACCCAACATCCCTTCGTAAAAACCTCAGGTAATCTAGAGGAGAGCCACTCTTCTTCCCTTACTTTGTGAATTTCGTTGTATGGCTATACTGTGTATATACTTACAATGACAATAAATTATTATTATTATAAAAGTCATGTTTTATCCAGGCAGTCAGTAAGGGTGTGTGTGAGAGATCTCCCTGTTTTTTTGTTTGTTTTTTTCTGCAAAACCTTACACACACCCAAACTACACCACTTGAAAGAAAGAGCAAGGCTATAAAATACTAAATGTGTTTCATGGCCGGTTGGGAGAGAGGGGAACGATGAAAGAGAAGCTTTGTTCTTGAGCCCCAAAGGGTTTGGAATCTCCCGGGAGGTGACCGGAGCCCTGTCGTGAGCTGAAGCTGAGTTTTCTTCCTGTCGCCTGTTCCAGCATCCAGCGCTACGCCGTCATTCCGCTCTCGACAAATTCCGGGCTGATCGGCTGGGTGCCCCACTGCGACACGCTGCACGCCCTGATCCGGGACTACCGGGAGAAGAAGAAAATCCTGCTCAACATTGAACACCGCATCATGCTGAGGGTGAAAGGCTGGGACAGTCTTTATTTTAAAAAAGGGGGTTTTGTTTTTTAAATTTAAAAAAGATTTGTTTTTATTTTATTTCATTTATTTAAAAAAAGATTTAACAAGATTGATGTTTGTTTTTATTTTATTTAAAAGATTTGATGTTTTAATTTATTTATTTAAAAAGATTTTTATGAAAAAGATTAGTTTTTATTTTTATTTATATTATTAAAAATATTTTGATTTTAAAAAAAGTTTTGGAGGGGTCACTGCGGCAGAGTGATTTCTGGGGATCCCTTTCCATCTGAAGGTCAAACTCCCAATTTCAGAGAGATTTCCAACGCTGGGCGCAAAGGAGAGGGAAAAGTTGGGGCCACAATTGCCATCACATTTTGACCTAAACGATTTACGTGCAATTGCTAGACGGACATTTCAGGCTTTTAGAACGTGTGTGTGGGGGGGACCATTGCAAAAGCTGGGTGGGGACCCCCACCAGGCACTGGTGACATGGAGAACAGGGCAGCACCATTGGGGAAACCCCAGAGGGGAGTGGATCGGTGTCTCCCTGTGCCCATCAGAGAGCTGTGACCATAGAGAGGTCTTGTGTAGAAAAGAAACCTAGCTCAGTGCTTTGCATGCAGAAGTTCTCAGGCTGCGTTTAGGGCAACTGTCGTCTGGGCAGGGAAAGGATGCCACCTCCCAGCGAGCACTTGCCTGGTCAGTACCCACATGACCCAGGTAGAGAGATGAAGGGTCTGGCTCTGCATTGGGCACCTTCACTTCTGCCCCTTAGAATTCTTTCTTCGGGATTTCCCCGAGCCTTGCGCGAACTCCTCGGTGTTCTCTCTTCTCTGAAACGTTTTTTTTAGATGGCTCCGGATTACGACCACCTCACTCTGATGCAAAAGGTGGAGGTGTTCGAGCACGCAGTCAACAATACAGCCGGGGACGACCTCGCCAAACTTCTGTGGCTGAAGAGTCCGAGTTCAGAGGTATAGCCAGCCAGGCTTCAGAGCCGCTCCGCTGACACTCCTGTCTGACTTGGGCTAAAGCACCACCGTGATTGCATTTTCATGTGGCCTGACAACTTTTCCCGTCAAGCTTGATTTTGCAAAACGTATTCCCTGACAGGCCCCCTTCTGTCAGAGCGTTGATTCCTTCTCTGGTCTGTGTCCCCCTCTCAGGTGTGGTTTGACAGGAGAACGAATTACACCCGCTCGCTGGCCGTGATGTCGATGGTCGGTTATATTTTGGGCCTTGGAGACAGGTGAGGTGCAGATGAAACCAGTTTCTTTAAAAATCACTGAATAAAGGCTTTCAGGAAACCCCCCCCCCAAAAAATCCTCATTTCTGGAAGGGTGTGGTGAGCCCTAAAATGCACCTCATTGTTTTCAGACGGGCCGTGGATTGTCCCAAGTTCCTCTATCCCTGTCTTTCAAGCGAGGCTGCATAATAACATGATCAGTAATAGCCAAGATTTGTTTTGTGTGCATCGGCCGTCAGTAGGCCTGGAGTTTTGTGAAATAGATCAGGCCAGGGCGTTGCCCCTCCGAAAGATTTCCTGGGTTCACGTTTTCCAACGAGGAGATTAAGAGAGGGATCTGCCAGACCAGAATGCGCATCAACGCCCAGCTGTAGCGCGCTTTCAGCAGGGCGCCGAGCCCCCAAACGCATCCTGGCCAAAAGCGCCACGGAAAGTAACACAACTTTCTCTGTGCTGTTCCCTTCCCCAGGCATCCGTCCAACCTTATGCTTGACAGGCTGAGCGGCAAGATTTTGCACATTGACTTCGGAGATTGCTTTGAGGTAAAGGGGGACTAGAATTCAGTAATTGGAAAGAAATGCATTTCCCCACCCCTGTTTTTGTTTTAAACCACACAAAACACTAGAAAATGACATTTTAGTCATTTAGTTTTCCGTTTAAGCTAAAAGACAAGACTTGGAGGAGAATCACGCCCCTTGATATTTTAATTTGAACTTAAAAGAAGTTACCTCTTAGTTTCCTGCTTCTTCATCACTCTCCTGCTATTAACATTTATCACTCTGCAGGAGAATGATAAAAGTAGAGAAAATTAGCATGGGCTAAAAGGGGTCTTTTCTTTCCAAGGCAAGCAGGGTGGGGCATCTTATCTTGCAAGTTAAAAATTAACAGATCAGGAAATCCATTCACACCTTTATCACCGCCTGCCATTCGCCGTCTTCATTTAATTTTGCTTTTTCCCTTTCCTCCTGGCTTTCAGGTTGCCATGACCAGAGAAAAGTTCCCAGAGAAGATTCCTTTCAGGCTGACAAGGATGTTGACAAACGCCATGGAGGTAAACGAGAACCCGCAAGATAGCTGTAAACGAGAAGAGGCGTGTGCCTGAGTTTGAAAAATAAGCATTTTGAGGTTTCAAATGGTGCAGGAGAGTCTGTGCCTTATTTTAAAGGAGATCTGCCACTTCTGGAGGTTTCTGGAAGCTAAAATTAACCTTTTTCTTTTGGAATCCCCAGAAATAGAGGGGATCCAAGAAAGACATAGGTTGATTCAAAAGAACCTTTGAGAAGGACTTAAGCTATTGAACCTTTAGATTTTGCTTAGTTTCCTCAGTACAGAAATTTGAGGAGCCGTGGATTACAGTATTCAGAGCTCCAGTTTTGAAATACCAGCCCACCCTTTTGGGAAGTTCTGATCCGGAAAAGCCTGGCCAAAGGTCAGAGGTGACCATGGCTGTAGCCCAGATCGTCTGTTACAGAAAGCAGACAGATTTGCAGAAATTTCAGGGGTGCCCTTTCGAAGCTGATTTTTTTTAATTTCTATTTTTCAAGGTCACTGGCTTAGATGGAAATTACAGAATCACGTGCCACACTGTGATGGAGGTCTTGCGGGAACACAAGGACAGTGTGATGGCGGTGCTGGAAGCCTTTGTCTATGACCCTTTATTAAACTGGAGGCTGATGGACAGTAAGTTGAGGCCACAAAGGGCACAGGACTGGGTACAATTTTTGTTGCTTTTGATAATTTCGAGGAGTGTAGCCGTGGGAGTCCATGAAAGCAAAACCAAGAGATTTCTTGTAATGTTCTTAACGATTAATACATTTTAACGGTGTCACTGTCTTTCCTGCACGACAGCTCACTTCAAAATGTGTGCAGCGTTATGTGAGTCAGCATTTGATTCTAATACAGGCTAGAGAGGGTGGAGGACTTGAATCTGTGGGGAACAGGAATGGAGGAAGTGCAGGCAAGGACTGTTACTTTAGAGTAGTCATTAACTAACAGCAGTTGGGAGGTAACACACGAGCATCATGGTGCCAAGGAGCCAATTAACTCTTGTAGTTTGATAAGAAGGTTTGGAACCCTCTACTACAGGCCACAGGAAGTAGAAACAAACGTGGGCCGAACTGTGAAATGCCAATTTTTGCACAGAAGAAATTCAAAGATAAATGCCAGCATGTGAGGGAGAAAAATCATGTACTGGCCAACTGGTCTGGAAAAGCCAGAGAGGTCGCTTTTACTAGTATGCAGGAGAACAGAGATTCAAGATAAATGCCAGCATGTGAGGGAGAAAAACCATCTCTCTCCTGTGGCTACAGGAGACACTGCAGTATAATGTACTGGCCAACTGGTCTGGAAAAGCAAGAGAGGTCACTTTTACTAGTGTGCAGGAGAACAGATTCGCCTGAGATGTTTTACACCTCTGCTTTCTTTGCAGCAAACACGAAAGGCAATAAGCGATCCCGCACACGGACGGATTCCTATTCTGCTGGCCAGTCAGTAGGTGAGTAAGTGGCCAGAGTCGTACTTTCTGCGATGACAGCAAGAGGATTCAATTGTCTCTCCTTTGTTGTTTTTTTCCCAAGCATGTGAGACCGTGGTAGGGTAGGAAGCTCTGCAGAGCCCTTCCATTTCCTAAACTCCATCTGTATCAAAAATGTCGGCCCTCTTCTGCCCCACCAGTGAGGCAGAACCGTACTTGGGGGGCTCTGGGAAGACGAGAGGGGAGTCTCCTCTCTCTCAGGGAGCCTCATGGCACCCAGCGGGAGCATGCAAGGTGCCTCGTGCGGTTGGAGGCATGTCTCCCAAAGGAGCATGGGGAAGGGAGGAAGAACGCCTGCTTTTGTAATCCCACTGCCCAGAGTGATCTCGCCTCAATACAACTTCTGCTTGTCTTGCTCGGCGGTTGCAAAGTGGCTGATCCCTGAAGCTCAGCTCGTTCGAACAGCCAGCCAGCGACACCGCGGCTACACCAGACAAGGCGTCAGAAGGAGAATAAAATTTTGTTCTGTGTGTGTATTTTTTGTTCGTTTGTTTGTTTTAAGCTCCCTATCCTTTTCTTTTTCTCAGAAATGTTGGACAGCGTGGAGCTGGGCGAAACGGCTCATAAGAAACCAGGGACCACCGTGCCGGAGTCCATTCATTCCTTCAGTAAGTTCCAACGGCCTGCCTTTCAAGCCATGCTCCTGGCCTGGGGTCGGGGCCAAATCGGGAGGGGAAGCATCCTCTCGTGATCTAAAAGGGAGGATGCTGGGGCAAACGAGATCATATTAGATCGACATTTTAACCTACCACCACCACAATCAGATCTTGGCAAAGTAAAAGCGACCTTGTCTTCACGTTGTCTGGGCAGCTGGGTTTGATGACCTGGCGATATGGGAGGAGGAGCAAGAAGACAATATATTTGAGTTTACAAGTCTCGTTTTTTTGCTTCCCAGTCGGGGACGGTCTCGTGAAGCCGGAGGCGCTGAACAAAAAGGCCATCCAGATTATCAACAGAGTCCGGGATAAGCTCACAGGTAGGTGGCGTGGTCGTTTGCAACCCCACTGTGTTTGCCTATGACCCTGGACCGGGTAGAAGAGGACAAGTCTCTGCCCCCAAAGACCGTGCCATCTAAAATCGGACCCAGGCACAAGGAGGGAGGAAGAAGAGGGAGAGCAAGCAGGGAAAGCCATATGGAGTTGTCAGGACCAGCCTCCCTCTAGGGAGCGCTCCTCCTTTGGCCAGAGAGCCCCCCAGGTATCTGTGCACCCCTTTTCAGCCGGGTTGAGACCATTTAACCATCAGCTAGGGTGTAGCACAAATCCTTTCCAGCGAGTCTGGCCTAAAAGAACACTCCTGCACTTAATTTGTATCTAGCAAGTACAGACACCTGGGCTTTGTAGTCCCTTAAGACTTACTAAAACTCAGAGAAGTAGGACTCTTGTCTAGTAGCAATCTCATGGCCTTGCCACCCCCTGGGAGCGGGCTCAGCAGACTTGCTGTTCAAAAGACCAGTTCTCACGATTTTTGAGATTAAATCTTTTATTGAAAAAATAAAGTTTTACAGAAAAATCAGTTTGTTGCATTAGCATAGCATCTGGATACGTTTCCAAGGATTATTGCAGTTAAAATAAAAGCAACTAATTCCCAGTTAAGTAAAGACATCTGAAAATCCCTTAAAGATTTCTTTCTTAAAGGTAGGCAAAGGCATGAAGCACCCCCCCCCCTTCTTCATTCTCCAGTTCCCTACATTCTCAATTCCTTACCCTAGCACATGGTATAAGAAAAAAAGGAAATAAAAGCCTTCTGGTTCTCAGGAACTCTGTACATAGCACAATGTCCATTTTTTCTACTTGCTAAACAACCTCCAAGATGTTAACCAATTATAATTTAGGGGCTGTAAAGTCTCTCCCCGCCCCTCTTTCTCACGAGAAGGCAGGTGTTGTTTTCCTTTCTTCCAATCTTGCTTCCAATTAAGCTGGAATGTGGTGTCTGGTCTTCTTATCTCGTCCTTGCTGTACCAGTCAAGAAAAAAAACACATTCCCACCGCTGCTTCAGAAAAAACATTCTTAGGTCTCAAATCATTTTCACACAGAACCCTTTTGCATCCATGTTGCCTTTCTCATGACTACATAAACCATTCAGACTCCATGCTTTAAACCACATACCTCATGACCATGACAGGAGTCATCCCCCGTTGCATGTATTTAGGACTTCAAAAAGCAGGGACGAGAGGGAGGAGACAAAAGCTTCTGGAGCAGGCTGAGTTTTGAGGAGGGATTTTGATAAAATAAAAAGAGGTGACACCACACAGCAGGGGCCCAGGGGAGAGCTGTGTATATGTGTGTGTGTGTTTCCCCTAAGGGAATGAGAGTAGTTGTACAAAATCCATAACAGACTGGTAGAATTTGCCTTCCTCTTTTTTATCACAAGGCATCCCAATCCCCTTCAAATCGAAGCAAAAAAGCAAAGCGCGCTCCTTATCTCCCACCCCGCGGTGCTTAAAGAGCAGAGTCTTCACTGCAGCGCTGCAGTTTAACCCCTGCGCCACCAGGCTCCTCCATTCCTTCTCTATGTGTTTGAGAGGCCCGACCTCCTGACGATTCTCTCTTTCCTTCCTTGCAAAGGGCGGGATTTCTCCCACGACGAGACGCTGGACGTGCCGACCCAGGTGGAGCTGCTCATTAAGCAGGCGACCTCTCATGAGAACCTTTGCCAGTGCTACATCGGCTGGTGAGTCGTGGTCCTTCTCCCGCCTTGAGCACAGTTGGCTGCTCCCCTTAACCACGTCCTTCCCTGTAAAAAAAAAAAAGCAGGATTTCCCCCTGTGTCCTCATCCGAAGCCTTCTTAGAAGCTCAGCTGGGCTTTGGGCTCCACAGGCCTGCCCCCCTAGGATGTCGGGCAGCCTGGGAAGATAACAAGGCCTGGTTTCATTCTTGCTCTTTTCCCCTTTTCTGCAGGTGCCCTTTCTGGTAGTGGCAGATTTGTGACACATCATCCACAGAGCCTTTCCTTCGGAGGAGAGGTCTTTGCATTCTGGACTCGCTCCTCACAAATTGGACGGAGGGGAACGGGAGAGAAAAAAGAAAACCCCAAAAGCCTGAGCACTGGGAACAGAGGGAGGCGGCCGTTTGTCAAATACTTCGAACTTCACATGAGAAAACTGTATATTAAAAGTCGTTTTACGCTGGCGCACTGCTGCCAGGGCAGGAGGGCGGGCGAGCGAGCGGCGAAGAAACACACTTGGTGGTTGGTTCCAGAGTGGTTTAAAACAAAATGGAAAATCAGTCTCTGGCTAATTTCGCCTTCAAAGGCGTGACTTGTCAAGCAGGAGGGGGACGATTGTGTTTCTCTCCAGAGGAAAGACTTCCGACAGAAGCGGGACGTGGACGGCGCTGGTCAAGCTGTGCCGACTTCACTTCCCCGCCCTGGGTGGCTGACCTCGCCTGTTTTGATGCCTGGCCGCCCCCAGACCAGGACTGGCCCTTGTGAGGACCACCCCGTTGCCGCATGTTTTCTGACTCCCGTGGGCCCGGAAAGGCCCTCAAGGGGAGGCTCCCTGTGACACTCCCTAGAAGGTCAGCGTCGTCATCGTAGGAAAGGGATACGGCAAAAGAGCCGCCGTGACGACCCTGTGGAGGACGACTCCCATAGAGGCGCTGGGCAAGGAGGGAGTGGAGGGAAGCCTGGCGGTTGAACAGGGAACCCGTCAGGGGTTTGGAAAAAAGGGGGGAGAGTCACACAGGAGAAATCAGTGGGTGCCTAAAACACTAGAAGTGGGTGGGGTGGGGTGTCTAACATCATTCTTGTTATTAACAAAACCAACACATGCTGAAGAAAGCAAAGCGCACAATGTGTGCCCATGTTTGAATGCCTTGTTGTGGTCTAAAACATTTTTGTGCCAATAAAGTACCTGAAAACATGTCGTCCGGGATGCTGAAGGTGTGTGTTCGTGACGGCCCAGCAAATGGGGCGGGTTGGGGGAGGAGCGAACCTGCTGTTCCGATGTGCAGGATCAATTTTGCAGCTGTGCACGAAAACTGCACTTCTGTGTCATGAACCTAGCCTGGTGTCCAGAGGGAGGCCTTAAAATGCACCCCGCTGTTTTCCCCTCGGATGTGTCACTGGGATTGGAGGCCGGCCCCGCTCTGTCTGGGCTGATTTCTAAGAAAAGGCTTCAGCAGAGAGACCTGCCTCCGCTGGAGAGATCTCATGTAAGAGAGCTACATTGACTTGTCCTCATAACCAAGCACAGGTGCACATGCAAGGACATACACAGCTAGAGAGGGTATTGCAAATGTGCGAGAGAAGCTTTGAGGGATCAGCACCCACTTCTTTAGGAGTATGAAACAGTCAACCTTAAAAATATAGTCAAAATGTGTCATCAGGTCCGTTCTGACTTTTGACGACCTTTTCTAGAGTTTTCCAGGTAGAAGATACTCAGAAGTGGTGTTCCCACATGCCTGCCTTCTTCTGGAGGGGGATCCCTGGGACTGTGCAGCCGGCCCAAGGCCACCCAGGCTGGCCCTACGTCCAGAAAACATTTTTTGGGGAGGAGGGGAGGAATAAAATTCCCAACCTCTGGCTGTGCTGCCAACCTAAATGGCTGAGCGATCCAGCCAGATTAGTAGCTAAGAGAAGAGCTCTCCATGCCAGCCTGGGAGACTGAGGAGGGTCGGTTCCGCTCGAGAGACAAGTGTCCCTCTTTCCCCCCTTCTGATAAAGGTCCTCCTTTGTCTTGCTTAACATCCAGAAAAGCTCGTCCAGAGAGCAGATGCACACACGGGGACTCGAGGAACATGCAGGAGATCCGAGGATGGGAACGGCGATTGGGAAGCTGATTGAGAGAGGACAGAAGCAGCCTTGCTGAGGATTTGTTAGAAGACGGAGGAGGATCTTGGTCAGGAAGGGCCAGGTAGGGTTTGGTTTAGCAAAGCCTCTTTGATCAGTTTTGGTTTAGCAAAGCCTCCTTGATCTTCTCAGGGGTATGACGAGGAACACAGAATCAAAGCCCTGAGGAGGAAGGGGTGATCCAGCAGGCATGCGCTTCCCAGTTGGTTTCATGCAGGAATTTACCCTAAAGAGTTTCTTAGACCCCAAGGCGAGTCTGGGTTTATAGGCGGCGTGTGCTGATTCAGTTCTAGTGCTCTTCCTCCCCACCAGGAGCGTGTGTTTTGCAAGGCTAATGGCCTTTGATTACCTGTCCCGAACAAGCCGCCTAGCCAGTTTGGGTGACTTGCTAGAGTACGTTGTTGCTGGAAACATCCAGACCCTACGAAGGTTACAGTAAGCTCAGAAGGAACAAGGAAGGCAGAGACAGAGGAGTTCACAACATCTGCTCAACAGAAACATCTGGTGGTCTGATCCTGAGAACCCTGGTTCTGCTACATCATTAAAAACAGAGCTTATTGCCATGGCAGAGACAGCAGCTCCGGCCACAGGGCCCATCGGGGCCCGATCTGGCTCCCCTTGGAACCCGAATTGTGACTTCCGACAGACTTTGATAGCCAAAACTTCAAATTCCAAAGGGAGAAGCCAAGGGCTGGGAGACGGGAAACATCGTTGGCATCAAAACACCACTTGGAGCCTGCTGTTATTTTAAATATTAGCACTTTTATTTTGTAAAAAAATATATATATTAATAATTGTGGGCCAGAGTCCACTTTGTCCTAGATGGGAAGCAGTCACTTTGGGAGATAAAATGAAAATAATTGGCTCAGAAACGCAGGCATAAGAAGCCCGAAAGCCCTAAGCGAAAGACAGGCCAAAAGGCTAGACCTGGGACCCAGTTTTGCCTCACTGTAAAACCACTCTGTTGGTGGTGGAGGAAGGGTTTAAAACCTATGTCTAATTAAAACAAGCAAGGGCGCATTGACGGTCCAAGGAGCTGCACAGAGAGAATGTGCTTTGTTTCCAAGGGGAGCCCCTCTTCCTTGAGGTCCCTGGGGGCGTGATTCTGCTATAATGCAAGCCATCGCCCTCCAGGTGCCTCGGGGTCGGAAAGCCCAGGGGGTGGCCGTGGTTTTTACTCTGCCAAACGGCTGGGCATCACGTGAGGTCTTCGGCATTTGGGGTCACCAAAAATGGCCCCCTAAGGGTTCAGAGCTTGCCCGGCAGAGAATATTCAGAATCAGAAGTGCAACTGGTGCAGCTGACGTCACATGGGAGGGAGTTGGCAGGAGACACCCCCCCCAGCTGAGATTTGCAGAGGAGAGCGGGTGATGTTCCCAAAGGATCCCTGGGATCTGGTGTTGCGCTCCGACGCGGGCCCGCTTCTCAGCGCCTGCAGCTACACTCCGAGGAGACCAAGGACGACTCAGAGGAGGAGTCGGACTCCTCCAGAGAAAAGGGCCCAAGGGTGATGCTGCTGTGAGTGATCCGGAGGCCGCCTTCGCCCCCGCGTTCCTCGTCCGCCTGCTGGGCCTCGTGCTGGAAGAAGATGTGGCGGACTCGGGGGCAGCTGTAAAAAGTGTGCGTGACCTGAAGGGGAGGGAAGGCGAGAGGTTGCTGAGGATCTGACTCTAGAGCCAGAGGTTGGGAGTTCGATTCCCCGCCGAGCCTCCTCAGCAGGGGCTGGACTGGATGATCTATGGGGTCCCTTCCCACTCTGTAGTTCTAAGCGTATTATATTTCTTCTAAGACAGAAACCCTTTAAAGGAACTGACCCTTCCCACAACCTCCTGAGCCCTGGCTTGTTCTGATTCCCCCTCTGCCCCCACAATACACACACTTTCCGTCTGGCCCGACCTTTACCTTACGCCACTGCCAGCTGCCGTTTCTTTCCCAGTCGCGTCCGTACAAATCCTCGGAACGATACTCTTGGAGGACGGTGAAGTCGGCCGCGAGCAGCCCCACGTAGAGGCGGTACCGGCAACCGGGCCTGTAATAAAACCTTTTGGGGAAGAGAAGAGATGGGCATTTGGGGAAAAGGGTGCAGCTCTCCACGGGCCCTTGGGGGTGCCCGAAAAGTTGGCCCCTGGAGGTTAAAAGCACGCTTGCTGTAAAGCCAGAGCCTCCCCTTCTTGTTCTGCTAAGAAAGATTCCTGATCTTTCTGCCTGGGAGGGGAGAGACTCTGTACCCACCAGTCTTTCACCACAATGGTGCTGCCGGTTCCATCCAGAAGCTCGTCCCAGTATCCATGATCCTTCAACGTGATGAGCTGGGACTTGTAGCAGAACCTAAGGAAGCGGTTATAATAATGGAGAATCACCATCATTTCCCCAAGTCCGGTCCTCTGAAGATTCCCCTTAGTGAGGCTAATGCATTGGAAGAAGCTTCTCTACCCATCTCTCTGAAGACAACTCCCCACAGGGTTCATCCGTGGTGGGATATTTAAACCAGAAAGACCTTCTCAGTGAGCACCCATTCAAACTGGGGAACCTGCTGCCTGGATAACAGGACTGGAGTGCAACACCCAGAAACTTGAATGAAATAATCTGCAGAGGAAATTATGCGCATGCAGAGTTCCAATCCAGGGACACAGTTAACCATGTTTTTGAGGCAGAAAATCCTACCAGCGCATCTCCGTATCCCTGGTAGGGGGCAAACATTGCAAATATATACCAGTTCAAACGCAACTCCGGCCCTCACCCATTACATGCAGTGAAGCATTTCTTAATGTCCTGCTGGGGTCGATCCTTCACATAATAATTCCTCTGAAGGAAGTCCGTCCCTCGGAATTTTTCCGAATCCGCTTTGGGAAGATCCTCAATTTTCCACTGTCCTTCTTTGGTCTCTAGGATTTCCCAGAAGTCGAACCCTTCTGTGGAGCAGACCGAGGAAGTGGGAGAGTTAAAGGGAGAGGTTTTGAGAAGGGGTGGCTGTAGCGAATCCTGCTAGGGTTAAGAAGACAAGAGTTCAGATCCTGGGTTTATGATCAAGTAAGTAGCAAATTCTGGCCTACATGCTGTTCCTAGTACGAACTAAAAGAGGGTTATTTGAAATAATTGCAATAAATCTAAAAGAGGGTTATTTGAAATAATTGCAGTAAATTAACACATCATAATTGAATTGCAGAACCAGAAGGAGCCCTTTGGATCATCCAGTCCAGCCCTCCCCCGTCAAAGAGGCACAGTGGGGATTCGAACTCCCCACCTCTGGCTCCGCAGCCAGAGACTTACTTAAACCACCTTTGGATCATCCAGTCCAGCCCTCCCCCCCCCGTCAAAAAAGCACAGTGGGGATTCAAACTCCCCACCTCTGTCTCCGCAGCCAGAGACTTACTTAAACTGCTACTTACGTAAATCTTGTGGATTCCATAGGACCACTAATTGGATTTAGATTTTATTTTTACTGAAATCGGAGTGGGCCATGTGGGATTCCTAAATTTCGGGCTGGCTCCTGGCAGCTCCTGAAATTCCAATCACTCGGATTTGAAAATCTCTTTTAAAAAAACGAAAATAAAACCACAGCATACTGTAAAGTAGTACGTGGCGGAGATTCTAATTTAATCAACTTTGCGGAAGAACTTGCTTTTCACCAGGCACCGGATATTTAAAGAAAAAAAACTCAAAACATGCCAAGCTGTTCAGAAATGCTCCTGTGAGCTAGCTTTCTAACTGAGAGATGGTTTCGCACTTCTCCGTCCAAGGCGAACGGGGAGGGGACCCACCTTCACCGCAAGGATTCTTCAGCAGGTTCTTCTCCAGGTGGCAGAAAATATAGTAGAGATCCGAGCCCCAGGCGCTAAGGTCTCTCCCGTGCCGCCGAAGCCGGCGCTTCCAGAGGACCGGCCAGTCCACCAGGTCCCGCCACCGGGAACAAACCAGCCGGCAGTTGAGGATCAAGTCCTCTGCGGGGATCCGAGTCAGAACGTCCACCAGGATGTGTTCAGGTAAATCCTCGATGCTGATCATCTTCTTGCAGAGACAGGATGGGAGCCTACGAAGACAAACCAGGAGAAGAAAGCGCACTTGGGCGACAAGGAGGTAAATGGAGAGTCATTTATAAGCCTCCTCGGCCTGGAAGCCCAAGTCTGGATGGCAAAAAGGACCCTCAAGAGCAAAAGGGGAGCCGAGAATCGAGGGGTCCTGGATCTCAACTCTTCTGGGAGAAGATCATGTGAAACCAGGGGTTTCCAACCTGGGGTCCCCAGACGGGACCACAACTCCCAGCCTGCTTTAATGCCAGGTCCCAAGGAGGTGGAGCTGGGGAGAACCTGAGACCCTCCCCCCCACTCACCCACCCATCATCCCTTTACCCCCTCCAAGACCTTGTGAGCAAATCCCTCACAAAGCCCATCAAGAGGGGTTAAGAATTAAGCCGCCCTGAAACCCTTATCAGGCCGTTGCCTGAGAGGTGAATTAATCATTGCAGAAAATCAATCATGCCGATCTCCAGGCTGGGCTTCTCCATGGATGGAGGTTGAAAAGCCAGCCCCCCGCCCCACACACACACCCAGGAGATCCAAAATCTTCAAGCCTCTATTTTGATCCTTATCCACAAAGCATGTCTAGCCGCTTTCATCCCTCAAAATGGCATTTTAACAGATTGCTCCCAACAATACCTGGTGGAGAGGAGGGGGGGGCAAAATCCAGACCCCCTCTAGATATGGAGAAGCTTTTAGCATAGCAAAGGGGGGTGGGTAGGTGTGAGACAGAGAGAGAGGTGAATCCATGGTCCAAGATTTCCTGATAAGGACTCCTTTGAAGGTCTGCAACCTTCAAGGTGGACCGCTTGGTGGAAGTTCAACCACAAGGCAGATCTTCGTCCGCCCTTCAAGAACCCATCTGCCGACCCACCTCTAACTTCCTGCAGAGTCTTTCTGGGTCCCTCTGGAGACCTCCGAAGCCAGCTGGCATGCTTTTTTTTGGGAGGCTCTGGATGGTTCCTAGGAAACTTGCCCTCCTAATATGGATTAATAGTCATCCACTTAGACCTGCAGAGCTGGAAGGAATACTTCTTATGGCCAACATGTCTGCCTCAACTTACTGCATTGTCGCCCCTCTCCGAAAGCTGTTGGGGGGAGCGCTGGAATGCCATAGGGTCTCGTGAGCCCCCCACACCTCCCAACGCCCCGGGATCACATTGCCCAGGGATGATGGACACTTGATCGAGATCGGTGCAGAAGGGGCCAGGCCGGGCAAAGGACCACGGATGAACCTTGGCGATCCTATTGGGATCAATCCTCATCAGTGCTAGCGTTGTCGTTCCAGCCGAAGGCGAGAAATGATGGGAATGGCCATTGTCTGGGGAGTTCCAGTTGCCCGTCCATGTCAGACTGGGAAAGGCTGAGCAAACGCACCCCCCCACCTTAGCCAGTGGAGCCAGAGGTGAAGGAGAAGGGGGCACACCTCTTGAGGCCGGGTCCTTCCCTAAATTGAGAATCTGATCGCTTTGTGGGGATCCTGGCCCTTTAAAGCAGATTGAGGGGAACTCTGTGGCTGGCCACGGCTGGGTTGCAGGTCCCATCGGCCCCGGTAAGCCTTCCCAGTGAGGAAGACTGATGGGAGGTGCAGTCCAAACAACATCCGGAGGGCTGCGGGCTCTCCAGTTCTGCCTCAGCTCATTGGTTCTCCAACTCCCCCTTTCCATCATCCCCAGTCGTCCCAAGCTGCAGCTTCATGAAAGGAGAGGACTCCCGGGTGGAATCGAAGGAGTCATGGGTGTTTACCCCTCCCGTGGTGCAGAGATCCATGAAGAGACATGCCGTGGGACACCCCAGCCTCTCCCCTCCGCCTCGGAGCTTACCTGGGTTCGAAAGATCACCTGGGCAGGGGGGGAAGAGATGCTTCCACCGCCAGACTCTCTCCTGGGATGGTGGTGAAGGAGCTGAAAAGGACCACCGGGGAGTCCCACCCCACGGCTGGACCCCTAGAGGGGAGGGCCAGGAGGGAATACCAGCAAGGAGTGTTTGCAAACCAGGACCTCCATCTCCGGCGGCCACACCCCTTCCCAGCACCCAGCTGGTCTTTAAACCTCCTTCCTTCCCAAATTTCATTTTCTCCTCCTGTGGCTTTCTGTGGGCCGTGGAAGGTCAGATTGGCCGCCAGGCCTAAGTGGCGGGGTGGGGGGAGAGGGAGACTCAGATCAGCCTGGCAGGCGGGTGCAAGTGAAGGCACGACTTTATTGGTTTATTCAAGACAAGAGCTTTGGCAAGTGACCTTTTGGCAGTTGGTGGGATTATATGTTAAGTTAAAATAAAGCTTACTTGGGAGGAAGTCTCAAGTGACTCCTGTGCCCCTTACTCCCGAGGAAGGACAGAGAGTGTCGAATAAAAGTTTGCAACTTTTTAACATGTTAAGAACCCAGAAGGCAGCCGATGGCTTCATTGCATTTGAGTAATAAGAACAAGCTCAACGCACCCGTTGCTGGCTCTCCCCACTTCATCCTCACAACAAGCCTGTGAGGTAGGACACTCGAGGGGAAAAAGGGGGACCAGGTGCCGAGTGTGTTTCCAAGCCGGGTGCGGGACTTTGGAGGTGGAAGCTCTCTTGCTTCCTTTCGCTCCGACACTTAAAAGATGGCGAAGGGTTTAAAAAACTCCAAAGCAGTCTGAGTGGTATTTATGTACACTTGTTTATGGTTACACTTAAAGCCCATTCTCTCCTCCTCCCCAAGCAAAATGGCATAGAGATTTTTTTAATTAATTTGCTGGGTTCTCAGAAATCACACAACTTAGGTCAGCCTGAAAGCGACCAGGGGGTCTGGATCTGGTTCAAGACCCCCCCACACCCGGTTTCAAGTTCTGATGGATCACCTGCAACTGCATCCTGACTCTTCTGCAAGCAAATGTCTTGGAAGTACCATAACTGTTATCAAGGACTTTTAAGCATCACTTTGGCTTTTAAAGTTTCTAGTCCCTTGTGAGCGTGCCTGTTTGCCCCGCCTTTCTTCCTGCTGGCCCTCCTGCTCCTAATTGCAGAACAGAATCGCCTGCCTGCCTTGCTGACCCCATCTGGACATCTCAGCTCACTTCCGCTGTCGATTTCATCGGCAGGAATACAGTCGGGGCCTCCCCTGCTTTCTTGGGACACAGAAACCGGCCTTCTGCAAGGCCAGACGGCATCAGGCCCCAAACACCCCAGGGTTGCCTCTTGATTTTAATCCAGCACTCAAGAGATCGTGAAGGGCATAAAAACTCCCAAGACTTTTTGAGCGGTATGTACAGCATTTATTTATTCTGGTTCCATTTAAAGCCCGTTTCCCCTTCTAAAACGTGCCAAGCGCAGGGGTATCCGCAGTAGGTTAGCTGAGTGGTTTAGGCCCCCTGGTTGTGGAGCCACAGATTAGGGGTTAGATTCCCCACTCGGCCCCCTGAACGGGGCTGGACTCAGGAATCCACAAGGTCCCTTCCAGCTCTGCCATTCTAAGATGAGGATGATGAGTTCTCCACAGCAGCTGGGTCCAGGAGTCTTCAGATATGTTAAGATAGAGCCGTTTTACTTTGAAAGAAAGCTAGGGACAATCTGAGCAGGTTGTAAGGGGGGGGGAATCCACCCCACACCCAAGGTGAGATCCCCATCCTGTGATGGCAAGGAGACATGACTGGCCATTTCCTTCGCGATAACACTATGCACTGGAACGCTGTGCAGAAAATGCACACGCTAAGTAAGGATGATATGCTAGTCTGTCATGCCCCTAACCCACCCACCTCAAATCCTGCTTTGCCCTATTTAACCATCACCCAACCTGAAGGGGACAATTCAGTGCCTCCATCTACGACCCTGCTCCTTATGCACAACGTCTGGAATGTAAATGACTGAAGGGGCTGGACGTGTGCAAACGGGTGCTGCCTTTGGAAAACAGCCTTGGAGTTCTGTTTCATAGATAGATTAGATAGATAGATAGATAGATAGATAGATAGATAGATAGATAGATAGATAGATAGATAGATAGATAGATAGATAGATAGATAGATAGATAGATAATAGATACTTTCAGAGGTACTTTTTTTGCCCTAGTCTGTGAAATTTATAGGGGTAAAATATGCCCCAACCTTGGGGATCCACCACATGGCTCTCACCCTACAAGGCCACCCGGACTCTGAACCTCATTCAGCGAAACGTCACGGCGCAGGAGTTTGTGTAGCGACGCCTGGTTCCCTGCACGGATGTCTTGTAGGGAACCAGGCAAAGCTTGTCAAAAACGACCTGAGGGGCTAACACTTGAGGAACAAGATATGCCCCCCCCTCGGGGCCGCGTCACCCGTACCCTTTGAGAGACGTCGGGACCATCCCGAATTGGACTCGGATGGTGGCAATGATGGTCCCAGACGGGCTGCCTTTCAGTCCCAGTCGTATTCTTCGGGGAAGCAGAAAAAGCCATCGTCATCCTTACAGAAGGCGTAGGTTTCACGATCCCAACAGTGGTCAGAATCGTCGTCGGAATCGTCGTCGGAATCGTCGTCGTCAGTTCTTCCAGAACACGGGCCGACAGTGACGCTGCTTTTGGTTATTTTCGCATCGTGCTTGGACTCGGTCTCATCCTTACCTCCACCCTTGTGCTGGAAGAGGATCTGGCGGACTCCGGGCGGGCAGTCATGGAACGTGTACGACACCTGCGGAGAAGAGCGGGACGGTGTGGTTTGGGGTGCCAGGAAGGGAGGGCGAGGAGGCCCTCCCGAGGAACCGTTTCGCCACGGCTGAGTTTGTACTTCCCACTCATATACATACCTCCTCCCACGTGCCATCGTTCATCAGGTACCACGCGGACGTCATGGAAGAGTATTCCCGAACGACTTCGTTGTCGGCCGATAACAGCTTCACACTCAGCTCGTAGTTGTAGCCGTCGGAGCAGAACCTAGCGAGGGAAGAGAGGACGTTGACGGACCCCAGGAGTGAATCAAACAGACGGGCCCCGATTTAGAGGCCGAGAAACTGGCAGGGACCCAGAGAAGGCCCGATGAAAGGTCTCCTCCTCTCCAGTGTAAGAATGAGATGCCAGCTGATACCCAATAGTAAGTCACAACTACAGTAGGCCCACTGAATCACTGGAAACCTGGTGAGTCAAAACTTCTCTGCTGATTTCAGCTGAGTGCTTTTCTTTCTCTCTTTCTTTGTTTAACTTGCTCAAACCATCCGTAGCCAATCTTGTTTCTTTTCCCTTTGAGCAGCAAAGCACGCGCAAAGGAAGCAAGCAAGCATGGAAGGACTGGGTTGGCGCCCCCAAAAGCTTCCAAGAACCCATCCAAGGCTTCTAAAAACCTTCAAACAACCCACCCATGGCTTCTAAAAACTTTCAAACAACCCATCCAAGGCTTCTAAAAAACCTTCAAACAACCCATCCAAGGCTTCTAAAAACCTTCAAACAACCCACCCAAAACTTCTAAAAATGTAAAAGTCCATGCAGTGAGGCAGCCACTCTCCTTGGTTTGTGTGATCTGTGTAAGCTGCACCACTCGTGCAAAAAATCCACACCACTGGAGCAGAATGCTCCGTACTCACCACTCCTTCACTTCAATGGTCGGCCTGGCGGTATCCATCAGATCTTCCCAATAGCCATGATCTTTCAGAGTGATGCGTTGAGACTTGGAACAGAGCCTGGTGCACAAACAAAAACCTTGAGGAAGCCACATCCACCAGGGGAAGAAACAGCCATGAGCCCCTTCTCCCTCCCATCTCCAAAACCAGCATCAGCTTAAACATGGCACCTCTCCTTACCCTTTGGTAGTGGTAAAGCATGTGCTGACCAGATGGGTAGGCCTTTCTGCCAGTTTAGCGCTCCTCTGAAAAAAATCTTTTGACAGGATCTTTGAGGCAATCTTGTCCACTGCCTTGATTTCCCACTGGCCTTCCGAGGGTGTCTCTATTTCCCAGAAGTCCATACCCTCTGTGGAAATATAAAGTGAAGGCAGAGAAGTGAAGCGAGGTTTTGGATCCATCAGGATCAGGTCTTTTGTAATGCTAACAGCTCTTGATGGGCCGGAACACCTTGAAGTGCTTTTCATCCCAACTCAGCGAGCTCCCTCTCCTTATCTACCCTTCCTGGTGGCTGACCTGGTGGGATCCTTTCTCCTGGCAGCTGGCAAAAAAAGAGAGAGAAAAGAACGAGGTCTTCATGATGAACCAGCCATGCACCAATAACATCACGAACCCGGACACGGATCAGGGCAGGATGACCCCAATCTGTGTGTCCCTAATTGGATTATGGATGGGGCAGAGATTTCGGCCGGTCCTTAACGAAGACGACTCCAACAAGGTGGTATCACAGACACTTCCAGATGGCTCTGGTGAATGAGTTTCCTAGTCTGGCAGTGGTTCCCATCTCCCCGACACATCTTAAGAAAGAGAGAGAGAGACCCACCTTTACCGCAAGGGTTCCTGATCAGATTTCTCTCCAGGTGGCCGAAAATGTATCTGTCCTGTTTGGGCGGAAGAAGCCACGGGTCGCCGACCGCGCTCCTTTCCAAGCAATACTTTTTCCACTGCTCAAACTTGCGCTTCCACAGCACTGTCAAGTCGACCAGGTCTCGCCACTGGGAGCAGACCAGGCGGCAGCTGAGGATCAGCTCTTTGCAAGGAACCCAGGCAAGGATCTCCAGCAGGATGTCTTCGGGGAGGTGGGAGATGTGGCCGCTCATGCTTGGAGGATTTCCGGCCGCCTGTGAAGAAGATTCTGGAGAGAGGAAGAGGGAGACGGACCCGTGAGGGGTACAGGGCACTCCACGAACAGCCCTCCCTGCAGAGACCGAAGGATCAGCGGAAAGGGTGGGCGGAAACTTCTCCTACCCCCCCCCATCCCAGTGGTCTCCCTTGAGACGAGGCCAGGGACATTGTGGCTGGAGCCAGAAGGGCCACCCTAGAGTATCAGTGCTAATCTTTTAAGAGAAGGGGAGCGTCTGGCTTGTACCCCCCCCCATCCCTGGGCAGGAGAGTGACCTCCACCCTGGGTTTGCTTGCTGTCTGGCCAGGGTTGTCTTCTAGCCCAAAAGAGCCAAAAATATGAGCCATTCTCCTCCCGCAGCCCTCCTGGGCTTTGGCTCCACGAGGGCCACCATCTCTTTGGAGGGGCCTCGAGCCCCCCCCAACAACGCGGGTTTGGGGTCTGGCTGCTAAAGCCACGAAAGTGACTCCCGAGGAAGTCCATCAGCCCCTAAGCACCGCTGGAGGAGGAGGCAAACAACGTTCGAGAGGAAGCGCGAGGCTCAAGCCTTTGCGCAAAAGTTAGCCCGCCGGGCTGGCTCGCCTTTCTCCCGTTGCAACCCGGGAGGAGCCCCCGGGGAGAGGGAGGCCCGCGGGCCCCGAGGGATGTCTGGGCCGGGAAGGGGGAAAGCAGCGCTCCCCGACGGGCCCTCCATGGCGCGCTCCCTTCGGGGCTGCCCGGGAGGAAAAGAAAGGAAAGGAAAAGAAAGGAGAGGGAGGAAGGGAAGGAGCGGCGGAGGAAAAAAACCCGAAACTTCTCTTGCGGCCAGAGATTTCGGGAAATCGCGGCTCCGGCGGCCGCCCCTTCCTTTGCAACCCTCTCGCCCGGGCAGCGGTTGATGGGAACTGGAGTCCCGGAGGAGGAAGGCTGGCTCCTTCGGACCCTTCCCAGGGCTTTGGAGGAAAGACCGACGACGCTGCGCGCCTGGTGGAGAAATAGCTGCCTCTGCGAATTGCGATCGGAGGAGACCTTTTCCTGGGAGTAAAGAAGCCTCGCGGAAAACGTTTCCCCCCCACCTCCCCCTCTCTTTTTTTGCATTGTTTTTATTGTTTTGGGTCCTGTTGCAAGGAATGTAGTCACACCCTTCCCAGGGCTTTGGAGGAAAGACCGACGACGCTGCGCGCCTGGTGGAGAAATAGCTGCCTCTGCGAATTGCGATCGGAGGAGACCTTTTCCTGGGAGTAAAGAAGCCTCGCGGAAAACGTTTCCCCCCCACCTCCCCCTCTCTTTTTTTGCATTGTTTTTATTGTTTTGGGTCCTGTTGCAAGGAATGTAGTCACGCACAAAAATGGGCAGCAATCCAGAAGCGGGATGTCTTGGGATCGGGAAGCGGTTTCCCATCATCCCCACGCGGCACGGGTGATGGGAGTTGTAGTCCCGCCCCCCTCTCTTGGGGGGAGCACCTCGAGGCGGAAAGCGGCTGCTGCGTCGTTTTTCGACATGGGCAGGTTTTAAATCGGTTGAAAAGACGCTGCCGAAGTCCCTCCTCCGATCAAAGCGCGGAAGTCCCTCGGATGGGCTCAAAGGGGACCGGGCGGGAAAGAGTTAAAAAGCCCCGCCCCCTGTGGGAGCCAGCCTTGGATTTGCGCATGTGCGAAGGACAGCGCGCCCTTTACCATAGAGATGAAACCGAGCGGCTTGCGCGTCTTCGACGGAAGGTGCGTCGCTGAAAAAGTTCCCTCGGTCGGGATCAACGGCTCTCAACCAAGGTCACGAGCAGAGGGGGCGGGCCCCGTTTTTTTTTAACCGTAGTTATGGAAGTAGGTGCGCATTTTCTTTTTTGAAACTTCCATATACATCTGCTTCCTTGTTATACTTAAAGATTAAAAAAAAACCTGGACCCCTCCCGTATTAAAAGGGTTGTTTTCACCACACCCCCTGTGTTGCTAGAACAGCCTTACTGTATTTGCTGGTGTAGATGCGGCAATTCATCATTTTTAATATTCCAGTAAAGAGAAAAAAACTGCATGGGGCAGTTCTTTAAAAGCAAAGAAGGCCACCTTCCAGAGAGCCACCCATCTTCCCACCCTAGCCCTGCGCTACAGCTCATGCCCTCCTTATCCGGACTACACCTCCCATCCTCCCCAAAAAACCCTCTCCCATCCTCCACATCGCTCGGAACACACAGGTCGCAAGAGGCTGGCTTGAATGCCTGGAAATGTTATCTCTTCCGGGCTGGACTACAGTTCCCATCGCGTCGGGATGATGGGCCTACAGGTTGGGAATTGAGGGGGCTTCTTTTCCCCCTTCAGAGAGGGAATGGGAGGGGGAAGCCCGGAACTGTGGGCTTTGGGTCCTGGTTTCCCTCCGGGCTGCTTTCGGAGTTGCACCCCCCTCCCTTTATATAGACCGAGGGGGGAGGGGCGGAGGCGTCGAGGGTGCAGAACGAGGTCGGGCGAGCAGGCAGGAGTTCCACCGGGAGAGCGCCCAGCCTTCTCGAAATCCCCTTTCCCCATGGTGAGTCTCGAAGGAGGACGCCCCCCCCGTCTACTTTCAGCTCTTTCATCATCCTCATCATCCAGACTTTAGAAAAGTTCCTTTAAAAAATTTTTTAAAAGACAAGGGCTGTCTGTCTTTGGGGGATTCTGCGAATTGTAGTCCCCAAAAACCCCTGGGCTCCAGTCTTATACAGCCCTCCTGATTGCAGTAGGAAGGAGAGGGACTCACGGGGGTGGGGGTGGAAAACTACCTCTCCCCCCCCCCAAATTGCCTGTGTTTTAAATAAATAAAATGACTAATAAATGGCCAGTTTGTGGGTTTGATTTTCCCCAGGTTGTACTTCCTTTGTGCCTTGAACTGAAGATTTTTTTTTGGGGGGGGGTTGGTTTTTGGGTGGAAGGCTTACACCTCTTGTGCAGCGGGAGAGTCTTTTGAGTGGTCTAACCCCCCCCCCCATAACGTTTCTTGAGGAATGAGAGCCAAAAATGCAGCTGAAGTGGCCCAGCAAGGTCTTTAGTGGCACTGTTGGTAGCCTGTGAGCTCTTTCAGGTTCCTGGTGATTTCCCTGCCGAAAGAAATGTGGTTTATTGAAATGGGGGGGGGCTGCATTTGAGAGTCTCTTCTTTTAATTCTTCTTTTTCCTCCCCCTCAGGCTGTCTTCTCAGGAATTATGCGTTAAAAAACAGGTTGGGCACCACTGTGGTTTCCATCAGTCTTAGACACCCTACCTAGTGGTGAAGAATGATGGGAGATGAAGTAGTAAGAGAAGGTGGGGGGCACAGAACCGACCTGAATGTGGAGACTTCACTTCAAGAAAGGTTCCCAGTGCAGGATCTGGCAGAGAGAAGGAATGGGTGCAGATCCCTCAAAGGGATCACTTTGGCTTAGTTGTGATTTCTCAGGTTAGGGTCTTTAGTGGCACTGTTGGTAGCCTGTGCGTTCTTTCAGGTTCCTGGTGATTTCCGTGCCGAAAGAAATAATGTGGTTTATTGAAATGGGGGGGGGCTGCATTTGAGAGTCTCTTCTTTTAATTCTTCTTTTTCCTCCCCCTCAGGCTGTCTTCTCAGGAATTATGCGTTAAAAAACAGGTTGGGCACCACTGTGGTTTCCATCAGTCTTAGACACCCTACCTAGTGGTGAAGAATGATGGGAGATGAAGTAGTAAGAGGAGGGGGGGTTGGCACAGAACCGACCTGAATGTGGAGACTTCACTTCAAGAAAGGTTCCCAGTGCAGGATCTGGCAGAGAGAAGGAATGGGTGCAGATCCCTCAAAGGGATCACTTTGGCTTAGTTGTGATTTCTCAGGTTAGCCTACCTTGTGGAGTTGTTTTGTGGGTGACATTGAGAGAAGAGTGATGTCAGCCACCATGCTCTCCCTGGGGGAATATCAGCGAGGATGATCATTCAGTGTCTTGCGTTGCACAGATGGATTTTTACACAAGACTGTCTTGCCTCCAGCATCCATGTGTTTACATCTAGTCAGTGTGTTTGAGGGCCATTCTGAACGCCTCTGAGCCATACGTCAGTGCCGTCCTGTGTTGATGGCTCTTCGTTCCACCCATCATCATTGCTTCTGGAATTAAATCTTTTTTTTAGAGACGAGGAAGGGCATGAGTTAAGAGAAGCGGGCTTTGGTGCTTCCCGGGGCAATCCTATGGTAATCTCCTCTTTCTTTTTTCCAGACCAACTTCTGATTCCAGTCCTGCTAGAAGCGCGTTAAACAATGGACGTAAAAGATGAGATGGAAAAGATCAATATTGTGACCGAAAACCACCAGGAGGCAGAGGTGGGAGACCAGGCGACGGGGTTGCTGGGCTCTGCGAAAGCTCCCTTGAGCACCTGGCACCATAAATGTGCCTCTTACGTCTTGGCCCTCCGTCCCTGGAGTTTCAGCGCCTCCCTGACCCCGGTGGCCCTCGGCAGCGCCCTCGCTTACCGCTCCAAGGGGACCTTAGACCCGGGACTCCTGGTGGGCAGCGCCGTGACGGTCTTGGCTGTCCATGGAGCCGGGAACCTGGTCAACACCTACTATGACTTCTCCAAGGGCATCGATCACAAAAAGAGCGATGATCGGACCCTGGTGGACCGGATCCTAGAGCCTCAAGACGTCGTCAGATTCGGGGTCTTTCTGTACACCTTGGGGTGCCTCTCGGCAGCTTTTCTTTACTGCTTTTCCACCCTCAAGTTGGAACATTTAGCCCTGATCTACTTTGGGGGGCTTTCGAGCTCCTTCCTTTATACTGGAGGTAAGATGTTCACCTTCCCGGGTGCCCTTTCTTATCTTGTCAAAGCGGAGGAGCCTTGTGATAAGAAGGGTTGTGGGTGTACATTCTGTGTCTCCTTCAGATTCTGCGATCAGAATTCTGTGCCAGGGTAGACAGATTCTGCAACCTCGTTCTCAACGAGGCAGACATTTTAGTCAGTTTGAATGCGAATGCCAAAATGTGAAAGTCTTAACGGATTTATTGCATGGTCATGTTTAATGATTACAATCCACTTGCTTGTTTTAGTCGTTTGTTCATTCATTTATACAGATAAATGTGTGTCTCTACTCCTTCCAGCTCTGCCATCTTAACATCCTTCGGTTTTTAATCCTCTCCCTGGGCTTTGCTTATTTTTTCTGCAGGTATTGGGTTTAAGTACGTGGCGCTGGGCGACGTGGTGATCCTCATCACCTTCGGGCCGCTGGCCGTGATGTTTGCCTATGCTGTGCAGGTGGGTTACCTCTCTGTCTCGCCGCTGCTGTACGCCGTCCCCCTGGCGCTCAGCACTGAGGCCATCCTGCACAGCAACAACACTCGGGACATGGAGTCGGACCAGCAGGCGGGCATCGTCACTTTGGCCATCCTTATTGGCCCCACCTTCTCTTACGTCCTGTACAACAGCCTCCTCTTCCTGCCGTACCTCATCTTCTGCCTCTTGGCCACCCGTTACACCATCAGCATGGCCCTCCCCTTGCTCACCCTTCCCATGGCCTTCTCGCTGGAAAGACAGTTCCGCAGCCGCAGCTTCATCAAGATCCCTCAAAGGACCGCGAAGCTGAACCTCCTTCTGGGACTCTTCTACGTCTTTGCCATCATCTTGGCCCCTCCGGGGGCCCTGCCGAACCTCTAGGGCACCCCCACCCCCCGAGGCTCCGGAGAGAAAGGCTTGTCACTGGTTCCCCCTGCACTCAAGATGCCCTTGTTTGTTGTTTTGGCTTCTCTTGGACATAAAGAAGTGGTGGTGGTTGGAGGGGGGGGGATCGTTTGGAGGGTCTCAGTCGCTACTTGTCTGTGCAGCTTTGGTGACGTGGCCATGTGTGGTTAGGCCAACCCCTGCTTATAGGGCTTCCTGTGTGTAAAAGAGGCTGCATTGTTATCTTTTTGAAGCAGGGGGTGGCAGCTTGTGGCTCGCCGAATATTTGCTGGACTGCAGTTCCCATTGTCCTGCACTGTCAGCTGTGCCAGCCGAGGCTGATTGAAGTAGGAGTCTAGCTGGGGGGGGGGGAATAGAGGGGAGAGTGAAGATATTTATAACATGTTTAAGCCAGAAAGGTTTTTTTTCTTCATGTTTGTTTCTTGGTTGGTTTTTTTAAAAAAATTCTAAATATACATATGTATTACTTGGTTGCCTTTATAAGATAAGAGCTCTAGGCCATGTGAAAAGTTGTGGGTTTTTTTGGTTTGTTTTCTAAAAGCTTTTGAACAATTTAAACAAACTAGAACAAAAAAGCCAAAGAGCCATCAAACTAGAAAAATATCACCTTTCTGGACTACAGCATCCACAATCCCGACCCAAGGGGGACTCAGGACTCGCTGTTCCCGCAAAAAGTAGTTTTGCAGTTTGTTGTGTTAGATAGTTGTGCTACAGAAGGCAGGTGTTAAATTTATGATTGAGAAAAAAGAATTACCAGCTGCTTAGATTCTTGTGGCAGGGAGTTCCACTGGGCCGTTTCACAGAAAAGAATTCCACAGAGTTGACTTGATAACCATGAAACAGGTGGCCTTGACTCATCTTTCATACAATCTGACCTCAGAGAGATGGGGATTTGACCATGTACGGTTGCCATGCTTACAATCTGATTTCACATTTAATAGGTGCTCCGCCTTGCTACTCAAAGTGCTGAAAGGGTGGTAATGATGACCTTAGACAGTCACACGGTTTATCCGGCGGTGGCAATTAGGAGGTGTGATTTGGTGGGGCCCCTTTCAGAGTAGCACATCATCTGTTAAAACATAATATTAGGATCCACAAGGATTGCACATTTAGATTGAGTGGGTTGAGGACGTTGACGTCAAATCAGTCTCTCTCTCTCTCGCCCCCGTACTTCCTGTTTGTTTCTCAAAACTTTGGTTGCTTCAAATACCTTTGTCACTTGAGAAAGGAGTGGCAGGGAGTTCCACAGTCACAGAAGTCATGGAGGGGTGGGCTGCACCAGCAAATTCTGTGCTTGTCTGTTTTCTGGGTTGGGACATGGACAGGGGACTTTTAGCCTAGGAGTTGTTTTGATTAACACTTCCCCTCTGTCTTGCTCGGCATCGCCGATGGTAAGGGATGGGAGGTTGGAGTTCAGAACCCACCACATGGAACCGTTGGCCGAGTCTGTAAGAAACGCCCTGGATCCCTCTACAAGCGCTGGAGTCCTTTCTAAAATTTCTTTCACTCTTGCCAGTTCTTTGCCTGCGATGGAGAGAACAAGCCATGAGAAACCAGAGCGAAGAAAGCTCTGAAAAATTAAACTTCCTAGCGGTTGCTCGTTCGCAACAGCAAAGCAGTCCGTAGGTTTTTAAAACAAATGGAACAGTCTCCTGAAAGGGTGAGGATGACGTTGGTGGAATATGTTGCCCCGCGAGGAGAAAAAATCCACCTTAAAAATAAAAAAAAACAACCGGAGGTGGGTGGGTGTTTTTCCAAATAGCAGGGAAATATAATTGTAGGAGACCGGGGTCTCCTCTATGGAGAGGAAAAGGTCCAAGCGCCGGTCTGTGTTGCCCCTACAAGGCATCGTTTAGCGGATCTTTCCCCATTGGCCACATCCTGAGTTCGCCAGCGTGTGGCACTCAATGCCTGCACAGAGAAGGGGGTGATGCTTGCGTCAGATAAAAGTTCAGGGTGTCCTTCCCAATGTGCCGCTGCGTGCTTGGGACAATCTGGCAGAGGTGTGGAGACGGCGGTGGGGGGGGCGATTTTAACTTCCGTTGGTGTTGCTTTTGTGATGCTTTAGCGCTCAAGAGCTTCTCGGGGAGGCCTTGAGCCATCCGTTTTGGCCTGCAAAGGGGTTGGTTTCGGCTGTTCCTCTCGGAACGACCTGAGCTTTGCGCGGCTCTCCCTTCCCTCCTCTGGGTTGTCACCTGTTGGCTCTTCCTTCCCTGTTGGGATGATATCTTGGCAACCATCATCCTCAGCCAGCATCCCACGGTTTGGGGATAGGCCGACTGAGTCAAGCCACCCTCCCACTGGCCTCCAGCAGATGATTGCCTTTCCAAAGGAGAGCGGATTAAAGGGCCTCGCCCTTCCGTAGCGCATCTCCCGGGATTTGCTCCCGATCCGTTCAGAGGGGACGTGGGCGGGTCCGGCTGAGAACGCCCTGGCTCGCCTCTGCTATCATCCTAGCCCATCTTGTCCCCGCCCTGGGCCCTGCGTTGGTTTTCCCCGCGTCCGTCTCCTCTCCCGCAGTTCTGTGCCGTTCCCTGAAAGCCGGTCTCTTGCAGTGACAGGTGTGGTGCTATGATTGGCGGGGCGGCGGGGGGGGCTGATTTGGCCCGAGGGCTCATAGTTGCAAACCTCTGGGACGGAAAAGCACAGAGCAACCCACGCTCTCTCGTAAGTTAGGGTGTCAGTCCTGACGCTGAGTACGTCATCGGTCTTGTTCAGGAGGGAAAGCTCCGGCTTTAAGGAATGGGTCTGCTTCCAGTGAACTCGGGACACGAAGCATTTTTAGCATTGTTGTTAAAATTAAAAAAAAACCCACACACACAACAACAACAACCCTCACCTGGTTTCTTTTCTGTTCCACTTCAAGCACTTGCTTTTCGCCAGCCCTCCCCAACCTTTTAAATAAAAGGCTCCCTCTTGGCGGTGTGTTTGCTGCAATCGGCCTCTCCTGGGTCTGTTCTGAGTTGCTGCTGAGGCTGATTTCTGGACGCTCCTGTGGTTTTGGACTGTAGCTCCCATCATTCCTCAAGACCAAACAGCCACCCGGTCAAGAGACAGCTGTCTTTGTTTCCTGCGTTTTTTCCCATGGATGGTGGCTTTTGTAAAGGAACTGAAAATTTCCCGTCCCGGCTGCTCCTGGCGATGCTTTCGTGTGGCCTGGAGGTGGTGGTGTTTTCCTGCCATGAGTATCAAAACCAGACAAACTTTGGGATATTTGGGTGGCCCAACAAAGCCACTGCCCAGCCCTGTTTCGGGATTCCCCCCCCCAGGACGGGGGTCCTGTTTTCCGCCCTCTCTGTTTAGTTTCGTTTAGAGTCGGCCTTACAGTTCTGATCCATATCCACCCCCCTTTGTTTCTCTCCCTCCCTGGTGCCGCTCATCATCTTCTTCATTAAGGAACTAATTTTGCTAGGCTGTGCAAATGTACAGCGCCTCGGCCGCCCTGTAGCCCTACAGAGAATCTTCTCCCGGCTATAACTGGACAGAAATTGCATGTAATTGAAAAGCCTTAATAGCATTAGCGCAATCAGCAGGATGGGATAGCTCAGGAGGATACGGGCGTGGGATAAAACCTCCCCTTCTCCTTCTGCATGGCCTTTGTTTGCTGGGGGGGGGCAGGCAGGCGCGGAGAGAGAATATAGAGCGAGAGCTGAGGGAAGTTACTTTTGTTGGAGTGGTGTGTGTGTGTGTGACACCAACCAGTTTCTCGAAACACCAGATTCTGCAGCTTTCCCCGACAGATGCTGAAATAACCTTAGAATAGCAGAGCTGGAAGGGGCCCTATAGATCGCCAAGTCCTCCCCTCCATTGGGGCTCAGTGGGAATCAAACTGTCGACCTTTGGCGCCACAGCCAGAGACCTAAACCACTGAGCTATAATTGGCTGGGGTTGATAATGCTTCACAGCAAGCAAACAGGCCGCCAGAATTGCTGCTCTCATAGAAGGGCCTGGATGTAAATGCTGACCTGCCATTCGGCGGTTGATCCAGTGGGTCTACTTTAGCTGGGAATGGGGGTCGGATTAAGGCCCACCGCCCCAAGTTCAGCTGCCACTAGGATCAGCGTGAGTTAGAATGTTTGTGAACATTCCGTGGCATCACAGCCCTGAAACCTGGCTAAGAGAGTGGTTCAATGAGTAGCATCTGAAGAGGACATGGTTGTTGTGATGTGCCATCAAGTCATCTCCAACTTATGGCGACCTTATGAATGAGCGATCTCCAAAACTGGCATGCTCGGCACCTCCATGTTGAAGTCTGGGGCTCCTTTAGGGAATCAATCCATCTTGTATTATTGGGTCTTCCTCTTTTCCTGCTGCTTTCTGCCTTTGCCAGTACCATTGTCTTTTCCAGAGAATCCTGAACTCATCCTGTGGCCCGAGTAGGACAGCCTCCGCTTCAACAGGAGAAGGCAGGAGATGATGGAAAAGCTCTTACTGCCTCTTCATTACTCCATAGATTTAAATACTTCTCTTGCTTTTTAGCTCTCTCCTGGAAGGATTCCCACGGAAATTGTGGTGTTTACTGGCTGTCTTGTTTGCTTTCTTCTCTCCTCCCTCCCCACTCTTTCTCTTTAAGAATTGAATTGTGGCTCTGAGTTTTGGGAGACCATTTTTCACTGCAAGGTGGAGTTAAAAATCTTCCTGAGTTTAAAAAAAAAAAAAGAAGAGAGAGAGAGTTGCTCCCAGCGCTGCTAAAAAATTCATAAAGCTTAATAAAATTCTGGGTTATTGCAGGAGAGAGTTGAAAAGGGAAACCGAGAAGCAGCTACCCACTAAGGCCTTACACAGATGTTAGAAAAGTTACATATCCGATCAAGATGATTTCTGGACCTTTCCTGTTCGACTCCTCAATGCCAGCTCCGAACAGGAGTCCTGCTAGACTCAAAGGCTTGCTTGTTTTAAATATAAAGTATTGCCTATTGCTGGGTTTTTAACTACCACACCCAGAATCCCCACCCCACACAGAGGCAGCATAGCCAGGGAATTCTGGGTTCTGAAGTCCCCACCCCCCCAAAAAAGCCACTTTCCCAAGCTCAGCGCTCATACAGCAGAGTTTGGATACCAACCTGACCAGATGGGCGGGATATAAATCAATCAAACAAACAAACAAACAAACAAATAAATAAACCTTTGCAACTAACATGGTGCTCATAATCTCTCCCCACAATATAGTCGAGATTCATTGCATTATGATTGTAATGTTACGGTAATTTGGGGGCCTGCCATAGGTGGGGGGAGCATCTGGGAGCAATAAGAAACCCAGAAGCAAAACAAGACAAAAAAAGCCAGCCATCAAACAAACAAACAAACCAATCGACCAGCCAGCCAGCCAGCCAGCCAACTAATCCAAAACAAATGAAAAAAAGATAACTTTTTTCTGCTCTGATTCTCATGAGTTTCTTCGGTGTGGTTAAAAGCAACACCATGCTGTGACGTGCAGATGCCCGTTGGCCGTTTATGCCGAAGGAAGCACAGCTTTGTTAGTTGCGGTGGCAAATTGGGGTTAATTCATGAGTCGCCGCTTGAGCTCGCTAATTTCTCGGAGCATGACAAGGCGTGGAAGCGCCGGCTGCCTGATTTGTGGCACCTCAGGACTGCCACGCCAACAGGATTCCTTTTCAATGGTGGGAGAAGAAAGAACCTGTTTTAAAACTTGAGGGTATAACAGGAACCGTGGATTGTTTGGGCCCTTGTCGAACGGCAGCCGTAAGGAACTCCAGTTTTTGAAAGTGACTGCCCATGTTCCGATTTTTCTCAAAGCATCCCCATCCTCAATCTGGAGTAATCCTCCCTCTTGCAAATTGCCACCAGAGTAACTTTGTGTGCCCCCCCCCATCCTTCCTATCTTTGGCCTTCCTTCGTAGCTTCCCTGAACCCGAAACGCCGGGAAGCTCCTGACAGGAAAGGTGCTTTGGGGGCGGCGAGGCACCCGGGAGGCCTTGTCAAACGGGGAGAGCATCGTGCTTAACAAGCCGGCTGCCTCGGTTGCCATGGGAACCTCGCCGTCCACGTGGTCCCTGGCCCAGATTCTTGGGCTCGCAGCCCTCGCACGGTGGTGTGAAAAATTAAAAGAACACGGCTGCCCCGTGGGTGTGGGTGTGTGGGCACCTTGTGAAGACGGGGAGAGGGAGCGAGATCTGCGTTGGGAGGAAGAGAGAGAGCGTCTTAGCTACTGTGAGACCTTAATACTCAATATTAAGTATTACTTAAATACTTAAAGGTGAGAGGATGGATGGATGGATGGATACTTCGTTTACAGGCACTTCAATGACGAGGATGGATGGATGGATTGATGGATGGATACTTCGTTCACAGGCACTTCAACGATCAGGAAGGTAGGTGGTAATCAAATATTTCATGGAAATCAGATGGAGCCACCACCGAGAGGACCCTGCCACATTTGGTAGCCTGATTGGTCACAGTAGCCCGAGTGGGCACACCAAGACCCTCCATGCTCATTCTTGAACCCTGGGCATGTCCTGGACAAGGGGATTTTCTCTCTCCAAGTTGGGTGCTTTGCAAGATACGTGGTTGCCTTACAAGCTGGATTCTTATAGACCCGGCCCTACCGTTAGGCAGAAGGAGGCCCCCGAAGTCAGGAGGCTGCTCAGTGTCTGTGGAGACGCGACATCTTCCAGGATCCGACCGCCAGCCTTTTTCCTACCTCCTGTTTCCCTGGACTCTTGAAGCGAAGAGGATGTGGACTGAAGCCATGTGAAAAGCACGCGGTCTGAACCACCACGATAAGTCTTTTTCCCCCCAACGTTGTAGCCTGAGAAAGTGCCTTTATATCAAGCAGAGACAATGAGCAGGCTTTTCCTCCCTTGTTATCCGTCCTTCTTTCTTTCTTTAATCCTCTCTGCGGAGAAACTAACGAGATGGACTTGTTTCTCGAAACCAGCACGAGGCATCAGAAGAGAAATCGATGGGAGCTCTTAGCCAGCCGGGACGATGGCCTGTGTAGCCTGCCGGGCGCTCTGCCTGGGACCATCAGAGGAAATCGATCGGCTGCTTTCGTGGGGGACGTCCAGATCTGCCAAGTCACTCGAGCGTCTGAACTGCACTGGAAAGTTAGCAAACCACCACCTGCTTCTTGAGATAGATCAGAACGAGGCTCCAATTAAGATTATGAAAGTAGAATACACTGTAAATAATTCTTGACAGTCATGACACGTTGTGGGTTATTATGTGCCATCCAGTTGCACCCCCCCAGCTTATGGCAACCCCATGAATGAGCGATCGCCGACATGTCCTTCCCTCAAAGGGCCCTGCTCGGCTTTTGCAAACTGAAGTTTGGGGCTTCCTGGAGGGAGTCGGTCCATTTCGTATTGGGTCTTCCTCTTTCCCTGTTGCCTCCCGCCTTTCCCAGCATGGATGTGTTTTCCATGCGATGCCACGCTGAATACCGCCAGCTCCGTCTGGTCCAGGAAGCTAAGCGATCATCCACACTGGGTGAGAGGCAGATGAACTACAAATATTTGTGGATGCCCCAATAAGGCGAAAGTGTGCCAGAGCTCCCCCTCGGCATCTCCTTTCAGATTTTAGAGGTTTCCGTCTTCTCCTGTACACTCTGTTCCTGAAAATACGTAATATTTTTCAACACTGAAGCTGCTGCTTCTTCTCACCCTCTGGTGAAGGCAAGGAGCCATTGCCGAATAATTTAGGGCTGCCCGTGAACTGACTGCCAGTTCGGGGCAAATTCCCTTGACCTTCTGGGGGATTTTGAGGGGGGATATTTTAAAGAAAAATTACCTTTTGGAGGGTGTATATTGGGGGGGAACTGTAGGTGTTGTGACTGTTTATTTGAGCTGTT